ACCACCTCTCCCGCTTCATTGACTCAGTCCACTCGGCCGTTGAAGACTACAAGGACCGTGTTGCTCAACGTCTTGAGGACAAGGAGGGCCTCCCGGCTGAGGATGCGGAAGACGAAGCTGAGGACGTTTTGCTGGCCATCGAAGACGACCAGACGCTCCTGTCTGATATGAACAAGGCCTTCCACGCCATCTTCAAGAACCATGGTGCCGCATTCCTCCCATCATGGGAACGCCTGCTTCCCACGTACGAGGGCTTCCTCAAGTCAGACGACCCGACCCAGCGCCAATGGGGCCTTTGCATCATGGACGATGTACTGGAGTACTGCGGCACCGACAGCCAAAAGTACGCCAACCTTATTACCCAACCCCTGGTCGATGGCTGCAGGGACTCATCACCCGCCATTCGGCAAGCAGCGGCCTACGGGATTGGTGTGGCTGCCCACCGCGGCGGACATCCGTGGGCCCAGTTCCTGGGAGGTGCTCTGCCTTTCCTCTTCCAAGTTACGCAGGTACCCGAGGCGCGGAGCGAGGACAATGTCTACGCAACGGAGAATGCTTGTGCTGCTATTGCCAAAATTCTTCATTTCAATGCCGGCTCAGTTCAGGACCCCAACAATGTCGTGGCTCAGTGGATCGAGACCCTTCCCGTCACCAACGATGAGGAGGCGGCACCCTACGCCTACGCCTACTTGGCAGAGTTGATTGACAAGTAAGTTTTTTCTCCGAAATGTGATGACTCAAACAAGACCGATACTAAATGATGAACTTAGGCAACACCCGGCTGTTGTTGGCCAGGCTGGCAAGGTCTTCGTGCTAACTGCACAGGCTCTGGAGGCAGACTCGCTGGCAGGACAGACTGCAAGCCGCGTAGTGGCCGCCATCAAGGCTCTTCTGTCCCAGGCAGGCGTGGACCCCACGCCATTGCTCCAACAGTTCTCGCCCGAGTCTCAACGAGCGATCACATCGTACTTCTCTTAGGGGCAGGTTACGCGATTGATACACTGGGGGCGGCGGGTTGCACACCTGGAGAGAAGAACCAGCGCCGAGGACACCGCGGATTGCTGGACTAGAGGAGAAGCAGTCGATGATACCACAAGCACCGAAAGGGGAGGGAGGGTCCTGTGAGGCACGGCAATAGTGCTGAGCTTGGATAGCTGCTCAAGCAGACTCAGAGCCAAGTTCCGGCGTAGACCAGATTCGGTTGCAAACCAGAGGAAGCTGTGAGGGGTGGACATTGTTGCAAGAGGGATTAGTATGGTTGTCCCCTCGTTTTGTCATAACCAATTCCCTCAATGGCGCCATTAGTGATGCCAATATGATGATATAGAGAGGAGTGGATATTTTACAAATAGAAATTCACGCAGATGAGAAATGCCCTGTCGCTCGAAATAAGACAAGACGCGATAACGTGAGGAGGCAAGCGTGATTGACTGGGCTTGATACCATCGCAATCACAGGAAGCTATCAGGTCTGGCACAAGTACAGAACCCCAAACCGGGGTTCCGACTTGAGGTGACGACGGAGCAACAAAGGCGACCTGTGTTGTCAGGGGTCGCGTCACCGAGGTCGGTCAAAAAAGAAAAGGTTCCTCGTTGGCCCTGTTCTTAACGCGGCCTCTTCCCTAGCTTGCCTTTCGGGTCTGGGCCACTGACGCAGAAAACGGAGCAGGCTGAACAAGCTGAGCTCCGCAAATGGCCTCTCAAACGAGTAGCGGCAATGCCCCGGGTGGCGCATCTGGTTCGGGGTCTCAGCTCCTGGACCTAGTTTATGTACACCATGTCAGCCTTTCTTGCAATACTGGAGCTGATGTTGGAGCTACAAAGTGACTATGATGTGAATGGTGCCATGGAATGGATGGCGCTTTTACGTACGGAGCTCGGTATAGCTGAGATATGGTATTTCTTGAATCATTATCGCTGCTGACCCGAAGACCTTTCATACGACTGTGAGTCATATTACGCTTCGTGGCCAGCCTTCAGAGGTTTCTCCCTCTTTTTTTTTTGGGGGGGGGGGTTTCTCTTCGGTTTTGTCTTTCTTCCTTTTTATATCTATAAGCTCCAGAAAGAGAAATGACCTTAGGTAAAGATTCAGGAAATTTGGGCCGGGGGGGAGGAGAGTCGCGGTGGATGAACCAAGCTGGTGGATTTGCTTGATGTGAACATCACCAGTCTGATTGGCTGGCTGGCGAGTCTTGTCTGCAGGGGGAGACAAAAAAAAAACAGAAAACAGAAAACGGGAAACTAAACATGGGCAAGTGAGATTGCCATGTTCACCCCTCACCAACCCTCAAAGACTAGGTGGGGGGTTCAAATCAGACTCATGCAGTCTTTCCCCGACCTCACTTGACTAGATAGGAATAAAAGCCATCGGCAGGCATCTGATTGGAAATTCCTGTCCTTCGCATCGGTTGGCCCACTCCTTTAGGTCTGACAGGTCTTCCATCTCAGAGAAGTCAAGTTCAGACCGGGGTCATATAATGTCTTTTGAGTTGTAGTGTTTTGTCATGGTTCGGGGCTACCGCGTTTCTTTGCATCGATTGTGAGATTTGCCATGCTAGATATGAGGATCTGTGTGTCATGTCACAATTACTCGGGAGGTTTATTGCGTCTGTCGTACAGAGGATGCCCATCGATCCCTCCATGGGTTTGTACTTTTGACTCACTTGCTTTTCCGTTGGGGATTTCCAGCGGCTCGGGGGGGAGGGGTTCCGAGGTTTGGTTAGGCGAGGATGCTGTGCGTTCGCCAACGGTTCTCCCGGATCGATTCTGGAGTGGTCCGCCATCGCCACCGGGAAAGCCCGCCAGGAGGCAGCTTCAGCGGGTGGTTGGAGGGCCAGTTTGCGGTTGTGTTATCATTCATGGAGGTGCTAGTGATGCACGCCAGTGACATGTTCTTTCCCACGGCGCAGGGAGAAGAAGCGCGTATAGTCTACTTCCAACGCGAAAAGACTGTTGCGTTATCGGCCAGGAGGAGAGCCTTGAGCGTACGCATGACTGGATAACGAGACCAAGGTTAAGGACAGTGTTGAGAGACGCAACCTATATGATTATAAATGTAGCAACATGCAGAAGGCTTCTGACAGATCCCGCGCACCTGTCGGGTATGCCATTGGCTGATCCCTGCTATTTTCGGGCCGCTTCGTGGTCGCGTCACATGGCAGACCATGGGTGCGCTGTGGAGTGCTCGTGGCGGCCGGCTGAGGTCTCATGTGGCGGCGGGACGCAGGCACGGCAGAATACTCCGCAATGTGGAAGGGTTAAACACTGAGACGTCGGATCAATAATAGGTATAGGTTTAGTTGGGTATGGATAAACGGGAAGGGAGCTTGGGCAAAGCGAGGCTGCTGCGAGTCAGGGCTGTCACCGATCAGTCCAGCGGGGGGTACGACGGACAGATCGCGAACGACGTGTGTGTATTCCCATGGCGGGGACAAACATGAAGGTTTTCTGTGAGACAACGCTGGAGCGTGGGAGGGCAGGCGGCCATGCCTCACGTTGTGGTCACTCGGGTTCGGGCCGCATGAGCATCTGCCTCCCAAGACTGGTCGAAGGATCAAGGGCTTCCGGGTAGGGAGGCATCGACGCGGCAGAGTGCCAGAGAGCTCGATCGCCCATGATAATGAAGCTGGAAGAATTACAAGCATGGGCAATGTGATACACTTTCCCGAGTTCCTGTCCAGCGGTGGTTGAGATGGGACCAACGGTTCGTTCTGCTGCTCGAGCTTGGGGGCGGGTTTGCGGTTGTGTGCGGTTGATCTGGCGTGTCGCACAATTTAAGGCTGTCCAAGGCCCAGGAGAAATGACGAAATGGATTTCTGCTGAGCGGCCGTCAACTTTGTCAGTGCTTATTCCTCTCCGTATGCCTCTCCCCTACTTCGACTCCGTGTTGAGTAGGCACCGTTTGCAGTATTCGCTTATGGATAGAATCAAGGCAATTTGAAAAGCTGGGTTACTGATCAAACAGTGCATACTCCTGTAGGTATCCGTAAGACATAGGCAATGCAATAGAGTGATTCCTACGGAGTACCTTACTCTGTCATGTCTGTACACTGAACGGGGCTCCCCATGGAACGAGCAAAATTCTCGTCAGTCGCAACCATGGGAAAGTGTGGCGGCCCGTTTATTGGTCAACGGACATGTGCCCCAGATACGTATCCTCACCCTTCTCAGAATCTCCCTCCATTCACCGTCCGGTTTGGGCGGAAGAGTGGGGTTTGAGTTCTCCACCTTGGCGGTACCTCACGGGGACCTTACCTTGGGTTGGGTCCTGCCCAAGGAACCCCATAACGGGGGATCGCTTCACTGCACTTTTAGAAATTTAGACTGGCTTCAAGTACCCATTGCGTACTCTGACCCAGGAGGTCCATATGATGACGGAAGAGGTTTCTTGAGGCACACGATTGGCTATGGCATGGCGGGTGCATGCCATTTGCTGCTGGCATTCTTCAGAGGACACTTTTGAGTATTTAGTCTCTAGGCTGGCAATTGGCGCATTCCTACATGAGCAAACCCAAGCCTTACGACTGCCACATTATCGGACAAGGTGGGGGATTTGAGCCTGCCACGCCTTGCCTGTGGCCTGCCTTGTTCCCACGAGACGCCCTGCACCAAAAGTTAAGTTACCTCCCGTCAGCCATGGGCCACGATGCCTTTGACGCTGCAGCATCTTCAACATTCCACCCAAGTCTGCCACGACCGAGAGGTCAGAATACCACGGGTTCAGGGCGGATGGCCGGATCTTGGCCGACCCATTTCGGTTTCTCTCACCCACCTCATCCAGTCGGCCTGATGCTGTCATGCGTAGTATTCGTTTTCTCCCCCCCACCGGCCTTCGCCCCCATCGCTATCACGTGCCCGGTGTAAATATGGTGACGGCCAGACGGACCTTCGAGTATGTAGAAAAAGCAGAACCGAGGAGAAAGAGAAAGAACGGGGATCTGCTGTGTTAGTGTACTACCGCACCGTACAAAGGCGCTTCATGCCGGAGAACACAAGGCCGGCATGCCCTGTCTCGGTGGTCTTTCTCCGGCCGTGGGCGACGCAGGCATGAGAGGCAACCTCGTGTCGCAACAAGACCCCGGGCCAGCGCAGGTAATGTGGGCGATTCCATGGACCCAGGTCGTTACCTCCCCGTCCATCGGGTCGCTACTCAAACGCGCCGAGTCCTGTAAACCCAACCTAGAAGTAGGTACCTAGCATCCCCAGTCCACGCCAGGGCACTGGGCTCCCCAAGAAATGACTGTTCGCTCCTTCGCTCTTGATAATCTTGAATACTGCGTTCAAGGTAAGAAGTACCTCTGCGGCGTAATTAGGTACCTGCCCACCTGCTCTAGGTGCTATAGGCACAGGCCTGTAGAGTGGTAATGTATCTAGCTTGGGTACCTTGACACAACCACCGCTGGCCCGTGGGCCTTCCTGCCCTGCCGCCCCCAATCACGTCGCTCTCCCCCCTCGCCTTTCCGTCCACCACTACGTAAGGTACCATCAACCACCGAGAACGTCCATCAAACTCCATCTTACCTCCCCGCAACAAAGCCAATCTGGGTCCTCCCACGACTGTCTGCTTCTCAACTTCCACAACCTCCGGCCTCCGAATCCACCGACGCCCAATTCTTCGACACGACCCGACATCAACAACCACGACGATCGCCGACGCCGCACTTTACACCAACTTCTACCTCGCCGTCCCCAAGCGACCATCGCGCCACTCGATTTCGCTCGTCACCAACCCCGAAAACCCGACGGTTCAACCCACCTGGCACACGTTCAATAGCCGGTCGCCTACTTTTCCCGCAGTCCATGACGACCCCCGACCAAATTCTTCTGCAATACTTCTGCTGGCCCGAGACAAGACGCCGAGGACTGTGACGCGATATCGCACCCCCGACCGTATGCACCGGTGTCACTATTTAAGCCGGCGCCTCGGGAGAGAAAAGTACAAGTTGGACGGCTGAACCACTAGTTGCGACTCGACATCACTCGACGACTCTAGCACCCCACCGCCATCCACTGATACGAGACGACACGGAACTGGACCACTTTCGACGACAAGGTCCTTTGGACACCGATGCGATCCACATGGAGGCCTTTTACCCACAGCTCACTCCTCAAGAGCTGCAGCGACAGATGTCGCAACAGTCTCAGCAACGCCAGATGCAAGGCCAGGGTCAAGCAGGCGGTCACCCATACCATCAAATGAATGAAGGTCATGGCATGTCCATAATGGGTGGCAACGGCGACTCGCTTGACGACATTATCAACAGTAACAACCATGAACTGCAACGGCGCCGCAGCATACACCAACCATATATGTCCTCGAATCAGAATAACCAGAACGCTGGCGCTGACAGGAGAATGTCCATGATGGAGTTCGGCGCCGATGACAATCAGATGCTTAACTATCCCTTTCAGAATCCGGCCATGAACGGCGAGTTCACAAACATGGCCGGCCAGATGGGCAACGGTATCAATGGTGGCTTAGACAGCGGCATGGCGAACAACGGAGGGATGGGCAGCAGTGTCCCTGGCAACATTTCCATACCAGGATCCATGGATGCGTACTCTGCCCACGACGGACTGCAGATGTCGCCGACAAATGCATTTACCACGTTTTCCCCCGACATGATGAGTTCGATGATGCCTCCGGCATACGCTAATATGGCCATGCCGACCACGTCGAGTATGAACATGTACGGCCAAACATCCATGGCCAACGCTTTCCCGAGCCCTATAAATACCTCCGCCAATGACATGACCATGGACCTGGGAGCCGATGAAACGCCCGGAACAGCACCACAGTCTGCCCTAGACACCCCACCAGATATCGACAATGCAGACAACGAGGCTATGAGTATGGGCCAGCAATACCAACCGCCGGCAGACAACTCGAATAGGACAATGTCGCAAGTTGTCAAATTTGGTTCTGTTTCAAGCGGCCCTCAGACAACTCCATCGACTTTATCCCGCGAGGTGTCAACCAACTCTGGTCAGACTTCCTCGCAATCCCCTAACAATCGATCATCGTCCATGGCAACAAGCCAGACAGCTGCTGCTGCCGCTACCCCTACCGCAACGGCAGAAACTACTCCAGCCATGGGACCTCAGACCCCTCGTGCAGAGTCGAAGGAGAAGAATGTCTACTCAAAGAGTGGCTTCGACATGATGCGGGCGTTGTGGTATGTTGCTACAAGAAAGGATCCCGAGATCCATCTAGGCGCCGTGGATATGTCTTGTGCATTCGTGGTCTGCGATGTATCGCTGAACGACTGCCCTATCATCTACGTCTCTGATAACTTTCAGAACTTGACGGGCTACAGCCGCCATGAAATCGTGGGTCAAAACTGTCGATTCCTACAGGCTCCCGACGCCAAGGTTGAAGCTGGCTCCAAGCGAGAATTTGTGGACGACGCGTCAGTCTACAATCTCAAGAAAAAGATTGCCGAAGGCCGTGAGGTTCAGCAAAGTTTGATCAACTATCGCAAGGGCGGGAAGCCTTTCCTCAACCTTTTGACAATGATTCCGATTCCTTGGGACGATCCTAATGAGGTGCGATTCTTCGTTGGCTTTCAAATCGACCTAGTTGAGTGCCCGGATGCAATCTCCCAGGGCCAGGATTCGGGAGGTGTCAAGGTTAACTACAAACATAGCGACATTGGCCAGTATATTTGGACGCCTCCGACAGCCAATACTGTCGAGCCTGAAAACGGACAGACGCTGGGTGTTGATGATGTGTCTACCCTGCTACAGCAGTTCAATCCCAAGGGAGCAGTGTCTGACTGGCACAAGCAGTCCTGGGATAAGATGCTTCTTGAAAATACCGACGATGTTGTCCATGTCCTATCACTCAAGGGGCTTTTCCTCTACCTTTCACCTTCCTGCAAGAGAGTCCTGGAGTACGACGCGACAGAACTAGTAGGCAACTCCCTTTCGACCGTATGCCACCCCTCCGATATTGTGCCCGTCACCCGTGAACTCAAAGATGCCACGGCGGGCAATTCGGTCAACATTGTCTTTCGCATAAGGCGGAAACAGAGTGGCTACACGTGGTTCGAGAGTCACGGCTCATTATTCTTCGAGCATGGAAAAGGTAGAAAATGCATCATTCTGGTAGGGAGAAAACGACCTGTTTTCGCCTTGAGCCGGCGAGACTTGGAAGCGCACGGGGGCATCGGCGACAGCGAACTATGGACGAAGATCTCGGTATCCGGCATGTTTCTCTTCGTGTCTTCCAACATTCGGTCTTTGCTCGACCTACAGCCAGACACCCTGATAGGCACCAGCATGCAGGAGCTGATGCGCAGGGAAAGTCGTGCCGAATTCGGACGGGCGATCGAAAAGGCAAGAAGAGGCAAAATAGTGACATGCAAACACGAGGTTCATAACAGGAGAGGACAAGTTCTTCAGGCACAAACCATATTGTACCCTGGAGATGCCTCTGATGGCCAGAAACCGACGTTCTTACTTGCACAGACCAAACTGCTGAAAGCGTCGTCGAGGACCATCGCACCGGCGGCTACACCACCTGGAAGCGTCAAGTCGACCTCTCAGCTCAATCAAACTCTACAACTCACACAACAGAATAGCGATCTTACGAAGACCGGCCCATTGTCACTACCGGGTGGTCAAGCGATGCCGGGCTCGCAAGATGCTGCTCTAGCCTCGGATGACAACATTTTCGACGAGCTGCGAACGACCAAGTGCTCTAGCTGGCAGTTCGAGCTGCGGCAGATGGAGAAAGTCAACAGGATCCTTGCCGAAGAACTGGGCGGTCTATTGTCAAACAAGAAGAAGAGGAAGCGGAGAAAGGGAGTGGGCAATGTCGTCCGCGACTGCGCCAACTGCCACACGCGCAATACGCCCGAGTGGCGCCGAGGCCCTAGTGGCCAGAGAGACCTCTGTAATAGCTGCGGGCTACGCTGGGCGAAGCAGGTGAGAAGCGCTGAGCCCTCTGTAGTAGACCGACTGGAGGACAACGATGTTAATCAGGATTAGGTTGGACGGGTTTCGCCGCGCAATTCGTCTCGAGGAGGCGCAAACACAAATGCAGACGCACTCAGTAAGAAGTCAAACTCGCCAATACACTCGTCCCAGCTTCAAAACGAAGTCAAGGCCAATAACAGCACGCCAGCGAGGCTCAGCGACGGTTCATCAGGGAATGGCACGCCTGCTACTTCCGTTTCCGTCTCTAAAAGCCACCAAGGCATGCCCCCTCCGAGTCAACCTCTTCTCGAAGGCGGTAGTAGCGGCGGAATGACTTCCATACGGGAATAATGAGAGAGCGACGACGCTCATGCGCCTTCCACCTTACTCAGAAGTCACATATCATCGTTCCGAACGCCCTTTCTATAGAGATACCATTACACTTTCGTTTCTAAGGGTCTTGTGGTGATAGCCTGGTAATATCTAGTGCCTTGAGGCGGCGCCAACAGGATAACTGATTTTTCCCCGGCGATTTTCTGAAATATTTTAGGACTTGGCTTTACTTTACACGAGGTACACGAGGCGTCTTGGGACGGGGTTCAGAACGCAGATGTTTTTTGTTCGGGTTATTATCAGTCACACGCTCCTACGGCCGGAATTGACGAGCTTGCGATACCACGCCGACATCATTTTGGGTAGATTCGCATCATGAGTTCTACTTCCTTGGCGGGGAAGGACGGCAAAAAGCAGCCGCCCTGCACTACAGTGGTCGGTATCTGGTCTGGGATCTCTTTGCTTAGGAGGTGCCGGTCAATGATGATTTTGCGGAGCGGAATGGGCTAGAAAAGAAGCCATCAAGCATTTATGAGAGGCCGATGCAATCATCGGCCTTGGTGTTAGCCATTTACATGAACGGAATGCAGCTGAATGAAACATACCCCATGAAATTTGTACGATGATTACTTCCTCGAGTCTGTCATAGCACTGATAAGAATTGAAAATATCCGAAGTAAATGCCCGTAACTTTTCCGCAGTTGCCTCAAAATCGTCTCGCATTACAACCACCACCCACTGATGCCTTTTAAATGTCTCTCGAATTGGGCTTGCTGCGGGCGTCTCAGCCCTGTTCAAATGGCCCTGAGATATATTTTGCCCTTCTGGAGAATACATGCCCCTATGCGGTTGGATCAATGATTGGGATGGGGGCCGCTTGTCACTGTCCACCTTCGCTTCATATTGGCCCATGATCTGTATTCTCTAAGCGAATTGTGCTTTTCTCGCATGGCTTGAGATGCGCTTTGAGGCGACAGACGTTAAGCGGTGAAGGAGGGGGCAGACACCTCATGCTCAAGGAATAGGTGACTATACGCACTTGAGCTTATTGTCGAAGATACCTTCCAGGTCACTTGTAGACAGAATGAATTCAGCTAATGGTATGTATGGTAGTGGATGGAAGGCGGGGTTCAAGTCAAGACAACCTACGTCTTCGTAGTTTTGTCAGCGTATAGAATCGTCGCAAAGAGTTCTCACCTTGTTGAATTAAGCTGGTTTGGAAATCTTCCCAGTGGATTGTACAAGACCGCCTATAAAGGCGACCAATGATATACATAACAAGGCACAAGAGAGCAGTCAACTGCAAGAGCGTAGTGTGATCGCGAGAAAACGAGGCATTTGATGCCTCGTATATTCAATTCATCTCATCATCAAAACCTCCCCCCTCTCCATCCCCATTTCCCCAGAGACAGGACCGTCTTTCAGGCCCTGACTCCTCTAGTATACCAATTCCAGTTATCCCCGAGGTGAGAACCGTCTTCCAGGTCCTGACCCCTCCCATACACCGATCCCTACCCCAAGCTGAGCTGTGCTGCCTTTCAGCTGAACACAAGACTACAGTAGATGGCGAAGAGAAAATAAAAAGCTGGCCAATGGCTCAGCGAGAGTAGCCGTTGTAATTACTAGGCTGATTACCCCAAACAGTATTGTACGAATACTTGCCCAAGCTTGCCGAGTAAGAGGACGCTTGAGGATACTGTAAGGGGTAGGCAGGAGTGAAGGCAGGGGTGAGAGTTGGCGGAGACGGAGCCTGGGCACCGAAATAGCCCATGGGACCGGCGGCGAAGGCACCAACTGCGGCCGGAGGAGTCGAGACATCTGAGGGTAGGGCCTGATTCTGCGAGGCGACGGATTTGATGAGGGCTCGGCTGAGCGCGGTGAGCATCTCCGGTTTGAGCTGCTGCGAGAGGGAAGCTGCTACCTCTGCCGCTTTGGTCTCCTCTGCCTTTGTTGATGCCACTTCCGGCGGAGGACTGGGTCGGAGAGTAGGTGCCGGATGAGAGACGATGGCCGGAGGAGGAGGAGCGACACAGGCTGCCTTTTGGGAAGTCCAACAAGGCATGGAGGGCTTGCTCTCGCGCCGGCCTCGCTTCTGGGAGCGAGGGGCCTCGGAGCTGGGGGTGATGCCCTGCTTCCTCGCGTCCATGTCATGCAGGAAATCATCCAAGGCGTGGCATGTCAGACGCCCGTCCCACTCTGGGTTATGCAGGAAAGTCGAATCTCGCCAGATCGAATGGGCGGACTCGGCGAAGTGGTACACCTCCACGACCCAGCCGTTGGCCAAGGCGCTCTGGACGGCAGCGGGAAAGCCTCCAGGCATGTCCCCGTCGAGGTTGCCGTCTCCTGTCGCGAGGATCATGACACCGGGAGTGCCGAGATTGTCGAGGATGGTCTTGCGCATGTGGTGCTGCACGGTCTCGTCCACCCCCTGCTCCTTCATGGCAATTTTGCCGTTGGCGTCGGAGGAGCCCGCAAACGAGGAGCCCTCATTCGCGCGAACCCGCTGGAGGACCTTGGCGGTGTAATCACACGCCTCGGCTTCCTGAAGGTACTTGGGGGTGGACGAGGGGCGGTGTTGACTGGCACCAGTCCGGGAGCCCACGACCACGCCCTCATTAACCTCTCGTCCCCGCTCGAGTATGCCCCGGAATACCGAGAAGGAAAAGACGGAAGGCAGAGGATGGTCCTTGCGCATGCCCAGCAGCTTCTTCAGCGCGTTGTAGTAACTCACGCTGATGTTGCTGCCGTCAGCGTAGATCCAGAGGCCGCGGGAAGACTGCTCTGGGTAGGCCAACTGCTGTTTCTCGTCGTGTGCGCCGAAGCGCTGTTGGGTCCGAGCTGAGAAGGGCAGCTGTGAAGATGGCAGCGGTCTGTTGGCGGTTTGTTTACCAAACAACCGCTCCCCCGCGCAATCCAGGTCGGCAGAGGACCCTGAATTGCGGGAGGAGTCGGTGTGGTAACCAGAGTCTTCAGAGGAGGCCGCCTGAGCTGGCTTCTTATCTCCGGACTCGACCTTGAGCCTTTTGGCCTCGGCCTCGTCAATTAAGAACTTCTGGTACCGCTTATTACTACGCGCCATTGCTTCCGTGATGAATACTGCCGGGAGCAAGGAAAGGGATGGCGAGTTGTTGGTGAGAGTACTCTCGTAAAGAGGTTGGAAACAATGAAGTGATGAAGAATAGACTCTTTCCGTGGGAAGAGTTGTTGTAGAAGAAGCAGTCTCCTGGATTTGCAGAGTCTTGAAGATCTTGCTAAAGTCGCCTAATGAAGTTGATTTTTGATCAAGAAGATGTGAAGGTTCTGCTGAATGGCGAGACTGCGGAGAGTAGATTGAGAAATCCATCTTGGCGGTAGTTCCTCTTCTTCATATAGGAGAAAGCTTAGGAAATGACGAGACCCTTGTGGTGTCTCCGAGCAGGATGTTCTGGTTCTGATGCTTGTGGTGTCAATCGAGATACCGGGGTTCTATGAACCTTGTGATGAATGTGAACAAAGTGGGCCAGACGGGTGCTCCCGGGGCCACTGCTGTGTGCTACGTGATGAGATTGGTCATGGAGAAATTGAGTTGGGAGGTTAGAATGGTTGCGACCGTTGCGGCCGTTGCGGCCGTTGTGGCCGTCCGTCGATACTGTTCGTGAAGTCAAGGTCTAATGTGACGGACCCTGAAGGCTGCTCCTAGATTTCGAGGGTGTAGAGAGAACTGGCGAGGCGCCGTTCGCTACAGACTTTGTTTCTGGCTGGGTATACCGAGTAATTTTCTGTTCAGGATTTGCAGTAACCGGATGCCTTGACCAGCCAGGTTGCTGAGAGAAGGGTAGAGAAGGGTTTCGATCGTGTACCCGGGAAATGGCAAGGCTCAGTTGCCGATGGTCTTCGGTACTGGCCTGGTGTCCCGGCAACGGTCAACTAGCGTCCTACCGTTGCCAGCTTCTTAACGAGTAAGGTTGCTGAGAGGGAAATAGAGAAGAGTTTCGTTCGTGGACCGAAGAGTAGCGAGGCTCAGTTGTCGATAGCCTTCAATTCCAGGAATTTGCAGCTACCGGGTATCTTAAAACCAGCAAGGTTATTCAGAGAAAGATAGAGAAGGCTTTCGTCGGGTACCTGGGGAGTTGAATAGTCTTTCTGAAGTTGAACCAACGCCTACGCCACCCAAAATGGACGCAGTAGGATGTATGCAAGAAACACCGGGAGAACCGTGGACGGCCCAAAGTGAGAGAGGCAGCACAGGACAACACGGTGCAAACAAAAAGCAAAAATTTGAAAAAAAACTCAACGACCAAGATGACTCGAAGAATACTCGGACTTGATAGAAAGACGACGCCACAAACGAAATGCGCTGGATAGTCGACAGAATGTGGCAACCCGGAAGGACGGACGAAAAGAAGACCAAAGTGGAGGACAAGAGGGCTCAAAGTCCAGCCCAGAAAGGGAACGGTCGTGTGAGTGTCGTCGGTTTTCTCGGGGTGGAAGAGGGTGAGATTTACGTATTCGCGGGTGAGAGGTGAAGTTGAAGATGAGAGGTGTAGAGGGGTTCATGGAAAAGAATGAGAGAACGAGAGGAAGAAGAGGTGAAGTCGGACGAGTCGAGAACGTCAGCGAATCAGTTTAGCCGCCATGAGGCTCAATTAGCGTGCTGCGCTGCATGTTTTGCCCCCCAATCGTTCACCCAAAGGAAAGGGTCCGATCTCTGTGAAAGTGGGCAGCACGGGCACAAACATCCGTCGAGTCGGAGGGGAGCTTAGGTACTTAATCTACCGCTAACATCTAGTGCTCGTAAATAGATTGAAAAAGTCCCAATTCCAAGCACTTGAGAGTTTCAAAACCGGAAGTTAAATCATGCCCGTCATATAATGATCTTTAGCGTTTATTTGACAAAGTTGACAATTGCTAACGCTGCGATATGGTCAAAAATACGAAGACTGGCTGGTAAGGAACTTGATCAAGATTGAATAGTAGGTAGAGTCACACCATCGGCCGGCACATGACTAGCGGGGCGGGGGGCGAAGCAGATCTGCGCGCCAGTCCCGGCTCGGGCTGGCACTCTGGCACTCTGGCACTCTGGCGCTCTGGCGCTCTGGCGCTCTGGCGCTCTGGCTGCTGATTTTCTGGGTGAATGTGGGGGCCAAGGGTCCTGAGGTTCAAAAAAAATGTCAAAAAGCGAAAGTTTGACCCGAAGGAACTCGGCCGGGCCGCTCCTCGACAGGTACAGCCGGGCAGTCACCCACAGACCATATTCTCCCAGTCACCTTTGTTCCTTTCATCTCTCACAATGTCTCACTCATCCAATGGCGTCGAATTTTTGGGGGCGCACGGTAATGGAGACATGGGGAGCTTTGGGTTCAGCTTGATGCTGATGGATCTTGTGAGCCATCAGGATTGAGCCGCCGATTACCTTGTTGGATCATGGCCGACATACTCGATTCGATATGTAGAGACACTGATACCATCAAACGGTTGAGGGGAATGAGAGATATCTGTTTGCAGATGAAAAACGCCCCTTGCAGAGGTTGATACTTAATGAGGGTCACAATGGTGAACACGGTTGCAAAGAACAAGTGCCCCGATACGACATATCCCATCTCAATTGTGCGGGTTAGGAGAACAGGCATCACGAATGCTCTAATGTCGATAATTTTGATACAGGGAGCTATTTGTTCCCTCAAACTCCAAAGCCAATAGGTATCACAGCAGTCCAACCCGCCGAAACTCCGCTCCCTTCTACCCAGGAGAGCCTCCATATCCAAGGCTCTCGATGAACCTACAAACGAAGAAGGACGAAGTAGGATGATGTTATTAGAATACACTTGATAATGTCGCTCCCCATCAGTGGGCAGGCTTGGGCGTGCGCAGACTGGAATGGACAAAGTAAATATCTTCCAGGTAGTTAGCTCGCTTGGCCTCATCGGCTCGTTCCTCCTCTTCCTCCATCTCCTTTCTGGTCTTCTTGCGGTGAGCGGCGCGCTGCTCCTTCATGAGGCGATCGTGCTCATCCAAGTCACCGTCGTCGCGCATGCGACTGGTCTCGTGGGCATGCGCCTCGACGTAGCGGACCAAGGAATCGGCGGCCCAGTCGCGCAGCTCATCACCCGTCTTGGCCTTGGCGGGTTCGGTGACCTTGTCGATGGCCATCTTGACCTTCAATTCCTTTTGCTTGGCGAAGGCAAAGGGCTTGGCGCGGGAAGTGCGTTGGACCAGCCATTCTGGGTTGCTCTTAGCAAGGTAGGCGAGGCTGTGGCCCGAGTTGGCGTTGTCCGGGGCGAGGCCGTGTTCGGGGCGGGCGAGGGGCGGTGAGGAGTAGAAAAAGATTCTGCCGTTCTCGTCCCTGTTGTACTGGCTGCGCACCTCTTCTGGAATCTGGTCGTTGAGGGGGTCAGCCAGGGTGAAAACCTCGGGAGGCCTGGGAGGGTTGTAGGCATTGGCCGGCTGCATGGTATTGGGCGTGTTGGCCATGGGGGTGCGGGCTGCAGCGGGATGAGGCTGCATTTGATGATGGTTGTAGGTCGGGCCGCTCATGGGATTTGCTGGCATCATTTGTGGATGCATTTGGTGGTGGCCGTGCTGTTGGTGGTGCTGTGGGACGGGCGCTTGGGCCTGATGGTGCTGGTGCGGGAGCTGGTGGTGCTGCTGGAACTGGGGCGCCGGAGGAGGAGGTTGGTGGTGGTGGTGCTGCTGCTGTGGGTGCATGTGCTGCTGCTGTGGGTGGGAATGGTGCTGCGGGTGTTGTGAGTGCTGCTGGTGATGCTGTGGGTGCTGTTGTTGTTGCTGGTGCGGGTGCGGGTGCTGGTGCTGGTGCTGGAACGGGCTTGGCGCGAATCCCTGCTGCTGGTACATGGGGCGGATAGGCTGTTGCGGAGAGTGAGACGGCTGGTGAGGAATTTGGGGTAGAGGCACTGGCGTTTGATGGCCCACCGCGACTGGCGATGCCGAAGCATGCTGAGGCGTGTACTGCTGAGCATACATCGCTGGCGAAGGAGACGGCGCAGCTCCCATTCCGTGGCCGTAAGGCGTAGGCGGATTACCCATCGACATGTCGCTGGGCGTCTGGCGCATCGCCTGGAGGACTGAAGGGCGTCGCACAGGCTCCTGGGTCATGGGCGGCGGCGATGGCGTGGGCTCAGGTGGAGGAGATTCCTGTATGACCCAAGTGAAGTTTGTCAGTGGTGCGAACCCAAGGAAGGTAAGGTGAAGAACAAGGTAGGCGTAGGCTGTAAAATAAAAATAAAAGCTAACGTGGAACGAGCGGAAGTGAGGGTGAATATGAGTGAGTACGACAGCGTGAAGGTGAAGGTGATGATGAGGGTGAGGGTGAGGGTGAGGTTGAGAGTTAGAGATGGGGGCACAAATTTCAAATTTCTGCTTAAGCATGTTTGATACGGGTTACAGGGTGCTGTTACCCCCTTACGCGTCGCTCCCTTTATCTGCCTGCACTGCACTGCATAACCGAAAGGGACGACAAGAGGGTGTGGTGCTGTTGGAGGGTTGGCAATTTGTCCATTCACCTCCTTCATCCAGGAGGTGGCACGGTAAGGCTGTGTGGCATTCGTGCAGGTATTCGTGCAAGAGACACACCGGTGGTGACGGCAAGGGCCATGATGCCAGACCCAAACGAAAGAGATGGCAGTAGGGAAAACGGAATGAATCTCGTCAGAACTTACGTTTGATTCTCGAGGACGCCGATGCACGGCACCAATAATGGGCGGTGCGTTTGCAGCACCCCAGGTCGGCTTCGGTAGCTCATCCGTTTCCTTCGCATCCGCCTGCAGGAGGTGTTTGATGGGGCTGGGCACCTTCTTGAGCCGCCGCGGTTGATCAAATAGCTTCATTTCGTAGTCCCTCTCGCGGACTTCGTCGGGCACACAGCTGGTCCACGTCTTGATCTTGTTGAATTTACAAGTCGCCTCGTTGTACCGAGACTCGCACACGTACACCTCCTTGTCCGCTGGTAGCGTACGCGGCCGACCTTTATTGAAGCGCGTAACGAACATGACAAAGCATCGATCAAGCACCTCTTCAATCTGGTGGTCTCGATACTGGCCTGTCTTTGCCACCTCATTCTCGAAGAAATGCTTCTCAAACCTGTGTACTGTCTGCTCGGGACGATAATACCAGCAAGCGTTGATCCATCTTTGTCCAGCTCGGTCTTGCCAGGTTCGGAAGATTTGCGCAACAATGGGCTTAGCCATGTCATTGACATTGCGGATATGCACCCAGTCGCCTTCGCGCGAACAATTAGCCTCAGGCCAATGTCATCGTTGGAGATACCGAGTAGAAGACTTACCGACTCGCCATGCCTGGCCATTGTGCTGAATTTCCGAAAGTGGCAGCTTGCCATCCTCGTCGCGGAATTCGTCATCCGGCCTGGACTTTTCCTGCGCAACTAGCTCACGCGCTTGCTTCTGCAGCTCGGCGGCAGCTTCGTAAATGTCACTGGCCTCTTCATTGTACTCCTTTGCGTTGTTGAACATGAGATCAATATCCTTGAGCGCATCGTCAACAGTGGAGTATTTCTTCCTCTTAGCATTCCTCTTGATGTTGTCGAGCGCAATGGGATTGGTGATGACCTGATAGTAATCCGGGTTTGCAAGCTTATCGGGCAGCTTCTCAAAGGGACCAATGAGCAAGTCACCGTCGTCTGACTGAAACTTGCGTAGGCCCTTGATAACGTTGTGAATGCGTGCTTCGAGTGGTGTCAAGACTTTGGGAGGGCGACCACGCTTCTTATGTTCGTCTTCCTCCCGGGCCTCCTCAAGCTGGCGCTTGGTGAGCGAAGTCCGGCCACGTCTTCTGCTTCGTCGACGTTTCCCGTCATCGTCGGATTCATCCTCTTCTTCTTCCTCTTCCTCCTCCTCCTCTCCTTCGTCCTCTTCAGATTCAGCTTCCGGTGACGAATCTTCCGCGGGCGGAAGCTCGCCTAGATCTGGAAGCTCAGCTTCTTCAGACTTGACGGTGCCTTTGGCAACAAGTTTCTGTAGCTCCTTCTTGAAAAGGTCTCGGATAACAGTGGCGCTCTTAAAGATGGCCGAGGAAGGCCGGTTATACACTTGCGCATTGTGGCAAATTTGTGCAAGATCGCGAACGAACTCGGGGAAATCTGTATACAGCTTTTTTTGAATCTTGTGCTGCTTGGTGTCAGTCTCGTATCAAGAGGCTCCGCAGCTAGGCAGGACATACGCGAATGGTGCTGAAGGCGATTGGGTTCTCAATGATTTCGAAATAGTCGGGCAGTTGACGCTTGTTCGGGATGCGTTGGAAACTAGCCGCCCACCATTCACCGCTATAATGACAAGTGATTAGCAAGGAGATGCGCATAGCATGCGTCTGATCGAAACGTACTCTTCGTCCTTGTAGTTGCTGACGGTTGAGCTAATGGTTTGGATGACATCCAAGAGGTCGCCAGGCTCGGATTCCACAGGGGATGCGGCACCGTCATCGGGGTCTCCATCTGCATCAGCCTCTGCGTCGACTTCACCATCTGCATCTGCGTCTGCATCTGCATCTGCATCGGCGTCGGCGTCAGCGTCGCCGTCTGCATCCGCTTCACCGTCCGCGTCAGCTTCGGCGTCGGCGTCGGCGTCAGCACCCGCGTCGATATCCATTTTGTCAGTGGGAGGTGGTTTTGCAGTGACAGCAGGTTCGGTTTGCTTGGTGTCGGCGGTGTTGGCGACAGGTGCGTCGGTCATTTCGACATCGTTGGTGACCTTGGCCTCGATGGACTCGCGCACTTCAGGCGCGTCGCTGCGCGTCGCCATGGTTTCCTCCACCTCTTCGGATCGCAAACGAGGCAGCTAAAGGTTCCTTCACTTGGGACAATTGAAGGTACAAGGGGTCAAGGGAGACACTGGGCCCTCGGAATTAGCGGGCTCGAGTGAGAGAAGAGGTCGAGGGCTTGCGTCGCAAAGGTGGATTTTCCAAGGACGGCGTCCTTCGGAGCTGAGGAATTGAAGGTTTGCGAAAGCAGTGAGACGGGAGCTGTCCGGGGTCCTACGGGTACAAGTGGTGCTGAGAGGGGATGTTAGCAAGGAAGCAGCCCGGGGCCGGTTCTGCCTTTCCCGGCTCCACCTCGGCTAACTGGCACATTGACGACGGGCGATTGGACGACCAGGAGTCGGCTTGTGTCAGCGGCTTCCCGGGTTTTGTACTAATAGGATAGGTACTACGTAGTACGTGTTGAAGGACATTTCGAGCTTGACAACAGCAGAGGAGGAACTCAACTTTGCCTATCCGTACCTCCCTACATTGCCAACGTCTTCAAACGCCTTCTTCTATGGTTTGAGAGAGAAGCGCAAGAAAGACACATTGGCTCATTTGCATAATTTTCTGTGTCAAAGCGATTGAGTCTTCCCCTTGAACTTATCCCCCGGCTCTGCTCACCATCTTCATGGTACAAAGCCTCTGGTCCTACATCGAGATTCGTTGTATGGTCCCTCTCAGACGTAGCGCTGCGATACCCCGGATCTCACGTCTCAAAGGGACCATTTCGTATACTATTTCGGGTGAGTTGCTGGCCACTTCATGTTGGAGACATGCTACAGCTAGCTGTCTACGTTGACACTCCTGACGGCTCGCGGCAAGCTGCTATGGAGCTGTGGGCTACCGACCTCACAGGCATGTGAATAGAAACCCAACGCGGAAGACAAAGTGGGCGACTACGACGTAGAACCATGAAGTCATTGTCACTGCAGCACTGGAACAGGACACAGCAGCTCGGCGTTTATTGGAGTAGTTCTCCACTCGGAGCTTGGAAGCGATTGAAGAAAGCACAATGCCACAAACTCCAATCCCAGCACCAGCACAGTTACGACGCCATCCTTTGTTTCTCGACTAGGACAAGCTGATGCCCTACCGAGCGTACATTAGTCTGACCTAGCCATCTTAGGTCGAAAACGTCCAGCAGTCAAAACGCTCAAACTCGGTTTTCAGTCCTCCCCGTTCCAAACATCAAACGACCAGTCAAAGGCAGCTTTCTACAGCTACTTAATAAGCGGAGAAGCTTCTAGTGCATCCGAACTATCAGCGACAGTTGTTCTCCCCTACGTGTGACACTACCTACTGCCACCGCTCTATGTCAACCCCGTCGTCTTGGATCCAACCAACATCGCTGCAGAAGCACTTCTCCCGCTTCCTTCGCCGAGGACCTCACCCGAGTTCTCTCACGTCGGACGACGCTACATAGCTAGCTAACCTGACTAGAACGTGGAGTTAAATCGCCCAACTGAAAGCGCATACATACGTCTCACCTCCAAGTCCCTAAGCAACTGAGTCTCCAGAAAGAGAACCCGCAGTTGGATTCCATGCGATAAGATAAACCCCTCCGTTCGACCCCGCCATCTACAGCTCGTTGGCCATTACTTGTCCATCTGCATCGGTCCCCGGCCCAGATCGTCTGTTCATAGTCCCTATTCCATTTTGATTTGGAACCTGTGCGGCATTGCACTGTCAGACATCTCGACTTGCGATCCTAACTTTGGCCGCATAACCATAGTCCAATAGACCTTCAGCAAAGCACAGTCATATCACGATGAGGGCCAGATATAAGGGTCCGGGAGGCACAGGCGTTGTCTCCCTCGAGGACACTGCCACGGTCCAAGACCTCTTCAATGAGATCAAGGACAAGACGGGCATCGCCGAATTCAGTCTCAAGTACGGCTGGCCTCTCCAGACCCTAACCCTCGAGCAGAAGGATGCCAACGCCAAGGACTTGGGCCTCAATGGACAGTCATTCAGCATCGAGCCAGCCCAACATCGTGCAATTACACCCCCGCCTGTCGCTCCGGCAGCTCGAGCTCCCGAAGCAAGCGGCCCAGCGTCCAAGAAGCCCCGCTTCGACTCCGATGCCGACCCGACCCCTTCGGAAATTAGCATCCCGTGGCCGGAGCGGGAGTCGACTTTGCGTGAGTCTGCCACTCCCATTCTCAACTGCACCTCATCTGACCAAATCTCAGTTCTCCGAGTGATGCCTGATGACAACAGCTGTCTCTTTACCGCATTTGGAGGGGCTATCCCAGGCAAGCAGATGGAAGCCAAGGAGCTCCGCAAGATGGTGGCAGATTACATACGCCAGCACCCAGACGATTACCCTGAGGCTGTCCTCGACATGCCGGTAGAGAAGTACATCCGCACCATCCAGGATCCCGAACGCTGGGGCGGCGCCATTGAGCTGGGCATCTTCTCGGACCTCTTCGACCTTGAAGTCGTCGCCTTTGACGTCAAGTCCCAGAACCCGCTCCGCTTCGGCGAGAACAAGGACTCGCGCTGCATCCTCGTCTACTCGGGCATCCACTACGACCGCATCGCCTGCAGCCCCTCTGAGCCGCCCTACACTCACTCCGACCTCCCGCCCGAGCTCGACCGCACGAACTGGAGCACCTCTGACGACGAGATCCTCAACAAGACGCGCGAGCTCATTCGCAAGCTGCACGAGATGCACTACTTCACGGATACCACTGAGTTCCTGCTGCGGTGCACCGTGCATGGATGCGACTGGTTGGGCAACGGCCAAAAGGAAGCAAACAAGCACGCCAAGGCGACGGGACACATGGGATTCAGCGAGATCAAAGACGAACCGGCGGGTACTTTGGGCGGACCTCCGGGTGCCGCCGCTACCTTTGGTGATAATGCGCTGCGCAAGTGTGATGCTCCTGGGTGTGAATGGCTGGGTAGTGGTACGGTCGAGGCCAGGATTCACGGGAGCGAGACGGGACACACATCCATGACTGAGATCCCAGACTTTTGATGGAAGCGATTATGATGCATGGCGGTGCGGAGTTGTGAAACAGTAATCGAGGACCGGGGAACTGGGAGTTCGGTTGTATTTTACCAAGAATTTACAATGGGAGTAGGGACTGAGTGTCACAGCTTCAGGATGGTTTGGTATCTCACGAGCAAGTTGAGCTCATATAATGACTGAACGACTTCAAGATCTGATCACTACGCTTGCTCAACCTCATTCAACTCCAAGTCAAGCCTGGCTTCGTAACCCTCATCCAATCGCTCGCGACGGAATATAGAGAAGCTGAAGAGAAATCCAAGGAGTAAAAGAAAACATAACAGCTCCCACCATCGGATCCAAGGAGAGATCCTCAAAAACCTCCCATCACCTTTTCCTTGACTGCCTCTTCCACGAAGGGTCTTTATTTGTACGTCAGCCCTCCGCCGTAGCTATGCTCGCTGTTCGCCCCGCCCTTTGTAACCGTGCCCTCGGTGACACCCGTCACGAAGGCGCAGCTGCCTAGGTCTCGCTTCTCGACTTTACCGGCACCGGGCGAAATGTCAAAGTCGAAAATATCCATGGGCAGACCGATGGTTGTACACGCGTTGGGGATGTCAACGATGCCGGCGACGTGGCCCTGGATGGGCGCGCAGGACATGAGGAGGTAGACTTGGTAGTCACTGTAGCCGAAGCGGCGGAGGTATTCGATGACGCCTAGTTTGATTCAAGTTAGCAAGGCACCTTCTTTCTTCTATTCTTTCTCTGCTCGAGGTGTCGCAGTAGAGCGAAGAGAATAAGAGAAGCACTGAAAAGGAAAGAGGAACTTACGAAGACAGGTCTGTCTGTACGCGACGGTGACGTCCATGTAATGCTGCTTGCCGTGCTGGTCGACCGAGAACCCTTCAAAGTAAATGTGGCGGCCAGGACCGAACTGCGGCTCGACAGGACCGGGAATGTAGATGGGCGACTTGAGGTCCAGGTCGGCGACGCCGTTCTTGATGACCTTGAAGTTGATGGTGATGACGCCCGCCATCTCGATGGCGCCGCAGAAGGAGATTTCTCCGTCGCCCTCTTCGTCATCGTTAGTTGACTGTTGCTATAATGCAGACATGGCCAGATGAGATAAGATAAGAGTCGGCAGTCGACTTACGGGAGAAGTGCAGATCACCAACACTGAACTTGGCGCCGGGGACATGAACGGGGAGGTAAACCTTGCTGCCTCTGCTCAAGTTCTTGATACTATGCACTCAAAGTCAGCCAGCCGCTTTTCCCTTGCGTCCCTTGCGTCCCTTGGTTTTCTGCTCGTCATATCATCGGGAAGAAGTTGAAGAAGAGAGGTTGTTTCTCAAAAACTCACTCGCAATTGCCGCCGTGCTCAGGCCGCCCGGGAATCGTCCTGGCGCCCTCCTTGCCGACCTTTTCTTTGAGATCCGCGTCCGCGGCGCCGGCGTGGACGTTGATCGGCTCAGGCGGCTTCGCGACATCGCGGTCGAGCTTGTTGGCGGCGATGAGCTCGCCCTCGCGCGCATTCCACGTGTCGAGGACTTCGGCCGAGGGTGCGCAGCCGAGGATACCCGGGTGGATGAGGCCTGCGAACTTGACGCCCGGGATGTGTCGTGAGGAGCAGTAGATTCCTTCAAAATCCCATATGGCCTTTGCGCTTGATATCGGGGATGTAATGTTAGAAAGGTTTTGATGAGTGGGAGATGATGATGCCAACATGGAGATTATTCGATAAAGCAAAGACTTATCGGGCCTCGTGGGTATCAACAATTTGGCGTGCAAGGACTTACGCGGTAGGATAAAACTCATCCAAGAATCCACCGCCGTTGTTCTTATCAAAGACGCCGGTGAAGCCCCATGGTTGGTCCTCAAACGGCTGAACGTCCATGATTTCTACCAAGAGCAGATCGCCGGGTTGGGCATCTTCGACCTCGAAGGGACCGCTGAGATAGTGGATCTTGGTCAGATCGACGTTGAGCATGTCATCCGCCGAATCATTGTTGCCAATCTGGCCGCCAGTCCTGGGATCATGGGTGAGCTGCGGGCAGTGAGACACAAGTTGAAGAGCCGATTACCAGTCTACGCATTCGATTTTAACTGTCTCGCCATTCTTGATGGTGCCGGAGAAGGGGACTTTGGGTAGATTAGATGGTATCACGACTCAGGAACCCGCCATCTACTCACTGTCCGGGTGCCATCTGTTCTGGTTTGGCTGTCAACAAAATTGATTCTCAAAGCTTAAATCGAGGGGAGGGCACTTACATGCAGACCAGGCTGCTCAGAAGCAGGCTTATCAAAGCTGACCTTGTTGGCCGTACGAATACCGGTCTTGCCCATTGTCGAAAGGTATTATGGAAAATCGGTTGGTCTTCAAGGCAAAATAATTCCAAGACACTGGATTGAGCCTTTCACTTTTTCTTATGGGAGTGAGTATCAATTCTATCCTGACAGCTCGCTCTGCTAGATATACATGCATCCAAGCTAACGTCTCCAAACTACCCCGCCCTGACCTCCTCGGAAGTAGCTCATCCAGCGAATTAGATACTTCTCTTTTCTCGCCTAGCTATCTACCCCGAATATGGGATAATGCCAACAATGAGAGTGGCCGCTGGCTTGAACGTTCCGTGGCCGAGTACAAGTGCGGAGCTGGGTGCGGGCTGGAAATTGATAAGAGCTGCCCGATACCGTAAGAGGCTTGTATCTGACAACCCCCGCTTTGGCTCCGCCGTCGGCCGTTCCCAAAACCAATCGATAAGACAGCGTGGTGATCTCATGTCGCATGAATGCTCCTATCATAAAACGTAATTGATTAGAATCCGGGGTTGTTTATCTCGGCATCTGTCTTTCGCGCCTTGTCAGTCCCGCTCGCCCGTTCCTTTGCAGAATGCGCAGTGCAAACATCCGTTGTTACCCAATCTCGGCATGACTGGATCCACGCCGTTGGATTGTTCAGAGTGAACGCCGGAGAGCGACCGTCGGACGAGCAGCTTCGCACTCTGTTCTTTGCTTTTGTTACTCGTGCTTTTGCGCATCGCCTGTCGGGTTTGCCGGGCGCGACTTGAGGTGAATGGCATCGAGATCGCCGAGGGAGAGGTTGAGGAACTCGTGCTTGTTCGTCCACTCCTGCTGACTCTCCGCAAAAGCGACCTTGTCGGCGGGAGGCGGGGGAGGGTCTGTAATCTTGGTAATCAGATACGCTGTTGAGGCCTCTGCGATGCCATAGATCAAGACGCCAACGAGCGGGATCTTAATCAAAGTATAGAACCCGATAGCGAAGCCAAACAGCAGACCCTCGCGGTTCCGGAACCAGTTCTTCTTCTGCTCCTTGGTAAAGTGTACGCGGGAGAAGTATGGCTCTAGAAGTTCTCTCATCAAACTTCTCGAGGCAAAGTAACTCTGCAGGAAGATGATGATGTACCGCTTGGGCAGGAAGATGCCAGTACCGAAAATCACAGAAGCCGGGCCCAACCCAACCGCCTTATTAAATGTATAGAAACTGGCTGCAGGCAGCACGAATCGACCGACGACGGGGAGGTACGAAAGGGCGAAGACCGCAAGGGAGATGCCACCCTTTCGGGCGAAGCGGTACAGGAACATGCTGATGGCTTCCGCCGTGCTAGTGGTGTGGGTGCTGCCGTCCTTGACCTTGTACATCTTCAAGTTGGGATAGTACATGTCTCGAAGCTTATTTGGGTCTTCGTGCTTGTGTTTCTGGACGTACGTCTTGTCAACCCAGTTCAGCGAGTCCATAAACCTATCTCCATGTTAGCGAGACCCAGTGGTTGGGAAAAGACGCAGACTTGCATGTTGTCCAGAGTCGGGGTGACGTAACGCATCAACGCCATCAGGAAAAAGGGGACCTGCAAGACGTATTCCTCGATGAAGTTGAGGCCCCCAACAATCTTGTCGTCCCAAGTGACATGATCTAGGCTGAGGAACAGCGAGAGAATCCAAAGTAGGACTCGGACGCCAACGACCTATCGCAGTGTCAGCAACATGAGGAAAGAGGAGGACCTGGGTGGTTGTTCGTGATCCTGAAGCAGGGGCGTGGCTTACGGGAATGGAGATGACGAGACGGATGGCGAGGCCACTCAAGACGGCAATGCCGGCTTGTCGGTAGTGGTCCGAAGTAAACAAGGCGGGATTCTGAAGAGCTCGTTGAGCTTGACAGCAGTCAGCAATTCAACCTGGGTTAAAAAATCCGGAGGAACTGGAGGCCATGGTTCCATGTACTGACCTCCGACCAGCGTTAACTGGATGCCCCGCAGGATTTGGTTCAGGTCGAAATGGGACAAGTCGAACTCCCGCTTCAGTCTCTCCTTGTCAATGGGAAGCTTGTCAAGCTGCTTGTCGATCTGACTTTCGAGCTTGTCTCGCCTTTCGAGCTTGTCGGAGGTCGCCATGGTTTCTCAATGTTGTGGAAGTAACTATGCCGATCACAACAGACGATGCTGGTTGTCGAGGTTCAAATGGTCAAAATTTTGGAGGGGCACGCGAGCTCTGCGTCCACCGTGTCAGCGCAGGGCTGGTGCTGGGCTGAGCTAAACTTGCTATGAGCTGGAGCTGACTGTGGCGGGAAGACGATGACGACACCCTTGCCGGGAACAGTGGCTGAGAGCCTGGGACTACTATGTATCCGAGCCTCGCAACGGTGCAACCGGTACATCCGGAAGTTGTGCTGGTCCGAGCTTCACCGAGTGCCAAGCAGTTCCCCGTGATCCCTAAGGTATTTTATCGTTGCACCGGATACCTAAGGTAGGTAGGTAGGTACCCGGGGTAAAGTAGGAGCTACAAGTCACCGAACCAAACCACAGCAATTACGGCGCCTCAGAGACGTGTCATTAGTCGTTACTGCCCTGGCAAGACCAGGTAGACTGAAATGTCATTCGCTCGTAGGGCGGCTAGCTGCATGGTGATGCATCAGCCCAGAAGTACATAGTAGGTAGCTCCGATGACCGGGTGAAAGTGGATTAGACATTTAGAGACCGGTTCATGCCGAATGCTGTGGCTGCATTACGCACGCGTCGAACTTGCATCCTAGAACGCGTCCACTGGCTAGGAGCTGTAACCCCTGCACGCATTGCTCAAAGCTCGAAGCTTCGAGCTCAGAGCTTCAAGACTAATTATGTGACTACGGATACGTCCCTGAACATTTTCCCCTCTTGCTCTTCAGGGAATGGACCCAGGTGCTATAACTGTAGCCGATCAAGACGGCTGTTGCCATGGGGGACCCGAGGCTCTCGAAGGGTTTGGGGACCTCGGAAGCTAGTTTCTGGTTGAGAATGCGGTGAGGGCCAAAACGACGAGGCAACACGAGCTCTCCAAGCCTCAAAGGTGAGGTTGAAAGGCGGAGCTGAAAATAACCAGACATGCTCCACTGGATTTGTGTTGAGGTCGCCCCGTCTCATCTTTGCCGTTTCTCCTCAGCGAACATTACAAAGCCCTGGGCTCCCCCGTATCGATCCCCATATTCATAAAAAATTAAGGATGCACCTCGGCTGGGATACGTCGGCTGTCCCCGGTGCGACCCCAATGGATTGCAGTAGCGGTAGCGGTAGCGAGGCGCCCACGACATGCAATCTCCAGTCTAGCTCCAGATGGGGCCGGGCACATGACGAGGGCGCGCTTCTGTGAGCCTAGTCATCCTAGCTTGTTCTCCGGATCTATCTAGATGGTCTCTGTGCATAAGAAGAAGGGGCAAGTGAGAGATCAAAGCGAAGCAATCACAATAAGACGGGTGAGATGTGGTGATGAGAAGCATAACCGCCTCAGGTATGAGAGAGGAGGGAAAGAGAGCATGTGAAAGCCAGTCCGGGTGTGGAGTATTCGTAAGTGAGTGCGTCGTGTCTCAAACTCCCGCAGTACACATGCAGGAATTGAGAGTCTCTCCTATCATTACGGATACCAGGTGGCCATTATGCATATCCAACTTGAGTCAACGACAACTCAGGCCAAGAAGTCCACGCATCTACCTATCTGTGTGCTGCAGGGTATTAACAAACAAGTCGAATGAGGCAAGGCAAGGTGCCTTAGATTATTTGAGCACTGAGGCCCTTTGGGCCTCTGGGAATGAAGCAGAGAAAGGGAGGGAGAGTCTCATAGTACGGCCACAGGGTCAAGTGACAAGGACGTGGGTGCGGGGCGCGGGGGTCCATCGCTATCAAACGGCGACGCGATGGTCAGGACTCAGGAAACCGGCAGCGTCAGAAACCCCCCGTCGGGCGCGTGTTTCCTCGAACGAGTCTCCAAGAAGCCGTGACATCGTTAACCCCTGGTCGAACCATGAGCAAATCCGTCCAAGCTTCCATCTTTTGTGCATCCTGGATTCCTGGCATCACCTTGCTTCCGACCTCCAAGTGCGCCGCCGCCGCCCCTCCCTGAGTCCCTGCCGCCCTGGCTCAATCTCAATTATCAAAAACCTTTTTTCTCTTCCTCAACCTCCTCCTCCTGTTCTCCTCTCCTCATTCGCTTCTCCGGGACAGGACACACCCATCTCTTCTTGCCTTCCCTTCCCTTTGCTATCGTGTGGTGGCACAAGTGTTTCTTCTTCATCTGAAGGCTACTGAGACGGAGCAAGACACTTTATTTCCTTGCCGATTCTCGCTCGGGTCAAAAGGGGGCCCACGTCCATCCGCGCCGCTCAATTGGACCCCTTCGTTTGCCCGTTCCTCGGATTCCTCCAAAAAAAAAAAAATACCCCCTTGCCATATTTGTCTTTGCTTCCGATCTGCACTGCTCTATTCTCTGGACGAAGACCTGCGCGCTAACGAACGCGACGGAAATCGACAACACCAACGAACGTCTGCTCCGACGACAAATCTGTCCTTCTAGGCCTGTCATGTCCTCAATGTCGGCTTCGACATGACCCAGGTCCGACTCGTAATATTCGCCCATCAGCTGACACTTCCCGCACTTACGTGACGTGACTGCACTCACGCGGTCGCAATCTCACATACACACCCTCTCCCTTGCTCCAGGGATACCACGATGGAATCTCTTCGCCCTGCCTACCCGGCTCCTCGCCGCGTCGCAACTGCCCCGATATCAACACACATGTCACACCCGGCGCCATCCACATCGGCTGGTGGCCTCATCGAGACACTATACAATCACCCCAATGTCAAGATCGTGGCCTTCGCTGCTGCCTCCAGGGGACGAGCTAGGAGTCCAGGCCGTGGTCCTTCAGACGAGCCCGGTTCTCTGTCCGCTCACTCGCAGCTGGAAAGGACAATCGCCATCGGTAAGTCACACATGTCTTCCAATGCCTGCACAGCCTTTGCTAATTGGAATCCGCCTTGATAGGGCCGTTCCGAATATACCGCACTGGATCCGTCGCGTTCTTGAATTGTGGCTCTGCCCTGCAGCCAATGTTGCCGAAAAGTCAATGCTGGGCCCTAGCCGAAGACTCTAGCAAATTCGTGTTGCAGATTCGCCGACCCAATTACTGGAGGATTGAGATACCGGTCACCAATGCCGATGAACAGGAACTTGCTGCGGCATTGAAGGGTGTCTGGGATCAAATACTGCAGTTTGAGAAGACGGAATGCCCTTTCAAACGGTCTTTCACAGTCGTTCTCCCCCAGAAACCAAAGACACCCGTCAAAAAGCGACCATGGACACCCCCGGTTAAACGACCTCTGCCTGTCCTATCGACACCAGCACACGAGGTCGAAGTATCCCCGACCCCGAAGGCTCTGACGCCCAACACCGGCAGAAGAGCCTCGACATCCTCTCTCCGCGGCCGAAGCGAGCAACGCCGTCTATCTACTATTAGCAATGACTTTCAGTCAAGCTCTAGATCCCGTGAGCCTAGCGCCGAAATACCGAAAGCGGTAGAGCCCAAGGATGACAACTCAAACCCTGCAGCAGAGGGACCCGCAGTTACGACAGAGTTGAAGACAATTACGAAGCGGGAAACGGAGGCAACCCGCATTGTCGAGAGCAATTCTACGACTCAAGTGGCGATTAAACAGGAAGGTCAAGCGTGTGACCTGGTCAGGATGCACGAAGAATCAATGTTCGAGGAATCGATCGCGGAAGAAGTGGAGCTGGAGGACGAGCTTCAAACAGATCTGGAGACACACGCCGAGGAGTCTCCAGCAAAGTCACTAGAAGTGCAAGTTATGAATGACTACGCGGGTGGACAAGACAATGCCCACAACGAGACGACTACCCCTGCGATCATACCAGCCTCGTATGCCACCCCACCACACGCATCTGTGACAGTGCCTTTGACAGAGACCGTCGACGGCGAAAAAGAGGCTCAGAGCCTTGGAATTCCTCAAGCTTCCATCGAAATCGCCGACTCGTCAACGAAGCCAAAGACAGGCAAGCCAGAAGCTACGGTAGAGACTACGGTGACTTCTGAGCTACCAACGACTCATCGGCTGCTGCAGGACGAAATCAAGGAGCAGCTCGTCACTGTGGAGGTTTTGCCCAATACCCCCCTCTCGGCGGGTGCAAGCACACCCACGCCTACTAACATCTATGATGTAATTCGGAACTACGAGATCAAGATGGCCGCTGCGACTTTGGAGTCTACGCCGGCCACTGAGCCTGTTACTGAGTCCGACAAGGTTTGTGAGAAACTCCAAGCCGAGGTGGGCCATGGCAGCGAGACTGGGTCAAGCAGTGAATCACAATCCGCGACCGACGAAGAGGCAGTCCTCGAGGGTAGCGGAGTTATGGGTGGCAGAAGAAAGAAGCTTCGCGGGTTTAGAGCCGGCAGGGCTCTTGTTCCCCCACAGCTGACCCTCCTCACTTCGCCGCCGTCAAAGTCAGCTATGCGATCGACTCCGATTCTGGACGAGGCGGCTTCGCCAACCGGTTCTACAGATTCGTTCCACAGCTCAAAGTCATGGCACTCGCCCGCCCACTCCCCAATTACGCCTGTTCCGCGGTCTCCTGCCTCAGACGTCTCTCCAACGAGGTTCCCATACCCGCACGATAATATTTTGATCCCTAAGAAGCCTTGGCACTACCGCGACATTTCCGATCTGACCATCACACCAGAGACTCGGCGTACTTGGGATGCGACGTCGTCCCTCACCGACGACAGCTCGGTGGATAGCGCAGCCACCGCGCCAGACATTGCTTCTGAGGCGGTTGAGCAGCCTGACAAAATTGCTCTCTCCGAGGATGAAGCAGCAACGACGGCCGTCGTACGTCGCCCGTATATTCGACACAGGTCAACCACGAGCAGCATCTCGGTCGGTCGCAGAGCGCTCTCGCCTCTGCCGACAGCTGCCAACCTTTTTGCGCCCACGAGCGCCCAGGCCAGGTATCATCCCCTGAGAAGCCGCCTGGAACTTGTCCGCAGAATCCCCATGGCCATTGTGTCGAAGACTTGCGAGGTTCTTCTTGGTCCGCCAAGCCATCTCATCGCCCTGATGCTCCAGGTGGCTGCTAAGATTGCCGCCGGACAATGGCGCGGTATGATGTTCGGTTTCGGCGAGGGCGGCGAGACAATTCCCGTGCAATGGGACTACTCTGACGATGAGTATGATAGCTGGGGCGAGAACGACGATTACTATCTCAGCCAAGTCGAGTCATCGCGTGCGAATAGCGTGATCGGCACCGACGACGGCGAGAACGATGAGGCCACCGATAACGCGAACGGAACGGGTCGCGGATGGGAGGTTGACTGAAGGCCGTGAGGCATCAGTCTGTAATGATTTCATGTATGACCACTGTACGTTTTACTCGCCAGGAACTGCATCTAGGATGGAAACTTTTTGGGCGTTTTTGAGCAAAGGAAGCAACTGTACGGGAGGGCCTTGGATCCGAGGAGGTCGAAAATGTGCCCATATCCCGACGATATGTGGGATCACGTTGGTCCTGTTCTTTTTCTGATGTATGAACACTTTCATTGGGAACGGTGGGATTGGCTCTTTAAGGATTTGCCCCTTTATTGGCATTACGAGGCATTTAGTCCGTACGCTGGCCTTGCCAGGTACTATTCAGGGATGAATTCACTTCACGATTTAAGAACATGGCTAGATGCGGATCATGAGCTGTGCCCTTCCTGCACTCTCGCGGATGTGAGCAGTCATAAGTGTCCTCGGACGTGTGATAAGAATGGCTTAGGAGGCTGAAGCAATCTCGGCGGGTCATCATTGCAGACAGCCACGCCGCGTTGCTCACAGAGACTACCCAAGAAGTCATATCAGCAAGCTTAAAGGGGCCCCGGGTACAGCTTCCGGATTATCTACAAGACTGTTCCAGGAATCTGGGAACCTTTGAACCAGTGAGGTCAACACGAGATACGATGAGATGACAGCTGTAGCCTGCATGCCGGCATATCTTGGGGCTGTTTCTTGGGCTGATTTAGGCATCTCGAATCTAAGGGAGAACGTCTCGCCATCATTAATAATGAGATGTTGATGAAGCCTAGCTTTGTGGGTGTGTCAGTCGGGTCATCTTTTGCGCGCGTCGTATTTGAGGGATGGATGCGATTGATTAACGTGAACGCCTTCTGAGGCTGATCTTTGGGGTCTGGGGGGGACTTGGCGAGCGTATTCGTCGGGTTGCGGATTTGGGGGAATCTACTTTTTGAGAATTGGAAGATCAACAAGAGGAATTTGCATGCTCTATTTCGAAGGACGATGGACGGTCGTTGTGCAAATATGCGTGCCAGTGAATTGGCCATATATATACAAGTCCCTTATGGGCGAACTTGTCTTCGTAAGATTATACATGAACTTAGAAGCTGGTGCAAAGCACTGGATGCCGCTTTCTTTCCAACTCCCACAATTGCCAACATTATCTTGCATAACTGGTCGACGGAAAGCTAGGAAGTTATAGAGTTCACTCAAGTCGAGAAATCTCGGGACAACATGGAGGACGGCAACTATGGTAATATCGACCCATCCCTAGCAGGCCATCAAACCCTCACTAACAAGATCTAGTCGACGGGAGTTACTTCTTCTACGCCCCAAATAAGGCGGCGCCCATATTCTTCGCTGTAGCGTTTGCTGCCTCTGGTATACTGCACTTCTGGCAGAGCTAGTGAGTTATTCTACTCGTATTACCGCCTCTTTGTCGACGCTCGTAGCATTCCACCGCAAGAAGGAAGAGCAAGTTGCTGATCAATAATGACGGGTCCCTAGCCACTATAAATTCTTCAAAGTCACGGCGCTATTTTCCTTCTGCTGTCTGCTCTTCACGGCGGGCTTCGCCGTCCGCACGTACAGCGCGTGGCATTATGATAACCTCGACACCTTCATCGCTAGTGTTTGCCTCATCTACGCGGCTCCGTAAGCAGAACCCCTAGCTTTCTTCCATGTCCACACACCTCCAGTAAGGGGAAGAAAAGAAAAAAAGAAAAAAACCTCAACTCACCTCTTCCATATCTCCAGACCCCTTCTCGAGCTAGCAAACTACAATATTCTCGGCCGCGTGCTCTACTACGTCCCCTATTGCTCCCCGCTCCACCCGGGCCGCGTCCTCAGCACCTTTGCCTTCTTCTCCAGCATTGTAGAGGCCCTGAACGGCTGGGGTGCGTCCTACTCCGCCAACCAGTCCCTCACGCAGCGGGAGATGGAGGCGGGCCACGCGCTCATCAAGACGAGCCTGCTCCTGCAAATCTTTGTGATTGGGTGCTTTGTCGGTCTTGCTGTCGTGTTCCAGCGGCGGTGCGCGCGGGAGGGCGTGGCGTCTGTCCGCGGGGTGAGGGGTCCCATGGTGACGCTGTACATGAGCGTCGGGCTGATACTGGCAAGGACGTTGTTCCGGGTGGTGGAGTACTTCGGAGTCGCGAGGGTGCGGTGGGATGCTGAGACGGAGGTGGGGGATATACCGCCCGCGATACGGTACGAGTGGTTTTTCTATGTTTTCGAGGCGAGCCTGATGTTTGCGAATGTAGTCATGTTCAATCTGCGGCATCCGAGGCGGTATTTGCCCGAGAAGTATACGGTGTACCTCGCGCCGGACGGGGTCACGGAGGTGGAGGGACCGGGTTGGAAGGACCCGAGGCCGCTTTGGGTGACGGTTGTGGACCCGTTCGATCTGGGTGGGTTGCTACGTGGGAGAGATCGCGAGATGGACCGGTTCTGGGAGAGGGATAATGGGGAAGCTGGAGGGGACGAGGGGAGGGAGGGAAGGAAGGGAACGGTTGCTGTTTGAGTGTGTTGATGCGATGATATCCGTTACTATTGTTTTATTTGTAAAAGATTGCTTCTTCCCTTTGCTGGATCTGTTTGGCTTAGATAGATCATCTGTCGCGACAATAGTCCCACCGATTGTACCAACTTTATAGTCCAAGGAAGCCTGCCATGATACCAAAAAGGTGACCGAGTTCTCCAGAAGGAAGAAGCCCCAAAAAACATACAACACCAGGTATTCGCTGGTCGTCACCGACCCAACTACTAATCCGGCCCTCATTAGCTTATCTATGGGAGAGCGGACGGGATCCCGAGTTTTCCAATGGGTATGGTCGTATGTGACAGCTGCGAGACTTGAGGCTGACCATATAGCATAGCTTGGGCTGTGCCTTGCTCTTTCCCACAAGAGGTAGACCAGCCTCTAACTCAGCGTTCTCAAATTCTTCGGGACTTGCGCCGCCACTCGCAGATATTCTAGGGTTCTCCATACGACGAGGTTCTAGCTTCGGTACTAGGATTGTTAGCCCAAATTTCTCTTCTGAAGCCGAGCTAAACGAGTAAGCAGGGGGGGCATAGGATATTCATCATTTCTGAGTGGACGCAAAGCATCCGAGCTCTGGCTATATCTTACCCAAGGCGGAGCTGGATAGTAGCGGTGAGAAAGGACAAAAGACGGGAATTTGACCGTCCGTGTCATGTTCGAAGCGAAGCCAAGTAGACTACTGTTCTCGGGACGATGGACAAGAACGAAAGACTGCTCATGGCAAACGGCACGCCAATTGGGTAGGCCAAGGAGAAACAACTATTGGAAATGAAGAGTAGTACGAGAAACGCGCTGAAATAGACGGGGCGGAGAGGCGATGCTCATAACGCAGAGCTCCTTCTTCATGGGTCCTGGCTTAGTGACAGGCCCATGTTTGCGGCGCCTATCTTGAGCCATCGCGCTTATTATCGCGCTTCGCCTGCTCCAGATGCCGAGAACTAGGTCGAAGGACAATGCCTGCCTTGAGGTGATCCTAATAGGCTACCGGAAAGTCAGATCTGAAGGCAGGCAACCGCACGATGTCGGGTCGGACTCGGGGGTTGCAGTTGAGGATCGGAGCTGCAGCGGCGGAGGGTTGTGGAGCTCTTTTGGTGGAGAAGTGCTTATATCGCCGTATCGAATTGGGAAGCGGGATGGGAAAACAAAAATAGCAATCCAAGCCACGCTTGCCCCCCCGAATGGAACGTGGCGACAGATAGCACGTGGCTTGAGGCTGTGTGGCGCACACAGGATGCCGGGGCACATGCTTATATAATACGAGCAACTTGGGCGAGCAGCTTCCACCTTTCCAGCAGGTCGAGGAGAGATGAGCGATTAAGATGGCACGATGGGTACCTTGTTAATTAACCACTCGGACAATTCGGCAGACATGGGCAACTTGATCCAGAGGTCAAGTAATTCCCCGAGCTCATATCAGACACACCGTCATCACCGGGCCCGCGGTTCCTCGACGGCTCCCAGCTTCCAATTGGCTTCTTCGTAATCGTTTCCCTCAAGTTCATTCCGCATCCTTCACCCGTCAGCCCTGGCCTTCCTGTCTGAACTTTGGATCAAACTTCCAGGCCGTGTGGCAGGGGTGAGCAACTACAGCAAGAAGCGGCACCATCAATGCTGTACGATATTTTCGGCGTGTTGGATGACAGGTAGGGTTTTTTGGGTGCTGACCGGCCCCACTTCATAGAAGTCAGATTCGACGATTCCATCATGTGTTACTGTTCCCTCCTCGGCCGGCCTTCCGCTGACGTGCGATGGCCGCATCCGTGCAACCTGGAGATTGTCTTTCCCATCACAGAGGGGATGGCGAAAAGCTGATCAAGGGATGTCGGCACTGCCCTAAGCACCTTGGCCTGCAGTGTTGAGGCAAAGGAAAAAAAAAAAAAAAAAAAAAAAGGATCTTCTGCTCCTCGACTTGAACGCTCCACAGTGGTTGAGCGGTACCGGGAAATTCTTATATGGCTGCCTGATTGATGAACAAGATGTGGTCCCACGCTCCACAGATGGGGTTCGGTTTAGGTACCCTGGATTCTAGAGTCCATTGCCATTGACGCCCAATCACGTTCGTCGACTTGGTCACGGCGGGGTGGAAGAGGCAAAAGACAATTTTGGTGATTGGCGGCTGTCAGGGCTGATCGGCGGACTCAAATGGACACCCTGGAAAGCAGATGGAGACGGACGGACGGGGACGGGGGCGAATGTCACCATCGGGACGCCCGACTAGTCGGGCCACCACGGCCGGACGCAACCCTTACTTGGTCGCTGGCTCGCCTCGTTGTCTTGCACTTTGGCGGACAGTGGCACAGTGTGTTGTTCAGATACGGCGCGTCTTGTTCAAAACGCGGATCACAGATCTGATGTGACACTGCGGGAGGCCATGGGCCCAAATGGGGGCGAAGATCAACTGCAAATCATCAGCCGGAACCCTACAACGGCAGCTCCAGCTCAGCTCGAGCTGGAGTAAAAGGGGCTTCTCGTTCTTATTTTACGTTGGTTTGAGACGCCTGCCTCAACAAGTGTCATTGAGTGGCAATGTGTGGTGAACACGAATAGCAGAGGCAGCTTGCGATGCATGAAGCACGGCAATCTTAGCCATGCGACTGGGTGAGGCGAGATACGCTGTTCGCAGTGTTGAGTCCTAGGGGACAAAGTCGTGGAGATGCACTCTGATGTATCATGTATCTCGAAGCCGTAAAACAAATGACCGGAACGCAGTGGGCCTGGAGTTCCAGGAATGTACGCAACTTCCGGGATGTCTTGAGGGCCTATACCCTGTCTAGACTCTCCCGCAGGCCGTCAATGTTCCGACGGTGCTGCCCATAATAATGATGGCACGTTGGTGGATTTGGATAGGTTATCCTTATCCATAATCTCTCAGTCAGCGCGAGCAAAAGCCGTACCGGAAGTCCACTAGCCAATCATGGAATTCCATGAGGTATAGCTCGGTGGAGGCATTTCACGAGATCTGACAGCCTGTAAAAGATTTTGGGAAGCTGCTGCGCGCATGTTCCAAAGTCTGAAATGGAAGTCGGCACGCAGCGCAGCAGGCGTGTGTTGACGTCAAAGTTCGGATTTCTCACTCTCAGACTCGAGGAAGGTGGGGAAAAAAAATAAGTGCACTGGAGTAAGTACGTACCTACCTCACCTTACCTTCTCTTACCTTACAATGTAGTTTCCCCACGACTTACGGATACACAGTACCTTACTATGTACACCACAGACGTCGGTCCGCCAAGGTCTCTCATCCCTCGAGTAGGTATCCCAAACTGGCCAAGCCTGCCTCGCCCATTCCGCCCTTTTCCTCCCAATCAGCTGCGCTACTGCAGCCCGCTTTCCGCTCTTTCCCTCTCTCACGAGCCGAAAGCTGGCTGGCTGGCTGGTCACGCCTGTCTCGATCGCCTTTTGCTCTGCTGTGCACCCACGGCCACATCTTGCTGGCAAGCTGCCATGCACATATCCACAAAAGCACACAAAAGCAACGGAACGGGACCCAAGCTAACTTGGCAAGCGCAAAAGACCATGGTTACCCCATGCTCCGCGCCTTCGCCCTCGCCCCCTTGGTCTTGACATCCTCCCATGGCCGTATCGGGGTCTCCATCCCGTCTTGGACTTCCCGTCGCGCCAACTCGGCGACCCGGGAGGCTCAGGATCGCCATTTCTTGTTGACTCCTCTGCTCCCTCCCTGACTTGGTAGCAAGCTGAAGAGGAACTTTAGCTTGCGTTATCAAAATACATTGCTTCCCTCGCCCGTGGCATTTCGTCCGAAGCGGGTACTATCGCCAGACAACCCGGAAGCGAGGCGCCGAGGGGCTGTACCATGCTTCTCAGTCCGTCCTCACTCTGCAGCTCTGCTCATTGCTCTGCTCCCAGACGGTCAGTGTACCAATGTATGGCCTATCTACCCCAAGTGCCCCAGTTATCTCTCTCTCTCTCTCTCTCTCTCTCTCTCTCTCTCTCTCTCTCTCTATATATTTTCTTTATATTTTATTTTATTTTATTTTATTTTTTGAAAGGGATACGGCCAGGTCCCGGCATTGTCCCGGCACTCGGGGCCGTGCCGTGCATCAAACGACTTGCTTGACCTTTACCGCTTGCGAGCTGCCATCCATTACCCACAGATACAGGTCACTCAGACCGGGCTTAATTCTGCTGCCTCAGCCGCCCTCCACAGTCTCGCCATCGCCTCACGCCTCCCCCCTCCCACACTCACGCCTCCCCTTCGCCAATCACCTTACCTTACACAAAGACCCGATGCAGCCAACCCTCGTCCCCGGGCCCCTCTAGCTTCCTTGCCCCCATCCCTCGGACACCCTGCGCTGGCTCTGCTTGCTTGGGTCCCTCCTCCACGGGGGACGGGGCGGTGTCTTGCTTGTTCCGCCACAAACCTCCCCTCCTCCTTCGAATTCCTTTTGGAGCCACTTCTTGCCGGCGCTCGCCTTCAACGCCTTAATATCAAAAACAAATTCCAATCTAGGCGGCTTCTTTCCTGTCTTGCCTCGCTTTCTATACGCTCAAAGGATGCTCAAACCTCAAACAAACATCCGCTTACATCGGAGGGATGAACCGCAGCATCTGATCTTACTACATTTCGTCGTCCACCGCACACCAACACGAATCTGCTGGTCTCATCCACCCTGTTCTTTGCCCATTATTGCAGCAAGTCACACATCCCTTTGATACTAGCGTCCGAGCCCAAGCTCGGCCCCGTACCTACGAAAACTGGCAAATACTGGCATACATACCTTGGCATTCATCCGACTCTATCTCCGCTTTGTCCTGCTTTCACCTAGCCCAGACCGCCGTCGAGTCTAGGGCATCCACTCTCAGTCCGCCTCCCGTCCCTCATATCAATCACAGACGTCCCCCCCTCCCCTTCATCATGGGCACTACTTGGAGAACAAAACCTATCACACCACAGCTGTTTGACGATATGGCGTCGAGGCCAAGCCGGAAGCCCCAGATTTTTGTCCACTTCGAATTCGGGGTTTCATTCTTACCTAGACATGCTCCTAACCAACATTCCGTCACATATGCCTCTCGTGGTTTTCGTGATCGAGCCCAGTTCCCCAGACAAGTTCCACCGCCGAATACAAATTATCTAGCAGAGCCCTCTCACTCGGCCCATCAACCAGCACGATCTTCACCACCCATCCAAGAATACTACGCACCCCAACCACAACAAATGCCGCCACGCTACGAAGTCAGCAGACAATCTCGACAAGACAGTCGATCGAGCTCCTCACACGAACGAGGTAGCTCTGCCCCTCCGCCTTGGAATGACAGCCCTTGGGACGCCGAACCAGATGCTCTTGGAAGTTCGGCGCTGCCGCGTCAACGGCCACGAACCCAGAACGCGCCTGATTACTGGAAGGCGTTGCCTGAAGTGCCGTCACGCTTCCGGCTGGGAGAGGACGAAATGCCATGGTCAGCTACATCATGGCCAGGCGAGTTTGGGATGCCCGACGAGTCCGAGGTTGACGACTACTCTTCCGAGTTGTCGATGAAGTTCCGCGACGTCTCCCTTACCAATGCCACACAAGTCTCTCGTGATAGAGACGATGGGCGGAGACAGGAGCTCGAGGCGCTTTCTGCAGCAATGGTCACCGTGGACAATGGTTTCGAGAATCAGTGGTGGTACCAGGGAGAGCGTCAACAAATCGCGCCGGTGGCTGGAGACCTACACACGACCGCGACAATGGCAAGCACCACAGCGACTGCTGAAGCGGTACCTCAAACACCTGTGCAGCAGCTGGGCTATGACACCAGGGAGTCGATGGGATGGGCGACTGCACCTGGAGATTCCCACGCGAGCATGATGAGCGCTACGATTTACAACCCGAGTGTCTTGGTGTCACCCATGTCGGAGTACGCGAGCCCCCGCCTTCACCGGTCGATGACTACGAGATCTGAGGAGCTCTTTCTGTACAGCTAATGGACATTCGAGTGGATTTGAGCATGGTAATTTGAAGCATGGCGTACAGGTCTCGTTTGATGGGTTGGATCACAGAGAGAAAGAAGCGCAATCGCGTTTCACCACGGTTCGGTCAAGAAGACTAGACTACCTGGTTGGACACGGAGTTTTTGGTTGGGGCTGTTCACGGAGGATATATCCAACATGGCCTATTTTCCTTGGCAAGGGCCTATGCTTGTGGCGGAGAAGCGCGGCTCTCTGCCTCGACCCAAAATAATAGTTTAATGTTTCACAGGCACAGTCACTTTTGTGGTCACTGTAGACTTCTTTGCACCGTGAACATTAATAGTCCAGAGGCCCTTTGTCACAAAACAGCACAGTGGCCAAAAAATACAAAGGCAAGCCAAATATTCATAGTTGTTAATTAATTTCAGATAACAGACCCTGGATGGGCAAAAGATGGTTGTCCAGTGGATAACATGACAAAGGCCCGCCATCAAACCGTGCATGGCAGAGAAAGATGTTCGGACATGGTAACATCAAAAGCAACGAACGCTACTTGGCCACGATTTCCAACATTTCAAAGTAGCCAGGATGGGCTTTTTCCTCGGTAGATGCCTTAATATGGGCATGCCTGGCATGATGGGTCCAAACATCCTGGGAATTAGCACGCCACCCTTTACACCAAGACAGAAGCCATTCATTAGCGGATTTGCGTCTCATTTTGAAACAAATCACGCCCTCTCTCTCCCGCTCGCCAGAATCCTCCTCCTCGATCGAAGCTTTGGGGGGCCCGCCCGGCGCTAAATTGTGTCACTGTATACCCCATGTCACATTCGAACGGGTGTGCGGTGGCTACGGCGCTTGCTCCATGGTTCCTCTCATGGAAATCGCTATGTGAATGAGAGGCGGCACCGAAGCCTACCTATCCTGGCGACCTCATGTCCCCTCCAGAGCTTGGGTCAGGGAAGCACAGGAGCCTCACCTCATCTCATCTCGTCCCCCTGCTTCTTGTAGCTCCGTCGCCAGTCCCACCCAGTCAATAATCCGGCCTTTGGTCTCGCCCCGCGCGCGCCGCCATTGACCGCGGGGTTCCACGCGCATGATCCGCCCATCGGCATCCGCCATTCCTGCAAAATTCCTCAGAAACAGGCCCGATACCTGACTTGCAAAATGTTCTGAATTCATCCCCCCCCCTTCCCCCGTGGAAACACCCTCCGATTGCAACGTACTTGGTTTTCTTCCGCCGCAAAAGGCAAGGGTTCAATTGATAGATTTGTTTGAATAGGACGCTAGGCGGGGTGGACCGGGCCTACATCATATACGGGAGCGATGCCGGGAGAACCTGATTCTTGGCCCGTGTCCATACAATCGTTCTCGTTCCCATTCTTGGTGTGTTACTTTCTTCGAGCTTTGATCTGCGCGCGATCTCCGGGAGCTAGCATTGTGAGAGCCAGATGCTAGTTGCTGGGAATAATTTTGCAAGTTGCCCACTGGCGGGTTGTGATGTGATCGATGGATTCTGGTCTTCTGAGAAAGGGATGATTCTAAATAATGACCCCTGAGAAAGGTTGTTGACGGCATGATTTATGGTTGCCCACGTCGTCATAGGCAAAGAACCTTGATCTCTCCTCTTGATGCCCTCACATGTCGCTCTCCGGACCTTCAGACCTTGACAAAACTTGATGCCACTAAAAGAGCGGAGAAATAGTACTGAATACCTTCAGCAAAAGTGTAGACCAATCGAACGGCACTCTGCTCATCACTTGACATCCGACACCTCACAGAGAACACGGCGTGGGACATGCCCGAAAACCCGTTGGCTTTCTCGGTTTCACACCTACCTACCCAATCGATCCATGTGTCCGATACCCTCAGATGGCAAGGTTTTCGCAACCGCCTACTGCCTGACTTTTTCCCTTTTAAAGTCCGTTTGAAGGAAACTTCCGCATCAGACCAGCGTTCTAAACCGTGATTCACTGAAGAGGGTCTAGCTGGATAGTCTCTGTGGGTTGGCCCCTGCGGTGTTGGTCGGTAGGCGCTGGAGTCCTGCAGCTGGGTTCGCTGAGAAACGATGGAGACCTATGAAAGTGACAGCCAGCAGAGAATCGTGAATGCCATGTCTGTTGAGAATGTAACGTTTCACATGGACTGCAGATGGTATGGGGCCTTGGCGATGATTTAATAGGATGGGAAACGACGGTGGCTGTTGACATTTGACTTGAGTTCAAATAAACATCTATCTCTTGAGTCTGCCTTGAGGATAATTCCATGCTGAGAGTATGGTTCTCGATACCAGTCGTTGAAAAGCGCGATCTTGATACAGTACCTTGACCAGGGCTCGAAGAGCAGATCACCATGAAACCACATCTCGGTAGCCTCATTCATCAAAAGCTTGACCCCATGCTCTTTACTCTCCTGACAGCCGACTGATCCTTTCAAGTCGTCTACATGATGTGGATTACAATGTTTACGCCTCTGGCGGTCTGCGCGGTTGTGCTGCAAAATATGTTAAATCCAAGGACCGCCTCGAATTCATCGTAGCGGTCAGGAATCTCATCCTGGCTGGATCTCCATTCCCCCCGTTTAGCATTCACCGAAGAGAAAAGAACCTGACTGCTGGATCTTTGAGTTTTCTCTCTTTGAAGAGGGCCTATTGTCAGGGTTTAAAGAGACTTATGCAATAAGAAAGCTACTTCAAAGATCTAGTCTACTTGATGATTCGATTCAGGCAAGATTGATACTGGAAGAGATACAAACGCATCCCTGGTCGCTTATCCAGATGACAATGTTCTTCTACAGTGACCATTTGGTATTCCAGAGGGGAGTAGCTGCCGTGCTGGCTGATCGGTCCCCCTTTCCCACCCTCCTTTCGCACCGAAGTCGAGGATAGAAATCTCTCAGTTCTCGGGAATTCTAGCCAAATTTTGACAGTCTTTCTTTTGCTGGCCATTCATAGCTATGCAAGGCAACTGTCAAGTAATTATAAGAGGTAATGTTTGTGCCGAATTCGCTGAGAAAAAGCATGGACCAGTTCAAAGTGCGACGGAAGCCTCTGCCACGTTCGGTGGAAGATAATTTAACTCACAAGACTTCAACCGGGGTCGGAACTTGGAGCATGTACGATGTGAGAAGGATTCTTTCATTTCCAAGGGACCAAAAATCACATGGATACCCTCTTACAGTATGATTGTGTCGGGGCCTGCATCTACAGCCTATTCCTTCTACCTTGCCTGATCCACACTGAAGGTACTAATTATAAGCAAAGGGTTTTTTCAATCAGGCTACAGCAATGTAGAGTGCCGGACAGGTTCGATGAGAACTAATCACAGCCCAAAGGCAATACGACGTAAATCAGCCGAATGACTTGAGCCTAGCTCTAGGATACCGGCAGCTGCCTTTTCCTGTACCTCGTTTTGAGAACACAGATGTATTCTTAGAATATGGACCCCCTTTTAGCCTGCGTCGCCATGATTGCAGGATCATTCTCAGAAGCCCGGTGGGAACAACTCGAGGGAAGCCTAGCTCACCAGACTGACATGTACTGTTTCGTAAAGGCCTGAAGCCTGGTCCTCGACAGCATGCAAGTGAAGCTCAGAGGTTGCCTGGGTTGCATACTTCAGGGGCTCCCATTCTACTATATTGAACAAGAAGGAAGATCAAGGGTTCCCTCAATCTCGGCAAGACCTGGCAGCCTCAGGGTGATGAGTAGCGAAGCTTCAGCGAGATCTCGGGGTCCTAGCCAATGTTACTGAGTCAGAATGATGAAATACTCAAGATAGCGAAGCTGGATTAGCCACGGGCGGAATTCGAAGCGGCATATCTCTATTGTCGAAGGGTAGGCTTGGGGGGTGGCAGTTACTCAGCAACCAAGCTTCTCAAGACTACGACAAGCACTATTCATGCATTCAGTACCTTGCAGAGGCTGTGTTTTCCGTAGCACTTTGAAGTTGCGGTCACATGGAAATTTCACTAGACATAATAATAGCTTGGTCATGTTTGACCTAAATCCAATCCTGCGAGCTTTCCATAAGGTAGCCGCCGGTCAGCGCAACCTCTTTTGACAATCTCTGCACCCGAACACCCAGATATTGTCTTGATACCTGCCGTGGATGCTACTTTGAGCCTCCACAGAGAGACGGTCGAGCCGGTTCAGCTCCCCTAGAATCTTAGCCCAGTTGCCGGCCGGGTCTGGCTCGATGTGAGACCCATCACACACCGCCTCTGACATGTGGCGCTCAGCTGATATCCCGGGAAGTGATGATTCGACAATATAAGGCTCTGGGTTAAGAAAGGGGTGTTGATATAGGGGAATAGTGCCATGGAGGGAGGGGAAGCTGCAGGACATTAATTCTGCTGCCTGGAGCCGGATATGCCGCGACGGGGGGTTGGGCTTGGTGGACGCTAGTGGCACGTCGAACAACAGTCTGACTGTCTCGAAATTTACTGTACTCTTGGAGTTATGATGGGTCGCTGATCCTACGGTAAAAGTAGTTTGGTTCATAACTTCGTGGAATCGGGTTGCTTGTTTGGTGCGTTTTGCTGCAGATGATAGTTAGGACGTGTGCTCAAACAAGGTTGGTGATCCTACGAAGACGCGGGAAGAAGGGATGATGGGTCTCATTTGGGCTACTCAAACTGCTTCTAGAATATTGCAAAGATTTCAGAGTGAGACAGGCTCCGTAAGTTGTTCGGTAACACAGTTTACTGGTTGATATCGGGGCCAATCTTTGAAATGGGGCTCGGAGGACGGCATTTCACACCTCGCATATTTCGTCTCCGTTCACTGCAATCTTGATAGGCCGGGCTTGTGCATTTCCGAAGTCAAGTTACCTATACCAGTCCCAAAAAAACCCTCTCTTGTATCTGTAACTTTTACGACACTCCTTTACCCAATGACCTTCTCCATAGCCTTGATGTCCAACTCAAGCCTAGGCTCCATCTGCATCGGCACGACCATGCCAGCCGCAGCGAGCGCACCGCTGGCCGCCGCCGTCGCGACGGCCTTGACCATGTTACCACAGTCACCCGCAGCATAGACCCCGGAAACACTCGTCTCTCCAAAGGGGGGAGTCGTCTTGATGTCCCCGTTCTCCGCCATCGCCAGCCCAAGCTGCTCCGCAAAGGGACCATTCGGCTTTGTAAAAGGTGCGTGAGCGAGGAATCCTTCCGTGACCTCTTCCGTCTCTTTTCCGTGTCCCTTGCCAAGCGTAAGCTTGACGCTGGTACAGTGCTCGTCGCCGCTGGCGGCCATGCGCATCAACGTGATCTCTCGCGCGTCGAGAGTAAAGGGATTATTGGCCATGGCACTAATTTCTGCAGCGAGAGCCGTGTTACCGTGCGTATAAATCGTCACTTTCTTGCCCAGGGGCCGAGCCATGTACGCAATGTGTGTCGCCACCTTAACGTTCCCCGTGTGGCCAAGGGCGAGGACGCCGACCCTCTCTGCCCCACGCTCCTCGAAGCCGTGGCAGAAGAGACAGTGGAATATCCCGTGTCCCCAGCAGTCTGCATAGCCTGGTATGTCCGGCGCGATGTCTGTGACGCCGGTGGCCAATACCAAGCGCCTCCCGAACCACGCCTTGCCCTGCGCGTCGTCGGCCCGGAAGAGCCCGTCTCTCAACTTGGACGTACATAGGACCTCGACATCGGCAAAGGTCACGCTCTCGGCGTAGCGGGCTTTGAGATCCTCTCGTGCCTTGGCGCGGAAGACGGGGGGCGGTACATGGTCGAAACCGAGAACGTTGTGCATGTTTCCCGCGCGGGCGTTGCGGTATAGACCCGAGTCGAAGAGGACTGTGGTGTAGAGCTGGCGGGAGAGGGCTGTTGCCGCGGCGAGGCCTGCTGGGCCTGCACCGATTATGATGACGTCGTGGAGCGTTGGGGCAGCCATGTCGGATGTGACGAGATTCACTAACGGGATGGATTTGATAAGAGTTTGATGGAGAGAGTTCATGTAAGTGTGTTTGAGTCTAAGCTCGGTATTGGTTTGCGTGTTCTCGATGAGGGGACATGTCCTTGTCACTCAGAGAGACTGCTATCCTCTTAAATACCTACTGCTCAAGACGGTCGGGCGTGTCGAGTTGAGATGCGGACTTGCGGGATGTCTCCGAGACCGCAAAAAGTTGCCGAGATGGCCGGTTCCGAAGTGGGGCTGCCTGCCGGGCAGTAAGTGCCGGGCAGGAGAAATGTCTCCGAGTAAAGTCGCCGAGAGAGGCAATTTTGACGGGCGAGCAGATTTCAAATCATTGAAATTGGCATGAATCGGGCTTGAGGAAAGGACAAAGTGCGCGAAACTCATTTGTTGCCACAAAAAAATCTAAAAAATCTGGCGCCTTGCCTGTCGTCGTTCGGGCGGTGGTGGTAGGAATAGCCTGGTGTCGAAAAGACAGCGAACAAGGCACATATCAAGCCTGTCATCAGAATTAGTTTAATGAATAGAAATCATGCTTTACAAATACAGGTATTAATACAAGAAGATGTAGAAGACGAAGCAAGTGCGATAAAAGGACAAAAATGGGGAAAAGTGCCAAAAGTTCGGCCCTGGCGGAGACTCGAACCCGCAGGGTCGAGGTCACAGCCAGAGACCTATGAAAGTCCTCGGCCCCGAGGAGTTGGGAGTTTTCTGACCATATAAACCGCTGGGTTATAGCATCCGGGGCGAACCCCGAGTGATGGACTGCGGAAAACACGTTGTTCATGAAGGCTGTAGCGGTTGCTGGCTGTTGAGAGGAGCTGACCCGGATGGATTGAAGATGGGGTGAGTGAGCCTGTTCCTGAGAAAAAGATTATAGTCTTGCTCGGTCGAGAAGACGGAATAGCGCCATGAATATCGATATGATTGAGAGGTCTAGTATCCACTGACGAAGTCTCACGGGGGAGTCACTATATGGGTTCTGGCTGCTCCCCTTTGAAGCCCCGAATCGATTCAGCTGTGGCCGGGGACTTGCTTGAAAGAAATGTTTTCCATCTTGCTGTAGCATGACAATTGAAGAAGCATGTGAACATCCCAGAAACGTCACTGCCAGTCTATACTCATGCTTCCTTCATTGAAGAAGCAATCACCATCTTTCTGTCCAATCCTCCAGCCTTCCCAGACGCCTCCTGGGGAATATGATTGACCTCTTCATCCTCAACGTACACAAACTGATCCTCGTCACACCCAGCATCCCGGAACCAGTCTCTGAAAAGCTCTTTACCGAATACCAGGTGCCGATTCGTGGTTTTGAGCACCTCGTGCCCGTGAATCTTCCTACCATGCCCTCCAGACCCCGCCTGGCCCTCCTCGTGCGTCTCAAGCCCCGCCGCCATGGATTTATGATCTACGCCCTCGACGGCAATCAAGACGCCGCCCGGTTTCAATCGCTTTGCAAGCAGATTGAGCATGTTTTGCGGATCATCGAGGTGGTGAAGTGCCATGGAGATGATGACTACATCAAAAGATTCCTCTGCGACCAAGGAACCATCAGAAGACAGGTCGCCCGCGATGGCGTGGGCTTGCGTGGGGGAGTATCCCAGGCGCGTTGCGCATTCGTTGAAGCGTTCTACGGTTGCGGGGGCGATATCGACGCCGAGTATCTCGTCGACGAAGGGGCTAAGAGCCTAATATTTAGGTTGTCAGGGGTTATGTCTTGGAGAAAGATGTAGGCACTGATAGACCGGAACTCTCTTACCCAGGAAGCCCCGCCCGAAGCGCAGGCGTAGTCTAGAAGCCGGACAGGGTTCGACGGGTCCCGGGCTCGGAGACCGAGGTTTGGGGCCTGGGCGCTAAGGAAGCGGGTGAGTTGCTCGGAAAGCACCTTTACCCAGTCTTGCTCCATGAAGGTGTGCGCGTTCGCACTAAGTCATCTGTCAGCTGGAGACGGAAAGGAGGTTTTGTAGTTTTCGGAAAGGTGTTGACGGACTCCCAGAAGACGCGGTTGATTTCGGCCAGAGAGGCTGTCCTGGACTCGGTCGCAGTCATGATGGCAAATATAGATGTTGACAGCGTGTATGTCGTCTATGTTACTTGGAAAAACTATAGAAGGCCGCTTGGGCGGCCATGCTTTTTCTATATCATTGATCTCATTCTCGTCTCGTCAGATTGTTGTACTATATATAGCCACGTGGTCGTCTGTGACGCCGGAGAGTATTCGGCAACTTTTTCCATCAAGGTGCGCGAGCGGCAACATTGCGGTGACATCTAGAAACCATCTTCGCAGAAGCCATGCCACCGTGAGACATTTTTTTCAAAACTGTGTAATTGACAGCTTTCATCCCGTCAATCCCGTCTGCGTCAGGGAACTTACATGACTTGTCCTGCAGGCTCAATGGCAGCAGGCCGTCTTCGGCCCTCACCCATCTCATACATGGCCCACTCATACACGGCCCATTGGACGGCGTTGACGACGAAAGCTCGCACGCTGCAGACCGTAAGGCCACGGAAGAAGACTCTCATCCCGCCTTCGCGATAGGCCTCCCTCGCAACCTGCATCGCGCCCGCACGCTTCGCCGGCTGCTGCGACGAGCCTTGTGCAGCGAGGAGAGGCGACCTTTCCGCCGACGGGGGTTGGAAGGCCTGCGTCTGCACGCGGGTCTTGATGACGTCCAACGGAAAGATGCTGACCCATGTCACGATGCCCGCGAGGCCGCCGCAGAGGAGCACCTTGGCGGCCTCCTCTTTCAAGTTGGTGTCCTGGACGCCGTCCCCTCCGACGCCCATCCACCGCGTAGTGATTTCATACGACCAGAAGTAGAATCCGTACCCGACGCTATCCCGCAGCGCAGTCACCACGCCTCCGAAATACAAGCCCCTGATCCCCTCTGCGCGCCAGACGTCCTTGGTGATGGCCCAGCTTGAAGCGGGCGGGGAAGAGAGCTGGGCGCGGCACTTGATGAGCTCGGTGGGCGTGCTCACGACCCAGGTCGCCAGGCCGCCCACGGCGCCGGCAATCCACGTTGTCCAGAGGTTGGGCTGCACGTCGAGGGCGCGGTTGAGGGCGGCCTCTGTGCGGTTGTAGGAGACGAATAGGAGGGCGTTGAGGGCGCCATAGCCGAGGATTGGGGCGGCGGAGCCGGTTACGAGGGAGGCGGGGGATTCGAAGTGGCGGAGGTAGGATGCCGCTGCCACCGCGGTGGGGCTCGGGAGCGGGGAGGAGGGGAGGGGTGTTGAGACGGCGGTCGGGCGGGCTTGGAGGCGGACTTTGAGGACGTCGAGAGGGTTGCCGATAATGATGCCTACGGCGCCGCTGATGTAGCCGGCCCAGAAGTCGGCAGACATGGTAGGCGGCGGATGATGAGCAATGTCCTTTTGGAGAGTCGTTGCCTGTCAATGGCAGAGCGTCAAGACTCAGGAATCGCGATACAGCAGGCGGTTGTCAGGGTCGAGATAGTGGTTGACCTTGGCTTGGGCCACGGCGATTCCAGTGCAGATGCTGAGGTACGAGAGCATCCATCCGCCGGAGGCTAGAGCCCAGAAGCGGGCATTCTTGAGGGGGTTCGGGTTCGGTCTGCGGAAGCGGGCGAGGTACTGGTAGTGTGCGTAGTGGACGATGACGGTGCCGCCAAGGATGGAGGGCCAGTTGTCGACGATCCAGAAGATGCGGGCAGAGGGTGGACGGAGCGGGGTCTCGGGAGGGGAGGAGGAGGAGAGGGAGGGGGAGGGGTCAGTCATTATGGAGCTATGGAGAGAGAGCCGTGCTTGGTTTCGTTCGAGACGGGACCGAGGGAAGCTTGGTGAAAGAGGAGAGGTGTCGGGGAACCGGGGACTTGGGATCCACCCTTACCAGAGAAGTTGTGGGCGGACGTGGAGTTGGGTGCGGAGCATGTGAAGATGGAGCGAGCTGTCGACGGCCGGGGGGGGAATGGGTCAATTTGCGGTTGTGAGGTCAATTGAGTTTCGATGCGAGTCAATTGATTTGCAAAACAGACAGAGGAGGTTAGAATGTGTCCGGCGCTAATGACGTTGGGATGTGGGCTTGCGGGCTTGCTCTGGTAATGTCGTGTTGAAAGGAGGAAACGCGCGAGAGACCCGACCATCTGGTCCAATGTCGCACCTGATTTTGTGTGCACGCAGGTACCCTAGAAGGACCTCGGTTTGGGGGCCAACTTGCTTACTACGTAGGTACTTGGGTGCCCACTTTGCCAAATCTCGGTGGATCATTTACCGAAGGACTCCCTCCTATTCAACATCGCTTAGGTATCCGAGTGAGTGAGGTACCTTAGAGATTGAGATTGTTTCATACGGATACTCATACTCGATCAACGAATTTGTCTCTCTACTACAGTTCAAATTTTATGAAACGACTGTCATCCAGAACAATCAGATTGCCAAGTCCTGCAAGTGTTACCCAGCAATGATGCACCTGGAACTTTGTGCCTGTCACTGGATGCACACATCTTCCCACAACGCATCCTCGCCGACAGCCTCCCCGTGCATAATGCCATGCAGGTAGGCCTCTCCAATTAATCGATAGCTAAATGGCCCTGAAATTGAGGACACCGGTAGCTCTCGAAGTACCAGCGGTGACGGACAGCCAGCCACGATCCAGATTCCATCGCCATCTTGTACGGATTGGCCTCCAAGTCCGATGTGACAGCTATCTGTCAGGAAGGGTCGCCTCTCCCAGAGCGTCTCAAATGCGAGATTGACATAAGCCTGGCAATGGTGCTTGAAGCGATCAAAAAGCCCGTCCACTTGCTCCTGCTTCTCGCATTCCTTGAGTTGCTTCAAGTACCCCATGATCACGTCGCATGAGGGTACCGTCTTGCTGACATCGGACGCGGCGAGTCTTTTGATACTCTGCAAACGGCCGATGTAATCCTCCAAATCAGAACCTTTCTTCATGGCGCAGTATGCCTCCCACAGAACGTGGTCTGCAATCCAGGAATGGAATGCCTTTCGCAGGCCGTCTGGGGCAGGATGCGTGAAGGCGTCTCGGTCACCGATCAATGTCCTCCAGAACGCCTCTACTCGACACTGCCCTGTCGGCTTATATACGGGATCACATTGCAAGAGGAAGTCGGCCCATTGCGTGAAGCTCCCGTTGGTAGCTACCTCCGAGTATACTTCGCCCACCAACGATACTGTGCCGACGCAGAAGGCCTTGATGTGGAGAAGCTTGTCCTCGGCAACGCGATAATTCGTCAGCATGGAACGGCATGCGTCAAAATAGGGGATGCCAGCTGGCCATCTCATTGCCAGAAACGCAGATGGCCCTTTTGCGGAGAAATCGGGCACCCAGGACGGCAGACCCTCGATGTTCTTGACCGAGTCGTCGGGAACCGCCGTTAGGATGGCCAGATTGTTGCATTCTTCCATGATGAAAACTGCCGTGTCGGTATATATGCTAACTGGCGTGCAGTGTTTGCGGTAGTTGGCCTCCAACTTCGTCCTTGTGCGGCCACTGATATCCAAGAGGAGATTTAGAATGCCTAGTAGGCCGAAAACCTGGTCTCTGGGGTCGGTGGCTTCCACTCCAACTGTCAGGCGGAGCATCAGAAACAACAGCGCACCCGCCGTCTTGGTTCTACTGCTTCCACCTGTGCAGGAGAGAGGTCCGACTATGTGATCCAGCGTGGTGCTGTCCCACAGGTCGAGGATGTCGTGTCTACACCTCTGGATTGCGACGATACCCGAAGAGTTGCTGCCGATTTTGACGTCCTTGATTGTAGGATTATTGTCGTACAAGACCTCTGATAATTGTTCGTACAGACGACTTTCGTATAAAAAGTCGGAGCAAAATGCCACCGTCTCCCACGGAATGATATCGTTTCCCCAGAGGATGCAAGCATCTTTTGACAAGGCAACTTCCTGAACGACCCAGACGCGATTGAACCACTTGCGATCAAAAAAGGCAATGAAGGCGTACCACACATTATCCGGAACGTGTAGCAAGCCGTATCTGCCCAGAACATCGTCGTCAAAGAAGGAGTTCTCCTGGTCGAAGCTGAAGTTTCGCTGGGTATTCTCGGCCATCGTGCGAACCAGTCGGGTTACCTCTGCTGGGTGGTGCTCTTCGGTGACGGACCCTAGCCATATATCGACGCGGGTGGCCTTTTTGTAGATTCGGTCCATGATCCCGACTTGCATGCTGCGCTCTGTGTCGTCGGCCTGGTTGATGCTGATGGCGTCGACCCAGTACAAGTCGCAGGAGTTGTGGCCTCTGATCCAGCATAGCGCATCGTGCAGATTTGGGAACATGTCAAAGCTGTGGCCATTGAGTATCACCGAGACTGTTACGGGCTGTTCAATTTGCAGAGAGGGCTTCTTTTCTGCAATGGGTGATCCCCATGTGTAAGAGAGACTTCGGTATGCTGGCAGGTCGGCAACGGCGTGTTCTTCCAGTGAAAGTTGCAACGGCCCATCTTCAGGTTTTCCGCAACCAAGGATACGCACCAGACGAATGGTATCCTTGCCAATGCGGTGGCTGTATTCGAACTTTGCTGTACCAGACGACATTGCTGCAGAGGAGAGAGCATCTCATTAAGTGTTTCCCTCCCCATCAATCGAAGAGGACTACATGTGGATTTAAGTGCTTTTTGGACTCACTCAATCGGATGGAAGCCAAGCATCGCGAATTAGTTAGCCACGTATGACCGTGGAAGAATTGTCAGCTGCGTCGTTAGGACCAAGACTAAGACGGCGCCAGCTTTGGTTCTCACGCACAACTTAATTGCGTCGTAGGATTGGTCAAGTATTGGAGACATTGTGGTAGCAAAGTGTGCCGCTTGACTCTGAAGATTCGACGAAGGATCAATGCCAACTCAAATAGTAACGTGCCAAGTTGGTTCTCGAGCGTCTCGTGAAGTTGTTCTTTTCAATGTTAACATGCTGAAGGCATGTCGAAGGGGCGACATCAGATTGGCACGGATACGGAGTGACTTAAACATGACCCCACAAAAGATGTATCTTGGGTAAGCAAGGTACGGATAAAGTACAGTCGAAATAGAAGGGTGCCTGGTGCCTGGTGCACGTGAAAGCGTGTTCGAGTGGCGACGCGGGTCGTGTCGCGCTTTCCCCCAAATCAACATCGGGTCCGCGACCGGGAACATTGGTCATATTCTTTTCCCTTCATCTTCATCCGCCCCTCTTCTGAAGGCTGGTCTTGCGAACCCTCATCCCGGGAATACGCATAATCTGCACCCGCAGCATTGCTACAACACGTATTGCGGCCCAAAATGTACGCAATACTCGTCCAATGTCTCTACAACTTATACAGCGCTTACTAACACCTCCACAGGACTGTCGACGTCACCGCCACCCCAATCGCGAACAAGGAGAACGTGCCGTCTAAGCGATGGCCTACTCCACAGTCGGTAGACAAGCTGTCTAGGCCATTCAAGTGTCCCGGATCAGCAACGAGAACCGTTGCGACCGACAGACCGGCGCGAAAGAAGAGAAGGGTTGACTACAAGGGTGCTGATGGAGAGACCGACGCGGATAAGCCATACACCAATGCCGATCGCCTTGCCTTAGCGAATCGAGATGCGAACAGGTTTCCAGTCTTTCAGGCTAAGGACAAATCAACAGTGTTCCGCAAGGCTTTCTCGGTGCCTTTGATCAATAAGAATTCGAGTGCTTATAATCCCAATCGACCTCCGCCAACCCTCGGCCTACGCACCGGGGCACAGTTCATTGCTAAGCCGCTACATGACCCCAGCGGCGAGTTCGCTATTGTACTCTACGATCCAACCATTGACGATAAGCCCAAAGAGCCCGAAAAGAAGGAGGACAAGAAGGATGTTGAGGCCGAGACTAAAATTGACGCGCCTCTCGTCCACAAGAGTCTGGCTGAGATCCTCGGAATCAAGAAGAAGGTGGAAGGAGAGCATCCTCGGGTCCCTGTCGTTATCGATCCACGATTGGCCAAGGTTCTCAGACCACATCAAGTTGAGGGCGTCAAGTTCATGTACAGATGTGTCACTGGCATGATCGAGGAGAAGGCCAATGGCTGCATTATGGCCGACGAGATGGGTCTCGGCAAGACCCTTCAGTGCATCACTTTGCTTTGGACCCTTTTGAAACAATCTCCGGACGCCGGAAAGAGCACCATTCAGAAGGCTATCGTTGCGTGCCCTTCCAGTTTGGTGCGCAACTGGGCCAATGAGTTGGTCAAGTGGCTTGGCGCTGATGCTGTTACGCCTTTTGCGATTGACGGAAAGGCGTCAAAGGAAGAGCTGACGCGACAGCTGCGTCAGTGGGCCATTGCCAGCGGCAGGGCAGTCACAAGGCCAGTCATCATCGTGTCTTATGAGACCCTTCGCCTCAACGTTGAGGAGTTGAAGCACACCAAGATCGGCCTCATGCTTTGCGACGAAGGCCATCGTCTCAAGAATGGAGACAGTCAGACTTTCAGTGCACTCAATAACCTGAACGTCACAAGACGAGTCATCCTATCCGGAACTCCTATCCAGAATGACCTGTCCGAGTATTTCTCTTTGATCAGCTTTGCCAATCCGGATCTGCTTGGTACTCGCCTGGAGTTCCGCAAGAGATTTGAGCTTCCAATTCTCCGCGGACGTGACGCCGACGCACTCGAGTCTGAACGGCAGAAGGGCGACGAGTGCTTGTCTGAGCTCTTGGGCATCGTCAACAAATTCATCATCCGCCGCACCAACGACATCTTGTCCAAGTACCTGCCCGTCAAGTATGAGCATGTCGTGTTCTGCAATCTCGCACCCTTCCAGCTTGATCTTTACAACTATTTTATCACTAGTCCGGATATTCAAGCGCTTCTCCGTGGTAAGGGCAGTCAGCCGCTCAAAGCTATCAATATCCTCAAGAAGCTTTGCAACCATCCGGATCTGCTCAACATTTCGGACGATTTGCCCGGGTCAGAGAACTGCTTCCCCGATGACTACGTTCCCAAAGAGGCGCGCGGGCGGGATAGAGACATCAAGCCTTGGTATTCAGGCAAGATGCAAGTCCTCGACCGCATGCTTGCCCGTATCCGTCAAGACACAAACGACAAGATTGTACTTATCAGTAATTACACGCAGACGCTTGACTTGTTTGAGAAGCTTTGCCGTAACCGGGCCTACGGCTGTCTACGCCTCGACGGTACCATGAACGTCAACAAGCGCCAGAAGCTTGTGGACAAGTTCAACAACCCGGATGGAGAAGAGTTTGTGTTCCTCCTCAGTTCCAAGGCTGGTGGCTGCGGTCTCAACCTCATCGGTGCCAACCGCCTGGTTCTCTTTGACCCCGACTGGAACCCCGCCGCAGATCAGCAAGCTCTCGCTCGTGTCTGGCGTGACGGCCAGAAGAAGGATTGCTTCGTCTATCGCTTCATCGCTACCGGCACCATCGAGGAGAAGATCTTCCAGCGCCAATCCCACAAGCAATCGTTGTCCAGTTGCGTTGTCGACTCCGCCGAGGACGTCGAGCGGCACTTCTCGCTCGATAGTCTGCGTGAGCTGTTCCAGTACCGGCCCGGCACAAAGTCTGACACGCATGACACGTTCAAGTGTAAGCGCTGCAAGCCCGACGGCAGGCAGTATATGAAATCGCCCGCCTTGCTGTACGGCGACACGAGCACGTGGAATCACTTTGTGAATGAGGGGTTGAAGCCGATTCAGGACCTGCTGCTGAGACAGGAGTGTGGAGAGCCGGAGGTGTCGGCCGTTTTCCAGTATATTTCGCATTAGAACGTTGCATTTGACGGATGATTACGTGCATACATTATGATGACTTGTGGTTTCTAGTTGCTTCTATCAAAAGAGTCAACAGAGGGTGTTTGGAGTTTATGAAATAGGAATGGCGAAGGTGTTGGGGACTTTGCTTGATGCACTGGACTTTATGAGAGGTCCGTATAAACAGTTTATATTGCTAGAAATATCACGTCGTAAAACGTGGTGGCATGTCGAGCGCTCTAGATACTTTCACACCGAATCCAAAAGAAAGAGAAACAAAGAAACATTTGGAAGTCAATTATTCTTTCCCCTCCTCTATGAAATGCTTCATGCTGCGTCACTATACAAAAACGTCTTCGTCCAAAAGCCTTTATGCTTATAGCTCGTCTCTAACATGCGTCTGTTCCGAGGGCGGCTCCTCCCAATTGCGACTCTTGGTGTTCTTCTCCTCCTCCGCAACAACGGGTTTCTGCTCGGAATCGCCGACCACGTTGGGCTGCTCCTCCTTTTTGGGCACCTCGGCGGGGAAACCCTTGCGCTTGCGGTCGAGAGCGGCGATCTCGTCATCGTAGACGGTCCACTCGGGGACCTGGCGACGGGCGCGGTCGAGCTTGGGCTCCTTGGTCTGCGGGTTGTTGCAGAGATCAATCGTCTTTGCCTCGCGCTGACTCTCGTCGGAGCACCATGTCTCGCACCACAGCCACTCCTGCGGCAAACTGTGGATGGGAATCTGGAACTGCATGTGGTTGGGCAAGTCCTGGTCCAGGTTGGCCAGACTGTTGGGGTCGGCGCTGAGGGAGTGGTAGGTCTGGCGCAGACGGTCGCCGGCGGCGAGCTCGCGGAAGCGGCGGAGATCGACGACGTACAGGGCCGAGATGTGGTAGGGCTGACCGCGGAGGTAGTTTGCCCAGTACCCTTGCTTCCAGAAGCGGAAGCCTTCCATCTCGGTGCGGGAGTCGCACATGGGTGTGAAGCCGTAGGGTTTGCCTTCGAGGTCGTGGTTGACGAGGCTGATCATGTCGGTGCGGACGATCTGGTCTGCGTCGACGAAGATGACCTTATCGAGGGATAGGGGGAAGAGCACGTCGAGGAAGAGGATCTTGTAGCCCCAGATCTCGCGCTGCTTCTCCTTTTGCTGACGCAGCCAGTGCGGCCACTTGAAGGTGACCATCTCGTACTTGAATCCGTACTGCTTGGCCATGTGCGGGATGAAGTCCTTGAACGAGGGAGACAGGAATTGCTCAATGAACCAGAACTTGACCGTGTGCTTGGTATTCTTCATGACGCTGACCATCATGATGTTGAGCATGCGCTCGTAGAGATGGCCACTGGCGACGGAGAAGATGTTGATCTCGGCGTGCTCCTCGTCAGACACGGACTTCTTCTTGCCCAGGATGCCTTCAGCGAACTTGAGGCCTCGGCCGACAATACTGTTGTCCTCGGGCTCGGCTAGCACATCAGCCTCTTCTTGACCTGGCTTGCGTGACAGACGAGGGTACAAGGTGGTGCCCTGGAAATCCATCAGCACCACCTCAGTGCCCTCATCGCCCGGCACAGGAGCCCATCCCTTTGCACCGATACTATCGATGGTGTAAATGTCGGTGCTCCTTCCCTGCTTCAGTTTGATATTATAAAAGCCAGGATTCGCCTTGAATTGGAAGTATCCAAGATTGGCCATGATCAGAGTATCGGCGAAGTGAGGTTCCTTCTCGGTACCCAAAACGACCTGCGCACCGCGGGGAGGTTGTGACTGTCCGCCCTCACGAGAATGTCCTTCAATGAGAATACTCTCGAGCTCATAGGATGCGTGCACGTTGGATTTGATGGAGCTCAGCTTGATATTGTCCGGGTCGAAGGGCGAGACTTTCGGCGCAACGAGCCAGGATGGCGGAACGTCCATACCGGCGTTAAGAAGAGCCTCGGAGGGCAAGCTCTTGAAGGACGCCTCAAGTGCACGAACCTTGCCAGCTTCATCGAATGTCGGCTCTGACTCAAGTACATATCGGAAGAATCTCTTGACAGGCAGCTCATCAATCTTGTCCTTCGGGTTAAGGAAGAGCTTCAAATACACGCCTTCCAGCTCGGAGACGACCTTGAGGATAGGCGCCCACCGTTGCGCCTGCTCACTGGCAGGGTTGAGAACACCGACCAGATGGATACTCGACGTCTCGGGGTTTCCAATTTCAATGGCAGTGAAAGTCGAGTTCCAAGTATCGTGGGCGCTGACGCGTAACGATGGCGCAGACTCAAAGATGCCAGCAGGGAGATCAGAGATGGTTGACAGCGCCGTGACTGACGTGATCTTAGCAGCTGCCAGCGGGCCAGAAATCTTATCTGTCAGTCCAAGTTCATCCACTGCTGCGTAGACGGGGAGAATGCGGGCGTTCTGCTCAAACTCCAAGAGGTACTGGAAGTCATCGCCTTGGAAGGGATCATCTTGAGTGAAAGGTCCAATTATACGCCCATTGAGAATGAGGAGGTTGGATCCTGGCTTGATTGCCGCGAAGGATAGGAACTCGTTGAAGTCAGCCGTGAAAATTGCATCCGAATCACTAGTGGCGGCATTGAGGAGGTTTTTGATGTCGGATAGAGTCTCAGCCTCGGCAAACTTCTCACCGCCATTCTTCAATGCTGCGTTTACACTCGAGGCTGAGGCAGATGCTGAAGGATTATGGACAACGTCCAGTCGCACGCCAGGGTTGCTACGACGGAAAGCCAAAGCTGAAAGTAGAAGGTTTGTTCCTTCATCCGAGGTGAAATCGCCCACAACAGTCAACACAGCCCAATTTTCTTTTGTTGAGTCTGCAAACGCCTCAATAACTGGGATCTTGCTGAAGAGACCATCGTGCTCGGTGTAGATCTTGTTGACGTCGAGTACCTGAAGAGACTTCTCGTCTTCTGGGTAGATGTAGGTGTTGCGACGCTTCACAGCCTTTTCGAGGAAGAAATCAGGAATCCAGCTCTTCTCCTCAACCATACCGAGATAGACTGCGCGCTGGATGGATTGCAAGTCACTGGAAGCCTTCATGCTCATGGCCTGAAGCCAATTGTTATCACGAGGTACCGGAATGCCATTGATAAAGACGGGCGGAATGGGCGTGTTGGCGCCCAATCTCTTTGCCCAGCTCTTAGCCAGCTTCACCACATTGTCAAGCTCATCTGACTGCAACACTTCGGCGAAAGAAAGTATCTTGGAATCCGGCAGAGGCTCACGACCCTTGATCGCCTTGTCAAATGAGCTTTGATCCGGCTTCTCTGTCTTGGAATCCTGCATGGCAGCATCAAGATAGTCGATAAAGACATCCAAGCCGTAGTTGTCGAGGAGATAGTATAGGACCTTGCTGATTTGGAAGGCATCCTCAGTGGGTGTCAGAGGAACTAAACCGAAGCGGATGGGAAGCTTTCGCTGGACGAAGGTGTTCATCTGAGCCACCACGCTGAGGTCTTCCATCTTGGAGAAGTCAATAGGGATGATGAGATTGAAAATATCGCGCCTGATAGGAGGCAGCTGGCCAGGGTAGACACGCTGAAGGAGCTAGGGCGAGTTAGGATCCAAGAGTCAAGTTGAGACGGAAAAGCTGGACTTACCGATGTCAATTGATCAGGGAAGTCCTGATAACGCTCGTCTTTCTCGAGGTCGTTGAGGAACATGATGACCTGCTCCTCCTCAATGTCATCCGTCCAGTCAAAGCGCGGTGGCTCCTCATCCGCTTTGGACTCGGCAACCTTGGGATGACCCAGTAGAGAAACAGCTTGGCCGCCTGTGAAGCCAAAATCACGAACACCGTCGATAAGTTTGCGTTCGCGGCGAAGGAGATCAATAATTGTGAATGCCTCAATCTGACGCTCAATGAGCTGCACTCCGTTCATCCACAGCACGTTCATGCCACTAGGAATCAACTGCTGGCGGTTCAGTTGGTGCTCAGCGAGGAATTCGGCAGACACATTGTGGGCAGCGATGGAGGTTGAGAACTTCGGGAAGTCTTGCGACAGCTTGAGGAGCGTCTCAAAGGGGTTCTGGCTCTGCATAACAAACGATGCAGCCTTCAGACCAAGTTCCTGTACCTCGGACTTTGATAGCGGTTTGAGATCAGCCACCTCCTCGGCAGCATCCAAGACTTCTTCAGTCTTCACGATCTTCTGCGAGTCATCCTGATGCGCCTCTCGGTCATCAATAACGATGTAATCGGTCCTCTTCAAGGCCAACTCGACTCCGTATCCGCTGACCGGCAGAGGCTCCTCGTACTTGCCAGCCGATTTTGTATAACGCAGGCGGTACTCGAGCTCTCCGCTGCGAGCTTTTTGCACCAGAGCGTTGTGGAATGAACCGAAAGCAGACGAAGTCGGATCTGCGTATAGGATGGCCTCCTTGCCAGATCCCAGAATTCGGTCGAAAGGGAGCACCTTTGCGCCGTCCAAAGTCGAATCCTTTGGGCTTTCCAGAGACGGTGTGCAATACTGTTTCCCTCCATGCTCGGTCCAGACTTCGCAGCCATCTCGAGCATCGGTTCCGAGCTTGGGCTCGACGGCGGTTCGGTAGTATTGATAGTGGGCTTCGATACGGGGAGCGGCGGTTCTAAGGGAAAGGGCCAGCTTAAATGTAGACAAAGAGTCCGGTGTGGTGATGTGTCCATCCTCATTCAGGGTACGTAGGAACTTGTCGTAGACTTCCTTGTCAGTCTTAGCTTCGCTGAAATGCCCGTCGGCAATGCGGTCGAGGAGAGGGAAGTAGGCGGTTGCATTTTCGCCCGCAGCGGTTTCGCTAGGATGAGCATGTCAGCCAGTGTTGAAATAGACAAGGAGAAAGCTTGGGACGGAGTCACTTACAGCAGCTCAAGGAGATAGGGACCAGACGGGAAGGCGGCCTTCATATCCACGGTCACAGAGGGGACTGCGGCGACATTGACGGCTGCCAATAGCGTCAGGCCAACGCCCAGTGGCATTTGCGACAAGCGCACCATTGTGAGGGACGGAGCGCGACGGCCGGCGCAAGGCTGTCCTCCAGAATCGTGGGTGGTTGTAACTAGTTGGCACGTGGGATCGATAGAGAGAATGGTGGCCTTCTCCCGAGTTGAGACAGGATGGAAGGACTTCTCGACAACTTGTTTCTTCTCGCCGAGGAGGAGGATAAGTTCGAGTAAATATCAAGGCAGAATGCTTCTAGAAGAAAGTGTCTTGAACTTGGGGGGAGAGAGGCAGAGACGCCTGGGGAATTGTTTCATTTATCGCCTCTGTCGCATGGCTGTTGCAAGAATGCTTAGAGGGGCTATCAGATTCGAGTTCCGTTCAGGCGGGCCAAACGGACTAGGAGTTGCTCAGTCTGGTCTCAGTCTGGGGCCGGTGTAAGTGAGCGCGCCTTCTGAACACATTGACAAAAAAGCTGTACCAAAGCAGACTAGCGTCTCCCTCGCCAGGGGTATTAGGTCGACGGGGAGGAATGGCAGAAATATGGGCCTATTGGAGGGGCAGTTGCTTACCTCAGCTTCGCCAAGTCCCGTCCCCCATCCTAAGGGAGAGCCAATGGCATCTTATGTAAGGTTTCCAGCCGTATAGCACCTTGGAACCTCGGGCGGTGAGGACACGGTTGTCGGCGGAACTCTGATGCGGGAGCTCCTGTTAATCGGCGCCATTGGACCCACAGAAATAACCCACACTTTACAGATGGCCACGAAGCGGAATTGTTACTAGGGGCGCTGAGACGAGGAAGTGGCCTTTACGTATCTCTCTACCTCGCTACGGATACTTCTACGCATCCAACCCCTTCACCGCGTCCTCTTCGTGACCCGTGAATGTCACCATCCCCTTCGATTCCAGCTGCAGCCTTTCTTGGTCGGTAAGCTGGCTTGCACTTAAACCATTCTCTCCAGAGGTGCCGCCTGTTCTCCCCCCCTGCTGGTTGCTAGAAGCTCCGGCTTCACCTCCCCGCCAAAATGCAGGCCTCCTCGGGCATGTTGACCAAGGTACGCTCCGCCCTCGGCGCATTGGGTCGAGACCCTCTGCTTGGGCCGAGTCCATTGCTCACGTAGTTCACAGTTCGAGTCCAAGTCCTCGCGCGCAAAGGGCATCGCCTTCCACCCTAAGAGGTGAGCTTTCAACCCAGAGCTTCCCCATCTTCAACTCTACCCCCTTGCTGACGAACAGCTACCAGACCATGGATCCTCGTCGCACTTCACTCCTCCACGATTCAACTTTGGGATTACCGTATGGGAACATTGATCGATCGATTCGAAGAGCACGATGGCCCGGTTCGAGGAATTGACTTCCACAAGACACAACCCCTCTTCGTGTCCGGAGGCGACGACTACAAGATCAAGGTTTGGTCCTACCAGACCCGCCGATGCCTCTTCACCTTGAACGGTCATCTTGACTACGTTCGTACCGTATTCTTCCATCACGAGCTGCCGTGGATTCTGTCGGCATCCGACGATCAGACTATTAGGATATGGAACTGGCAAAATCGTTCTCTGAGTGCGCTCAACCCTTAGGATCCCGTAATGCCCTTGAGCGTGACTGACTTTGGCTCGCAGTCTGCACCATGACAGGACACAACCACTACGCCATGTGCGCCCAGTTCCACCCGAAGGATGACCTTGTCGTCTCTGCCTCTCTCGACCAGTCTGTCCGAGTTTGGGACATTTCCGGCTTGCGCAAGAAGCACTCGGCTCCGACATCGATGACCTTCGAAGACCAGGTCGCGCGGGCGAACCAGAACCAGACCGACATGTTTGGTAACACCGATGCTGTTGTCAAGTTTGTCCTAGAAGGCCATGACCGCGGTGTCAATTGGGTTGCCTTCCACCCGACCATGCCGCTGATTGTGTCTGCTGGCGACGACCGACTCGTCAAGTTGTGGCGCATGAGCGAAACGAAGGCCTGGGAGGTCGACACCTGCAGGGGACACTTCCAGAACTCCTCCGGCTGTTTGTTCCATCCCCACCAAGACTTGATCCTGTCCGTCGGTGAAGATAAGACCATCCGCGTCTGGGACCTCAACAAGCGCACTGCGGTGCAGTCTTTCAAGCGCGAGAACGACCGATTCTGGGTCATTGCCGCCCATCCCGAGATCAACTTGTTTGCTGCTGGCCATGACAACGGTGTCATGGTATTCAAGCTAGAGAGAGAAAGGCCTGCGTCGTCAGTATACCAGAACAACCTCTTCTACATTACCAAGGAGAAGCATGTCAGATCCTACGACTTCCAGAAGAGCTCCGAAAGCCCGACTTTGCTCTCACTCAAGAAGCTTGGAAGCCCTTGGACCCCGCCACGAACCTTGTCCTACAACCCGGCCGAGCGCTCTGTGCTTGTCACCTCCCCTTCCGACAGCGGATCTTACGAACTGATCAATCTTCCCCGGGATGGTTCCGGTGCGATTGAGCCCACGGAGTCGAAGCGTGGCCAAGGCAACTCAGCCATCTTCGTCGCGCGCAACCGTTTTGCTGTCCTGAACACTTCTAGCCAGACAATTGACATCAAGGACCTTTCCAACAACACGACCCGTTCCTTCAAACCCCCCGTTGGAACTAGCGACATCTACTTCGGTGGAACCGGCAATCTCCTTATCATTACGCCCACTGCTGTCCATCTTTACGATATCCAACAGAAGAAGAGTGTTGCTGAGTTGGCTGTCAACGGTGTCAAGTATGTTGTGTGGTCGAATGATGGTCTCTACGCGGCACTACTGAGCAAGCACAACGTCACTATCGTAACGAAGACCCTCGAGCAGGTCAGCACCTTGCACGAGACTATCCGGATCAAGAGCGCAACCTGGGACGACGCCGGTGTTCTTCTATACTCAACCCTTAACCACATCAAGTACACGCTTCTCAATGGTGACAACGGTATCGTCCGCACTCTGGACCAGACCGTCTACTTGGTCCGTGTTAAGGGTCGCAACGTATACTGCCTTGACAGAGCGGCCAAGCCCAAGGTTCTCCACGTGGATCCTACCGAGTACCGGTTCAAGCTGGCGCTTGTCAAGAGAAACTACGAGGAGATGCTTCACATTATCCAAAACTCCAGTCTCGTTGGTCAATCCATCATCTCCTATCTTCAGAAGAAGGGATACCCTGAGATTGCTCTGCAATTCGTGCAGGACCCCGCGACCCGCTTCGAGCTCGCAATCGAGTGCGGAAACCTGGACGTTGCCGTCGAGACCGCGAAGGAGCTGGACCGCCCTAAGCTTTGGCAGAGGCTGAGTGCTGAAGCTTTGGCCCACGGAAACCACCAGGTCGTCGAGATGGCCTACCAAAAACTCAAGCAGTTCGACAAGCTTTCATTCCTGTATTTGTCTACCGGTGACCACTCTAAGCTGGCACGGATGGCCAAGATTGCCGAGCACAGAGGCGACTTTACTGCTCGTTTCCAGAACGCCCTCTACCTCGGTGAAGTTGAGGACAGGATCCAGATGTTCAAGGAAATTGATCTTTGTAAGTTGTCTTTATGCAAACCTCGTTCATAACTCGACTAACATGACACAGACCCGTTGGCATACATGACTGCCAAGTCCCACGGATTGGAGGAAGAGTGCCAAGCTATCCTCGAGGCCACTGGCCTCACCGAGGATCAGCTGGAGACTCCTACGATCGGAGAGGCTTTGACGCCTCCCAAGCCTGTCGTCCCCACGTTCAAGGCAAACTGGCCCACCAAGGCTACTTCTCAGTCTGTCTTCGAGAAGGCCTTACTTGGCCAGGTCGAGGGACTTTCTTTGGAAGATACACCAGCGGCTGCCAACGGTTTTGACGATGCTGTTGAGGATGACGTTATTGTCAAGAAGAATGGCAACCTCATTGATGTCGATGAGGACGAGGACGCTGCGGGCTGGGATCTTGGCGATGATGTCGTCCCCGAGATTGAGGGCGATTTCGTCAACGTTGACAGTGCTGACGCTGGTGGCGCGGGAAGCAGTGAGGCCGACCTCTGGGCTCGTAACTCTCCTCTTGCTGTCGACCACGTTGCCGGTGGCTCATTCGAGTCAGCAATGCAACTTCTCAACAGACAAGTGGGAGCAGTCAACTTTGCACCCCTGAAGCCCCGATTCCTCGAAGTTTACCAGGCATCAAAAACGTATCTCCCGGCCTCTGCAAACCTCCCCCCGTTGGTCAACTACATCCGGCGTACGATTGAAGAGACGGACCCTAGAAAGGTGCTGCCAATTGTGCCTAGGGATCTCGAGTTCCTGGCAACCAACGACCTTCAACAAGGCTACAACTCGATGAAGACAAACAAGCTGGAAGACGGTCTTCAAATTTTCAAGGGCATTCTTCACGCCATTCTGATCAACGCCGTTTCTAGCGAAAGTGAGGTCGCCGAGGCAAAGAAGCTCATCACGTCCGCCAGCGAGTATGCCGTAGCCATGGAGATCGAGCTCAGCCGTCGCAAGCTCGGCACAACTGGTGAGCAGCTGAAGCGCAACCTTGAGCTGTCAGCCTACTTTACCATCCCGAAGATTGAGGTTCCCCATCGACAGCTGGCTCTGCACAACGCAATGCAGTTGGCGATAAGAAACAAGAACTACGGTTCAGCATTGAGCTTTGCCAATCGCATCATTGCCAATGGCGGCTCCAGCAAGCTGACCGAAAACGTGAGTATCAATCCTCCCTTCCAAAGATACCCTGACTGACAACCTTTGCAGGCCAAGAAGGCAAAGGCTCAATGCGAGCGCAACCCCTCGGATGCGATTGAGATTGAGTTTGACCAATTTGCCGAGTTTGATATCTGCGCAGCCAGCCACTCACCCATCTACAGTGGCACTTCCTACGAAGAGTGCGCCTTCGACGGCTCGAAGTATCACAGCAAGTACAAGGGTACCGTTTGCAAGGTCTGCGGGGTGTGCGAAGTTGGTAAGCACGGTAGTGGTCTGAAGCTCTTTGCATAAAGAGCTGGTATAATAAATGTCGACCCATGATGTGGTAGGACTGCGTGATTGTGCAGTACGCTCGGCCGATTGGGTTTGGTCGTGGGAAAAGTTTACAGTAGACAGACTGGAGTGTCTGATGAAACCCCGGGCTTTTGATTGTTAGCAATAGTTTTGTGGGAGACGAATATATGTCACCATTTGATTCATGACCTTTGAAGTGTCATCATAATTGACAGATCAATTTTCGAGACGACGCCTTTCGCCCATGCGTGGGCAGTGAGTATGCTCGCCGTTCGCCTGAGTTATCAAGATATGACGAGACACCTTTGGACTCATCGCGTTATCAAGGGCGCATGCATGGTTAGATCGTGAACGCCCGGCTTGGATTCCAGCATCCGAGCTCCCCTCTCATGGTCTATCGCATGATATTAATACAACAAAAAACACCCTCCTCCACCATGGCACCTCGTTACACAATGGTCTCCAATTCCCTGGCATATCCCAGCGCGTTCTCTATCACCATCTGGCTCATTTCCTTCTCGGTGGTGCCGTCCTCTGCGGCAACGCCCTCAGCAGTGTCGGGGAAGAAAATGTGGCCTTCCTTCAAGATCCAGCCCCGCTGCTGAGCGAAAGAAATGACATCGCCCTCGGAGTCAAGGAAGAGGAGCGACTTTGCGGAGCTGATGGGCAGGCTGGGGTATGCGCGCTCGCTGCTTGAGGCGATTTCGGAGCGGATTTGATAAGTAAGAATCTGGAAGATGGATGTGTTAGCCTTTGGAGGTTCTTTCTGCAAAAATCGTCTTGGAGTCACATAGAGGACTGGGCAATGGGCATACCTCTGAGAACACACCGTACTCCTCGCTGGGTACCTCACGGCTTTTCAGAGCGTTCCACACGCGGTCGTAGCTTCCCTCCATCAACCACCTCTCCAGACGAATCGGGTAGCCCAGGTACTTGTCGCTCTCCACGGCGCTGCTATCGCCGCCGCCCTCGCGGTTTGCGAGGCTCTCGAGCTCGGAGTGGAACTCGGCGTAGCGACCTTGGGTCAGGAGCAGGAGCAGGTAGAGGCCGGTGACCTTGTTCCGCTCGGGCAGGTTGGGGGCCAGGACATTGGAGGGAAGCTCGTAAAAGGGCTGGAGCTGCTGGACGTAGCGGGTGAAGGCGTCCGGGTTCTTTGCGCGGATGGAGGCGAGGGCGCCCAGCTCGTATGTCTCGCGGGCGAGGCCGAGGAGCTGGGGCGACGTCTTTGGGTTCGAGGGGGTGAGGGCGTTGAGCTGGAGGAGGTGGAGCTTGGCTTTGGAAAGGAGGGCGGAGGACTCGGCGTAGGGGAGGGAGGAGCCCTTGGTCTTGAGCTGGGTGAGGACCTGTTGGAGGTTGCGGTCCGCCATTTTTGGGGATGCTTGCTTATGGGATGGATGTGGTTGCGGGGTGTGGTTGGGTATTTGCTCCGGTCGTCGGGGACTGATGTCGGGTAACGATCGCAGGAGGTCAGCAGCTTTTCTGGTACTATGCGAATTCGATTGACAGGGTTGCTTCGGTTCGGATTCGTGGGCAGGGAATGAGAGGTGTGGTTTTGCAGTGGTGTTGATCGTGTCAAAGGTAGAGAGTCTAGATGTCGACGCTTTGAGCGTTTGGCTTAACAGGCTGAGAGGCTGACGAAAGGTGCCGCCGGGCCAAGCTGGCAAGGTCCGTGCAGGGGTTCTTCCCACTATTGCACTAGCTTTTCTTGGTCTAGGCAGGTCTGGAGCTGCCTGAGCTGGTCATCAACGAAAGCGTCGAAATGCTTGCTGATGTAATGCAGCAGGGACCACGTGATGCGGAAGCGGAAGCGGACCAGCTGGCCGTGCCCGGACGAGTTCCATCCCCGGTCCCTGCTCCGCTTTTATTACCCCAACCCACCTCACCTCGCCGTGTCGGATTCCGGCAGGCGTCTTGCATGACTTTCCCGCGCCTTCCACTGGGTAAGTCGGTATCATGATGTGAGTGATAGTTGGACAATCTTGAAACTTCTCTTCTTGGGGAGCCAGTGAACGTTGTCAATTACATTTCCATCGACGATATCTAAGGCGAAACCCATGAGAGCTTTCGATGATTTCACACTTTCTGTGTCCCATCACATAACGCATCGACATGCCGACAGCTGTAGCTTATAGACACCCATCAGCGAGAAGACAATTTTCTCAAATCGCTGACCGAAGTCATTCTCAGCGTCGGGGTTTGACTTGTCTCACAGAATGGCTTTATGAAGTTTATGGGTACGGATACACAGACAGTGGCTAATGTAGAGCTCAATAAGCACCTTGCGATGATCGGTAACGTTAAACCACCTGATTCTGTAGCATCAATATCGACGAGCTGGCCAGAAATTGTGAATCAAAGCCACACTTTAGATTTATTTGAATTCATTGCCGCCAAAAGGAGGCTATTCCGTTCCTCGACTTGAAAAAAGAAGCCAAAAAAACATATACACGCTAGAAGAAACCCGCTAAGAAATTATAATCTTCTTGATGTAGCAAATCATTTCATTCTCCTCCTGGGTCGGGATTCATAGTTGATGGGTCCATCTGCAATCGAATGTGGAATAAACACCGAGGCGTTTGTTGTAATTAGTGTGCTATCTTCTTAAATACTTATTCCTACCGAGCCGCCGTCGACGACCACCTCGGCTTCATCGCACAGGTCGTGACTTTTGTAATTGTGGCTTGCACGTGGATGGGTGCAGTCAGTTTGTGCCCGTGATCCGGTGCAGGTTGAGGGACTTGAAAGCGACCTTTCGAGTCTCTGGCACTCACGTAAAGGCGCTGTCCAAAGTTTCGCTTTTACATTTTCCACATAACCATTGCCTACTTGGGCCTTAGCTCACAAATCCGTGAAAAATCGAGTTCATTCGCCGTTTTAGTGACAAGTGAAGTTCTCAGAATGTTTCGCATTTCTCAGCTTATTGAGAAGAAACGAGGTCTCTTTAGCTGACTAGTGTGTAGAGGGACTCTAGACAAGTAATGCCAGGTTTTCTCCGTGCCTCCCGTGGTGAACTAGGTACCAACTCCCGTATAGGAAAGAGTGTAGGTAGGACCCTTGACGGCTACAAAAAGCTTAGCGGAAGCGTGTTGCCGTGGTAGAGTAACCAGTCGTCTCTTCATTAGTCATCGTGAAACTCCAATTGGCAACTTCTTAAAACTCGAGAAATACCATCTCCACGGCTTTGAATCAATTCCCGAGTCCCCTGTAATTTGATCAACATATTCGTAAAGTAGTTTGAACGAAAGAGGCAGGAAAAGAATATTGTCGAGAAGGCTGTGATGAACCTCTTTGTATCGGAAGATTCGGCCCTCCAAATCCGCGATCAGGTTTCCTACCGTTTTTGTTGATTGAGGCTGGGGTCTCTCGAATACCCCTGGGATACGTGTTGTATGTTATGGTGCTGTGGGTGATGGTACTGTGCTATCAGGGCGGCTTTGTAAGTTATTTTAACGTGAACCGGCTAACGGGTGGATTCGTGTCTCGACTATGGCCATGTCCAAGTCAAGACTGATTTGCTCTCACAGTGACATTTGAAAGAAGTTGCCTAGTTTAGACTAGAAATATTCATGAGTATTCCATGTCTGGGAAGCCAGCGTGGAGGTGGATAGCCGTACGTCCCCATTCCTAGGTGTACCTTGAGCACCAGGATGATGGCACTATCGTGTAGCGAGAAAACCTTGGTAGATAACCCTAGCAGAGAGGCGAAGCAAGATAGAAATCTTATGATCATAATTCTCCGGCACAAGACCAATCCAGTCAGCCGACGGTTATTGGAAGTCGGGGAATTGTGAGAGCCTCGAGTTCTCTACGGCGTGTTCAGTCCTTTGCGCAGCGACATTTGTGGTTGTAACAAAGCCGACGCCATCTCGACCATCTCAGGCGTCTAGCCAAGTGTCATCAATAGGATGCCTTGATCCCATGAAGTAGGTCTTTTCTTTCTCATCACTCAACACTCCAAAAGCTACCTCTTCGGTCGTAGTACTCTTTCAAACATCTTCAGTTCAGTTTCTACAATCTCAAACTTTCCACCTGGAACCAATGACGCCCAACAACCATAATCATGTAGATTCAGCACATCGCGCTGCCCAGTTTCCAGATAGTAACCGCCGCCTTCTTCGCCGCCTCGGCTGAAGCAAAGGTGTACTGCACCGACAAGCCGGCAAGGCCGTTGCCCAGGCCAGCTGCGACGGCAACCAGCCCGCCAACACCTTTCTCCTCGAGGATCTCCAGGTCTGCGACCACATCGCCGAGGATAAGATCGACTCGACTTCTCCGACCCCATCGAACGCGACTTCAAGGGATGCCCCGAGACCGGGCAGATCAGCTATTCCAGCGGTGGATAAGACTATAGTGTGGTCTTTGTGTGTGTTCAGTCGCCGAATAAATATCTGTGCATCGCCTGTTCGTTTTGAGCAGGCCGCGATTCCTCGTTTCGGACCAGGGGGGCGTGTCCTGCAAGATTGTAGAAGGCTGAACCAGCAGAAGTGAGAGAGATGCAGATTCTGATACTGGAATCGACTGTGTGTTACTTCGAACCTTGCTTAGAGATTAGACTAGCTCTTTCATGAAATTGAAAGGACCAATCCATGACTGGGTATCCGTGACAAGCAAAGAAGTAGCACCACGGTATCTCTTGCTGTTACCTTTGGTTGTCGTTGAGTTGACTTGAACAACCAGTGCGATATGATGAGTAGTTAGTTTGTAAGACGGAGAACAGTTAATTGGGAGATTGGCAAAATAATGTCATCGGTGACAGCGAAATTGAAACTCTCGATGTGATTGTGGGAAATAAATCCCATCGCGCTCGTTTTCACTCCTTGAGAATCTTATCTAAGAAATTACTTGGCAAAAGACCGCTGAACGCTTACACGAGGTTGAACTTGAAATCACTGCAAAACCATTGCGAGAAAGCGCGCTGAGTGATGCAGTTGCCCTCACAGGCTGCATGGTCACGCAAGAACGCGCCGCTGCTAGATGAATCTGAGTTGATAGGCGGGCAGAGGTTGGAAATTGCATCTGAGGTTCACGCTCTAAATTTAATTCTAATTCTAATTATTGCTCAAGTGTCGATCTGCCGCAAACACCCATCGGGACTGGACCCAGGCGCTGGTGGCATATGAGCCTCTTAAACTCAACGCGCTATGCGCGCGGCTAGATGTATAAACATGTCAATCCAGTCTCCTTATCAGGCCGTAGATGAAGCATGCTACGGATAACGGTTCATTACGTATCTGGGCAAGGTTATAATCGATGGCTCGAGTGTCGTGACTTCGGACGGAACGATGGGACGGCTGGGATTGGATGAGCGCCGTGGTGGCATCAATGACGCAGGTGGGTTTGGGGAATTTTGGATTTCGGGTGGAAAGGCATGGAACAAGAGAGAGAGGTCGCGGCAGACATGCAGTGGGCAAGGTGTGAGTTGGTAGTCTCGTGGAAGACTCTTATTTACTTCAAAGGTCGCGAGTTTGAGCCGGATTTCTCCCATCTGTTAACCTTCTATATTTCATTCGGGACTGGGCGAACAGAGCACAGAATCGTGATGCCCATGAAGCTTCTGCCAAGAAGGGGAAAGAACGACAATGAGAGACGTGGCGGGAGCGATTCCGATTGCGATCGGAATTGGCCCCCAGAGAACGGGACGGGCAGCTGCGGCGTGCAAAGTCACTCGCAGGTCACTCGAGAAATGTAGGCATGGGTTGTTTCTATGTTTGGAAACAACAAGACATTCTCGAATTAACCTTGTGTTAATTGTGGCTGAGCAAGCAGGCTGCGCAGGGAAAGGCGAGATACCCGAGTGGAGGGACTTTGTGATTGTGAATTGCGAAAGTCAACCAACACATGGGCCGCGTATGATTGGCTTGGATTGAAGTGTGAGTGTGTCTCGTGAGAACTGGTCAGAGCACCCTCACTTTCTCAAATTAAGATGAGAGATTGATGGGGTAACGATGGGACTTTTGAGATTTTTCATGAGTTCATGAGATGTCATGAGAATAATGTGTGGCGCAGAGTAAGTTACCTACGAATACTAGGGGATCGAACAAATGCAATGTACTAGGTACCTTATGAAAAGATGTGCCATGTGAGATTGAGAGGGGCACCTGGGGCCAACGGTCGGATGGTGGCGCATGCACCCAGCCATCACCTCGTTGGATTTCTTCTCCCTTGTAGGGGCAGGACATGGGGGCGGGGAGTTCTGTAACGTGAGGCAGCACGCAGCGGGACAAGCAGCCAGAGGTCGACTGAAGGCCATGTGAAGGAGGACCGACCGATTGTCGGGGCCTTCCTTCCCGTCGTTCGAAAGATGTGCAGGAAGCAGCATCGTTTGATGGCGCTCCTGCTCTGTTTAGAGCAACATCATCTTTTGAGTCGTCGACCTCGCCATGCCAAGTCTTTGTCTTCAACCTTGCATTCCTCATATTTTCCTTCTGCCTACCTTATTCGAATCCCATCTTGTGCCTCTCCCGTCAAGCCCGTAAAGTATTCCGAAGCATCGATATCCGGCTCTACAAGCCACCATTGCGAACAAAGTTTCGAAATTCTCCCACACGTTCCGGCATGTGCCACTTGATCCCGCTGGTTCCTCCCAACTCTGTTTTAGCTTGACTCGGCCGAACCCTCAGCTGTCTGCCGCACCAACTCGCCAACGAACCCCCTGTTGTCATTGGAAGACAAAATACCCAAGGGCACAGATGACAAACTACGACTCCCACGACTCCTACTCGGCGCCGTACGCGCGGCTTGGCCAGGGACATGCGCCGGGTGCCGTGCGAGGCCCACACCACAATGCCCGCGGCACCAGAAGCGCCAGTCGCAGTGGAACAGCCGCTGCGTCTGGACCGCATTCCATCTCCAAGGACCACGCACAAGCACAAGGACGAGGACAAGCTGGTCTCCATCTGGGAAAATCCATTGGTGAGTCCCCTCTCCCTTATTTGCCCTTTTCATCCCCAGCTCCCTTTCGTGGAGACCACCTCATTTTATCAAGCCGGGAGCCCGAAGGACCCCCAAACTGGAAATGCTGCTGCTGCTGCCGCCCTATCCTTCTTTGCCAACACACTGGACACCATAATTCCATGCATCGGCCATGGCATGTGACAAGCGAAATACGTGCGTGTAGACAAGCGCACAAGGGCTGAAATCTTCGGACTTGCTGGAAGCCACATATGTGCACATGCCAGACTTCTAAAGGATCGAGGCTGCTTTGCCTCCAACCATACATCGCCGCTCGCTCTCTGTCTTCGAATAGCCACGGATTGCCGCTGCCATGCCCTCTGTTCATGTTTGTTAAGATGACATATCCTGGTCACTGACGAAATGGACGGCCGTCAAACGATAAAAGGGGTCTCCAACGCGGATTGAACGTCTTACATGCCTCATCCTGGAGCGGCCCCTCTCGATTACCTTTCGGTACCTGATCCTCGAGACCAGCTCACCCCCTGCTCCGCCCACTGCCAACCTGGAAGGTACAGACAAAGTACCCTTCAATTTTCGTGGCCGCAGCAAGGAGCTGCAGCGACATACCAACATCAGCATGACCGCAAACGCTAAAAAAGACGAAGACTTGTTGCTGTCCAGCTCTTCAGCTTCTGCTGCTGCCACAGCGAGCTAGCGCCCCTGCTGCGGCTTGGGCGGTGAATTACCAAGGGCACTCAACGACTTGCGACGAGACCAATGACCCCTCCTCTATAACTTCCCTGGTCAGTCCCGCTTTCCGGATGATGGCAGAGAGAAGGGAGTTCCCCCCCTCACTCCTGACCCAAGAGAGAAATGCAACATTGGCACCTGGCACGCCTATCCGAAGCTGCTCCCATGTTTCACTAGCCGGCTCGGGCACACGAAAGAAAAGGGGACTGCCAGCTCTCCTGCACGCTAAAAAGAAAGGGCCCGCCGTCGAGAATTCGAGAATCCCAAATGCTTTGAGCTTCGACCTGGACTCTCCACCCCGCTTCCGGACACCCTCGCCCTTCGATTCAAGATAGAGAGCAAATGAAAGCAGACACAGTTCATAAAAGGATCCAAAGACTTGGATATTTCCCAAGTCCATTCCGACATCAGCTCAGCCTTTATTGATTGTTTTTGATTACCTACGTCTTCCTTCGTCAATTTCCACCCCACTCAGTATTACTTCCCCCTCCCGCACCCTTGCCGGGCGTGCTCAGGAAGAAGACCAGCCCGGCGAAAAGCAATAGCCAGCAGCAGCAGCAGCAGCAGCTCCTTTTTCCAGGGGCTCCAGAAGGCGGCCAGCCCAACTGTCAGCAAAAAGACCACCACGCAGAAAAAAGCTGGTGGTGGCTCCAACCTAAACGTCATTCGACTCAACCCCCGCTGACTGATATCCTCCTATTTATGCAGCTGCACCTCAGCCCAAAAACACAACTGACGAGATGCCACAATTCGGCGCAACCTTCGTTCCTGGAGGGTTCGATGACTACTACATGCCCGAGGTCGTTGCACCTGCTCCTCAACGGTACGCGTAGTTCCTCATTTTAATCTTGGCGGATCAACCATGGGTCCTCCTTTCCCGCTGGCTGGAACTGGAGATGGGGCCGTTTTTGGCGCCGCTCCTTGTCGTCTTTGTTCCGTCCCTTTTCCCAACTCGATAGCTTTATGCTAACCGCACCTCTCTTCCAGTGTAACGCCCCAGGTCCCCCAGAACATGCAAAACGACCTTCAGCGCATGGAACTTGAAGCCCGCGAAGTCGATCCGAACCGAGCCACCTCCAACATCACCAACCGACACGGCCGAGAGCCCTCCCTGTCATCTGTCCTCAAGCCAACCATTCCTGGTGCGCCCTCGCTGCCGCCAAAAGGAGAGTCCGACGCCCCAGCCGGCGCACCCCAGACCGATACCTACAGACCCTTCCACGAGAACAGCGCAAGCGGTAATCACCACAAGATGCGGCCCAGCGCGGCGCCCTCGTTCTCTCCTTTTCCCAAGGTCAAGGGCGACAACGTGCCCCCGACTGACGAGGAGAAGGAGGAAATTCTATGGAACGCCCGCGAGCATGTCCTGCACTCCAACAACGTGTCTATGCAGCTGTCCTGGGCTCGCGACACCTTGGCGTGGGCTGAGATTGTCATGGAGGCCAGGGCTAGAGACCCGGAGAGTGGCCGCCAAACACCAAAAGTCGAGCACGAACTGCGCGCCGATGCGATCAACATCGTCAACTACCTCGTAGGCCAGGAACACCCCGAGGCACTCTTTATGAAGGCAAAGTGGCTTGAGTTTGGCAAGTTTGGCTGCAGACCGGACAAGCGAGATGCGTACACAAAATACCAGCGCGCGGCAGAACTTGGGTATGCGCGTGCGGAGTATCGTCTGGGTATGCTTTTTGAGAACTCAAACGACTACAGCAAAGCTGTCGAGCACTACTACCTCGGCCTGCGACTCAAGGACTCGGCCGCGATGTACCGCTTGGGTATGATGAGTCTGCTCGGCCAGCACAACCATCCGAAAGACTACCAGCGGGGTCTCGACCTCATCAGGGAGGCTGCAGACCTTTCGGATGAGGATGCGCCTCAGGGGTCGTACGTCTACGGAATGCTCCTTGCCAAGGACCTTCCTGACATTGATGTCCCTGAGGCTTTGCTTCCTGCGGATCTGCCACTGGCGAAGATGTATATCGAGAAGGCTGCTTACCTCGGCTTCTCCAAGGCACAGTTGAAGATTGGCCAGGCCTACGAGCTTTGCCAGCTCGGGTGCGACTTCAACCCCGCGTACTCACTCCATTACTACGGCCTGGCTGCCCAGCAAGGACAGCCCGAGGCGTCGCTTGGTGTAAGCAGATGGTTCCTATTCGGGTACGAGGGCATCTTCAACAAAAACGAGCAGCTCGCCTTCAAGTATGCTCAGGATGCTGCTAACGGCAAGCTGCCGACTGGAGAGTTTGCCATGGGATACTACTACGAGATTGGCGTCCACGTCCCCAAGGATCTCCGCCAAGCCAGATTCTGGTACGAAGCCGCCGCCGATCACGGCAACAAGGACGCTAGAGGCCGAATTGATGCCTTGGACCACGAGAAGAGTCTGACAAAGGCTGACCACGAGACAACGACGCTGACGAGGATCAAGTCGCAACATGGATCCCAGCGAGGCAAGAGACCTGATCGCTTCAAGGCGCCGAGTACCATGCCGAGTGTTTCCGAGAGCGCGCCGGTTACCCCCACCGATGCCCACCCTGGCTATCCGTCTACATCGGCCAAGACGTCCCCTCATCCATCCCCCAGAGCGCACCCTACTTCAGTGCCGCACGACAGCATTGACTTTCCCGACCCGTCACGACCCAACAGTATGGGCAATAGACCAGCCGCATTCAACGTGAACCTCGACGCCAACCTGGCAATCCGGCCCAAGTCGGCTGCCCCGTACCCGGAAGATGATCGGCCTGCGCCGCTCAACCTGAACAGACCGAAATCGACGGCTCCTTACCCCGAAGATGATGTGCACGGCAGGGGCGCCGGGCCTCAACTCTCCCCTCATTACAACGCTGGCAGTCGCCCCGTCTCTGGTCCACACTCGGATCGCCCCGGTAGCGCGTTCGGCATTCGTACCGGTCCCGGTGGTCCTCCGGGGCCGTCAGGCAATATTCGCGCTTCACAATCGATGGGCAACATGATCCCGCCAGCAGGTTCAGACCCACGCGGTCGCGTGCCTGTTGGAGCGCCCGCGGGATATCGCCAGGCGAGCCCTGGTCCCGCAGCGAGACCCCCAAGTCAACCTTACCCAGCGGTTGGTGGCCTTCCTTCCAACCCAGCCGTCAACAGGCCGCCTAAGCAAAATCAGTACGCCAATCCGCAACAATCTCCATCCTTCCAGCAGGGAAGCTACGGTCCAAGCGATTACGGCCAGCCTACGCCGCCGCCAGCACAAGCTGGCAACTTTGGTCAACGTACATCATCCATCCCCCCTGAGGCTCAGCATGGATATGGCAGGGGCGCGGCGTCTCAACGTATTGACTCGATGCCACTTAGCCCCTCAGGTAACCCGCGTCCTGGTCCTGGACCGGCGGGCGCGCCCCGGCCTTTCCCCAACCGACCAGACCTTGCCGATCAGCCCGGTCGAACGGGCAGCGCGCCGCCTTCATCCCAGCCGCGGCCGCAGCAGCAACCCAGCCCTGCTCCTAGCGCTCAAACGATGCCCCCTCCAAAGAAGCAAACGACGGGCCAGGGACCTGCCACCTTTGAGGCGATGGGCATTCCCAAGGGCAAGGATGAGTCGGACTGCGTGAGTAAAGCTGCACTGTTATTGACGAGCGCATTACTAATAATGACGATAGATCGTGATGTAAATTTCTCTCAGATACCAATTTCACTTAACGAAATGATGCTTTCCCAGCATACCATCGGGGGTTAGCCGGAGCGTGATATGTAGATAAGCATCCAATTGGGCTCATGGGACGGACAGCCGAACGGTAGTCCAACAGCACCTGAGGGACAATTGAAAAACCTTTTAAGTTCCCAAAATTGACCAAGTGAAGCTCGCACATTTCTTATTCGTCTCTGTCACTTTGAAACCGTCTCCGCCGCAGTACACTGCTCAGCCAACGGCGCGAGGCAATTCTGTAAGCTCATCTACGTTGCATTAGTTGGGTGGCCCTTTCGTTGGCGATAGTGCCTTTGTCGGAGGCGAGATTGGGCAGGTCGGCCGGGAAGGTCCGGTCGGGTTGGACCAGGCGGAAGACGGCGAGGAGGTCGTTGATGTTGAAACTGCCGGCGTGGGCAACCAGACATTTGGACTGAACGTCTGGAGAGAGGGGTGCTTCGATGTGGATGCGGGCTATGTCAATGATGTCGCAGTACCATTTCGGGGATGAACAGACTCGGGTCCAACACGTCAGAGGAGGTGTATTGGAGCAGGGCGAGACGATGGCGAGTCTGGATGGGGTATTGCGCTTAGGGCAACGACCGATGAAGTCACCAAGCGGGTGAAAGATGGAACAAAGTTGAGTGAAAGGAGCTGAGAGAGCGGAGACATTGGACTTACGAGCTGGGAATATGGTGACGAACTCGGGAGAGGTGTTGCCTTGCCAGAGGCGCCTCATTGCGCCGACGGCGGCAGGGAAGGAAGCCTTGATGTTCTAGGAGGCGAAACTTGCCCAGGGCGGCGTTAGGGACGGCTATTCATTGTCAACTCAAAGAAGTAGAAGGAGGGAATGGGGAAGAAGGAAAGGGGAGAAAGAATGAGGACCATCCGCATCCTCCAGTTCAAGACGAAACCGGGGCTTTTCTTGGTCGTACCACTTCCACAGCTCCAACTTGACCCTCGCGCTTGCGGCCGAGTAGGTGATGTATCTGCCCGCCATGCCACCTGGTCCTTTTCCCGAGAGCGCGATGGCCTCGGTCTGGCGGTTGTGGGAGGAGGCGAGACTTCGGATCTCAATCTCTCTTCCACTTCAGTGGGGGTTTGAATCAGAGAGACGGAAGGGGTTGTGTGTGTTTGGTTGGTCCAAAGGGGTGGCGGAGTGGTTTGTAAAAGGCGGGTGGGATGGGTGAAGGGTGCAGGCCATCCCACCAGTGCCGCCGCGGGACCGGGGGTCGGGGATTACGTGAGTAGGTCGGAAAGGGCGGCGGGCGTGAGCCGGAGGGGGAAGGGGAACATTGGTGGTTGAGCAACTGTTGCATGCCTGGAGCGCGGTAACACGGCTCGACTCAAATCCCCGAGTCCGTTCGTGTTTCTTGAGACGGTCGTGATGATGGGAACCTTGGACCAATGAAAGTCCTCAACATGAGTGAGCACCCAACACCATCGCTGTATCCTCGTAGTACGAGGAGGGGCTATGGGCTTCCTAAACCTCGACGATATCGAGTATCATATTAACCACACCCCTTCTTACACTTTGATAGTTGATCTAGGGTAGTCAGGGATGAGGAAAAGAGTACCGCAGCGCTAGCCAACCGACATTGGAGACAGCCGTAAGTGAGTTTCTCCCCTTCTCATGATTCATACCCTAGATTCCACTGTCTACTAATCCTAAAGAATCAATACCAGGAATTCAAGGTTTAGTCACATGCATATCTCTACGTGTATTCATGCGATTTGGGCCGTTGGTGCCAAGCGGACATGACCGGCTCCAACCGGTTCGAAGCAGTGACTGTCACGTTCACATTGGACGCGTGCTGTGACTCTTCACCCTCAAAGCAATGTGGGCGTGGACCTTAATGCGTATTACCATATGATGTAGGTAGGTAGGTGAAAAGTACGCTTGGATTGTGCAAGAGAATCAACTGATACCACATGCTTCGAAGATGACGCCTAGCTTGATCAATCCAGGGGGGCAAGAAGTCGTTGGCGCAGAATCAATGTGACCGTTTTACCTGCCATCGCGGATGAGGCCCTCGAGATCACCAGAGCCATTCGGGAAACCTCACGACTAAGAGAAGCCCAAGGTTGCGTAGTATGCTGGAAAAGAGGTCTGATTCAGTGCGGGGGATGAACATGTTGGACTTGAAGTCGCTGAGTCTGGTGAAGGTTGGATTCGCGCATTTTCCGCAGCTATATAGAACATCATTTTGCATCCTTGGCCACCAGTCGCAGTTGTGTATCTCTCCTAGATCTGAGCATTTCTCATCATATTGCCTTGCTACTTTCCATCACGGTCTTGGTGAAATGACCTAGGTTGAGTGCGGTTTCCTTAGCACCACAGTATGGTGAGTGTCATAATTAAGACAGGAGTCGTGTTTTTGGAAGGTTGAAAGCACTTAGAATAGGCAGGTGTAAGCTTCACCTTCACCTTCACTCTCACTCTCACGTTCATCTTCACTTTCTTACTTCCCTTCGTCCTTACGTCCTTGCCTCGCAAATTCTCCAACAACAAGCCAACCGCGTGACGCGCCTTCATCTAACCCAGGCAGTCGCACCTTCCTTTAGTTGCAACTTCCTTTCCTTCCCCCAAGGCAAAAGAATCCCATACTCAAATTTCTGCAGTGCCATCCATCCCCTCCTCACCGACGACCGCAGCAGAAAATTACTTATCTCTCATCTGTTCATTTACCTCTTCCCTCCAGCACCTCCGCATCGTGGCTTTCCTCCCATCTTCACCTGCACTTCATCGCAAGCACAACCAGAGCAAGCACTGCAGCTCCCAAGGCAAGTTCCCATTACATTTCTTTCTCGTCGGTCAAACTCACTGTCTTCATCTATGACTCGCTGGCTCAAGTATCGGTATTTGTTATGAACATCATCGCTGCTACCCTCGTACTCATCCTACCTTATTTTCTAACGCATAAAATACAGGCTCAACAACCAGAGGACAATCATCATGGCCCACCAAAGTCCGGGTCGAGCTCACCCAAGCATGTCTCTTCCCTCTCGAAAGCGACCTGCCGACGTCCTCTCTGAGGACGAAGATGACCGAGACACCCCTCAGCGCTCTACCAACGGCTTTAAACGTGGTGTCTCAGCTTCATCGAAAGCCCCCAAGAGATCCAAACTCACCACAATCCGATATTCTGAAGATGTCGCAAAGCAAGCCATCAGAAGAGAGATTGTCCATACCCCAGCCCTCAGCTACATGTATGACGACATAATGCACACAGTCACGACTACCAGGCAGACAGAAGGCTGTCAATTGAGCTCGAACACGTACTACTCGACCACCAAGTCGTGTCTGAGAAACAAGGATCAAGTGGAGATTGTTGACCTCATGCGCTATCTCAAAGCTGAGATCTTCATCCGCACTGATCACTGGGCCCCCAAGCCCATGGCGGAATGGTTTGAGATGGTCCACGACGCTCGTCTTGAGAAGGCGTTCCGCAACAAGTACTGGGCTGATAATCAACGAGCGAACACGAAGAACATTCTCATTCTGTACAACCGTATCACTCGACCACTCATCAACTCTGACCCTGACCTTGCCGACTGGTATGAGACAACTGCCAAGGCTGTCATGCGCCGCTCTGTCTGGGTTCCCGGTCCTGAACACCCGGTCATACAGAGTGCCGTTGCCATAATGGTGCGTGCTGAGGATGAGCCCGTGTTCCAGGAAGGACAAAAGCGGACCACTCAAATCTGGGTAGCCTGGTGCCTTCTTCGAGGTGAACCTTGCATTGAGTCGTCCTACCTTGCCACTCTAATTATCGATCGTGCTAACAAGAACCCTTCTCTGCGCACATGCTTTTCCCATGAGTTTGGCGCCTTGCGCAAGGTGAAGAGTACAATCTCTGACTACAGTCAGTACACAAGGTGGCTCCAGATGCATGGAAGATGCCACATCATTACTATGGAAGAGCTGATGGCGAGACCAGCTGTTGTGAAGAAGCCTAGCACAGCACAGAAGGTTACAAGCAAGACAAAGGAGAACAGCAACAACACCACAAAGAACAATCAGAGCAAGCCTCAGAACACCGATTATCAAAGAGGCACCAACAAGGAGAAAGGCGCCCAAAAGTCATTCACCAATCGAGACCGTAGCCCAGAGGAGCTTATGGTGTCTATGGCCATCTCTGGCTCCCAGCAGGCTCAGCAGCAGGGCCGCGCCGGTGAGGAGACTCAACATGCCAAAAATAATCAGAAGCCGAAGCAGTACAAGAAGAAAAAGCCTTCCAATGAACTTGAGGAGGAAAGTACCATGAACCTCGATGACCCTGCCGTTAGAGCCCATCCCGATGCTTCCAAGCCTGTTGCGTCAAACTCTTCAGCTTCGAACCCTTCAGCAGAAGGTGCCGTTATGGTATCAGCTTCTGACACCGCCACAACTCTTGCTTCCACCATGACAGCAGCCCCCGTGGCTCCTTCAGATGTCAATACAACCCAATCAATGACCCCAGCGGAAGTCAGCAGCATGCTTACCGTCATGATGAAGTTCGGCAACATGATGACTCAAAACAACCAGACCATCGACTCACAAGCAGTCAGCTCTCAGGCTATCAGCGCCGCAGATCTGCAGAACTTCTCAGTGAAGCTGTATGCAGATCTCGACAGAAAGACAGACGCCAAACTTGACGAAAATCTCGCGCCTATTTTACAGGCCATCAAGGAGATGAAATCCGAGATGAAGCAAGTCCTCAACGCCATTCAGAAAATCGAAGACAAGCAAACTGCCTACGAAGAGGCTCACGCGACCGCGATGAATGACTTGCGAAGAGACTTGCAGGAGCTCAAGACAAAGGTTGAAGAGAAGGAGAAGAACCACTTCAGCTTCGCTTTCTCCAAGGATGGAAAGACAGCGGATTCCATCACCTGCGCTCCCCGCGCTCCTACGTTGAACACGAGCCCGTCCATCCGACGCAAGTGATCAGGCAACTCGAAATTCTTTTATGATCCCATGGCCTGGAAAGACTGTCCTGATTCGAATGAGATATGGCACAATACGACGAAACGAAGGTTACTCACGACTTGACGATCGATGTGAAGATTATAGGTTGGTGATGCCGCCTACTACGAAGCTAGGCAAAAAGGAGAGCAGTGTTACCCCCAACCGAGTGAAGGCTTACTCAAGGAGGATGAGTGAGAGGTTTGGGTAGGGGTTTGGAGAGAACTAGCAGATCGAGGGAACAGGGAGTGGCACTACAAACTGTGGTTGTCGGTCTTGGATGTTGATTGGGTGTACGGAAAACAATGGAACGTAGCCTTCGGTCCTGGCACAATTGTAAAGTATCTGATGGCGAGCAATAAGTAGAGAGACACAAGAAAACCAGTTGCTCGTTATTTTGGAGTTCCAAAACTGAAAGATGTGGCGATGGGACGAACGACGCAAAATACTCTAGCATCAATTTACTTAGGAGGTCAATGACATCACCGGCCATGGCGAAGCGAAATACCGAGGCACTTTGGTTGTGGACGACAGCCAACAGGTGAGTGGCTGTGTGTAAAAGGATAGAGAGCCGCACCCAACCAGGTCCAAATGGCCTAGGCCACTTTGAGAAGAGCCACCCCCAGCACAAGGCTCTCTCACATTCAGACTGAGTCAAACCAGGACCCAACGCACGTGAGATTCTACAAATGCGCCTAGATAACTGGGATCAATTAATAGCTTCTGAATCAGTCAAACCGGTATGATGATTAACCTTAGTGGTAGCGCCCGAGGTCGTTTCTGCAACTTGACCCTGCGAATCTTTCAGATGCAATGCGATTTGTAATTCTTACAATGACCGATTTCTGGTTCCTCACGATTTTTACCTCTTGGTGGAGTACATACATGTATGTCTAAATAATACTCTTTGTTGAAATGCTTCATCTTTTCTACCCACTTACACTTTTTCGGTGGAAAGGGGGCGCAGCACGGTACCCTGTTCAGATATGGCCGTTGTGTTGGTCGTCCGTTGGTTACTGGACCTGAGGTTGAATGCACTGCACTTCAATTTTACATGCCTTTTTGGCATCCTGGTTCCTTTTTTCTCCTTACCCCCTGCCCAGAACAATCTCTCCAAGTGACGAATAACGTTGGTTGTTTTCTCCAGCAACGGCTGTAGCGTCCCTTTAGGCAAATGCGGGAACCTAACCACCCACCAATGCGGTGGGTAGACGTGATGAACGACAGTTGGGGGCCTTTGGTCTGATATCTGGCCTACCTACCTGGTAACTGGAGATTTTACGGCCGTTGGACGCCAACCGTACATTCACTTGTTGCGTTGGTGCTTGGACAAAGACGCCGTTGGATCAGACGGACAATGGTAATACATATAAGGAAGCCATGAGGGCGCGCTTCAACCTTTGGAGGGAGGTTAGAGTCACAATCCAGTGAATCATACCACTATTTAACAAACGACCTGTTTGAGATCTGGTACATTGTTATTCTTCAGCAACTATCAACCCAATCTTACCGTTTCAAGTAATTCCTTGGCACAACCCGTCTCGATCATGAGACTTACACGGCCTTCTCGCTTTGAGCGGCTCGGCTCGATACAAATCAACGAACTCCAGCGTGTCGTTGAGCTGGATGCTGGATCCGGGAAGAGCACCTCATCAAGTGTCACCGTCTCCAGGGACGACTTCTTGGCCATTGAGTCCCGAATGGCCATAGTAGTCCTCTGCATGAATGAGGAGTTTAGGACCATCGAGTCCGTCTTCTCTGGAATCCCCCACGACTGCCTCATAATTCTAGTCTCCAACAGCAACCGGGCACGGGGATACAACGACAGATACGAGACCGAGGTCAACATTCTACAAAACTTTTGCCGAGACGCGGACCGCTTCGCCATCGCGATACACCAAAAAGACCCCGGGGTCGCCGCCGCCTTTGACTCTGCGGGTGCGCCGGAGCTGATAGGGCCCGACGGCCTGGTCCACAACGGGAAAGGCGAGGGCATGCTCATGGGCATGGCCGTCGCGGCGCTGATGGAGCGCGAGTACGTCGGCTTCGTGGACGCCGACAACTACATCCCGGGCTCCATCAACGAGTACTGCAAATCCTACGCCGCGGGGTTCCATCTAGCACGAGCCAAGGCGGAACATGCCATGGTCCGGGTGTCGTGGAGCTCGAAGCCCAAAGAGCGCAACGGGCGACTCATGTTTGACCGGAGGGGACGGAGCTCGCGGGTAGTCAACGAGTGGCTGAATAACCTGCTGCAGGAGTTCTCGGGCTACGGGACGGACTGCATCACGACGGGCAACGCCGGGGAGCACGCCATGACCATGAGCCTGGCGCTGAAGCTCAGGATGGCGAGCGGCTTCGCCGTCGAGCCGTACGAGTATCTCTACCTGCTGGAGCAGATGGGCGACTTGGACCACCATGACAATTACCACCTTCACCACCGGAGAATCGACGACGACAGCAGCGATGTGGGCTCGGACGCGAGCAGCGCGATGACGGAGCCGCCAGGCTCGCCGCAGCACCCGTCGGTGCAGATCCACCAGATCGAGACGCGGAATCCGCACTTGCACGACAATAAGGGCGACGAGCATGTCAGCGACATGCGCGCGCAGGCGCTCAACATGCTGTACCACTCGCCAATGACGCCGCTGCCGATGAAGGCTGCGCTGCGCAAGTGGATGGAGGACGAGGGGGTCTTGGAGCCGGGGCAGACGCCGCCGAGGGAGCGGGTGTATCCTGCTCTGGGGGAGCTGGACATGGCGCGTCTTGGAGATATTTTGGCCGCGGAGAGCACGAGGAAGATGATTGGGCATTTTCCTTGAAGGGATCTGTATGTATTCATTCTTTTCTTTTTTATTGGGCAAGGTATGCTTGGTAGATGGACCACCTATAGATAGACATAGCGTTTAGAATTGCTTTTTTCTTCTTCTTCTCTTTCACTTTTAGTATTACTTAGACATTATGAAGGAACAAGACGATACCATGGGACCTTGACTCTATGCTTCCGAAATGCCAAGGTGACTGTTGGTGTTGGGAGCAATATCACCAGAAGCTGGACTTTGATCGGGCGTCGAACGTGCTCCGGGAGAGGAAGGGAACGGGAGCTTGCATCGGATCACTTGCCTTCCGACGGATGAGCTCCAGCTGAAAGGAAAATCATGGAATTTAAACCCGGCCATAGCCTGCCTTATGTGCATACGATTCTGACATCTCCGGAGGCAACGTGGGGGTTGGGATGCGGGGGCTGGTTCTCCGGACTTACGGCCGGTGGCTGGCGGCACAGGGTCGGATTATGCACGACATTCTGACTGCTTGGCACCGTTGTGGAACGCGCCGGCAACGTTGAGTGGACTTTCCGGTGCAGGCGCCACGTGTTTCATGGGAGTATGTCTTGTTGGAGAGACTATATCCGCGGATATGCTGCGAGGAATGCCATGCCCTTCGTCTTTGCTTGGCTTTGTCACCCATCTCACTCTCAGAACCTTGCCTTCGACTTGTGAGCTTGTTAGTAAGGAATTTCCTGTACTACTGCCCAGACAGAGAGAGGGGGGGAGGAAGTGAGTGTGGTTGTGTGTTTGTGTGACTACTCCGTCCAGCAAGTCTTCTAACAAGTCAACTATAATAACGTTACCTTGATCAAGACATTGGTAGATTACTTCTCACGACATCCGCGACTGTCGTGAGAAATGGCGTCAACATGCTGGTGAAGCTACTTGACGCCGGGCAGAGTTTACTGGTAAATTCCTACTCCGGGTGAGGTTTTTCTCGGTCTCAAGGAGGATATGTTGCGGGAGGAGTTTCTGGGTTTAGTCGAGAGGCAGGAGATGGAGAGGATGCTGGGATTTCGCATTGGTTGCGGTCAGAGGCGGGACATATGCCACTTGGAACAATCCATGCTATTGGAGAGGGAAAATTTCTCATTGAGGTGTAGGAACCAGAGGATCCGGCTATTCTTTGCGAGCGGAAGGGCTTCGGGATTGACGGGGCAGGGCACGGCCACTTGGATATCGGATTCTCGCTTGCGCTGACTGCTGTTAAGACTCGAGGTTGCTCGTGAGAAGAGGCCGAGAAGCTGAGGTTGTCTGAGGGATCTATTGCCACGGGCATGCCGAATGTTGCAGGACATGAGGAATAAGGTTGGCTAGGTGCTTTTGCTTGAGGTGTTCATGAATGTTGCGAGAATATCAAAGCCCTGTTCCAGTCACTGGTGGGCGGCATCCTTGATTAATTACATTAGTTGACTACCTTATGTGACTGGTCGAATTATCTAGGTGTAGCATCAAACTCACACCCCACTCTGTATATCGAACATTCCTAATAAGGTACATGTAGGAAGAGGAATGTCGCAAAAGACACATCGAACCTCCCCCGCCCCCCATGAGCTCCATTTCATTATGCTTTCATCACACCTTCGCCCACAATTGGAGTCCCTTGCCGGCCTTCCTTGTCTTCACCATCTTCGCCGCCACCCAAAAACACATGCCGGTCAGCAAACAAGATCCCGCATACACCTGGGCTCCGACATAGCTCCCCCCCTCAACCGAAATGATAGCCCCGGCGATCGGAGGCCCAGTCAGCACGGCAAAACTGACAATGGTAAACGTCATTCCCATCCGTGTACCCTGCTTCCGCGGATCGCTCGTCAGCTGGCTCAACGCCGAGGGGAACAAGCTCTGGATGGCGTTGGCGGTGAGGCCGTAAAAGGGCGTCCAGGCGTAGAGTCCTGCCGTCGACGAGACGGCGACCCAGCAGTACATTAGGATGCCTGAGAAGAGGGACATGGGGATGATGGTGTTGATTGAGCCGACGCGGTCGGCAATGTAGCCTGGGAGGATACGGCCTGGGATGCCGACGCCGTTGAGGACGAGGAGCAGATTGAGGGATGAGTTGTAGCTAAGCCCGATGATGTCGCGGGTGTAGGAGGACAAGTAGTAAAAGGCGAAGAATACGCCCAGATAGTTCTGTGACACGGGGCGGCATTGTGAATATGGAAGACCGACATTGAGCGAAAGGGGATATGTTCGATCTTACCAGAAATGAACCAATGGCGTAAAATGTGTACTCCAACTCCTTGAAAGCAGCCCATTCGACGATGCTCCCCGCTTTCCTAGGCTTGACTCTGGGCTTGAGGAAGATGAAACCGATCACAAGCGTGCCCGCCTGCACAAACGCAATAGCGCGGATTGTCCAGCCGAACCCGATAGTCGGAAGCAGCTGGCGCACCATGCTGGGGTAAATCAAACCGCCCGTAGAGCTCCCGATGGACACGAACCCCAGCGCGAGGGCCCTCTTCTTGTCAAAGTAGGTGGACGCCGTCGACAGCGTCGGGCAGAAGAGCAGGCCGTTGCCGATGCCCAGGCAGATGCCCTGGGCGAGGAAGAACTGCCAGTACTGCGAGCAGAAGGAGGTGGCGAGCATGCCGAGGAAGACGAGGAGGAAGCCGGCGATGAAGAGGTGGCGAAAGTAGCCTGCGTCGGTGAGGCGGCCGCTGAAGGTGCTGATGAAGAAGAGGAGGAAGACCTCGAAGGAGCCGATCCAGGCTATGTCGGAGGGTGGGCGAGAGAGGAGGGTTGTGTAGTAGGATTGGAAGACGCCAAAGGAGTTGACGATGCCCCTGCGGTTGTCAGTTTGGCTGCAGAACCCACTTCTTGTGTCGAGGTAATAAACTCACCAGGTATTCATAATAACCAGATGGGCGCTGAAAACTGGCAAAGGAATTAGGGTCATAGTGATCTCTCTCTCACGGTATGCGGCACAACTCACTGGCCATCCACGCGGTGACACCCCCGTCTGGAGGCGGACTCGGTGTTACACTGGACCTAGACGTAGCCCGGCTGAGCACCCGGCCCACGATGCCGCCGGCCTCGGACTCGGTCCCGTGCCCTGTGCCCGGGTCCGTGCCCAGCGCCACCACGTCCGGCCGGTCGTCGTCCGACGAAGACGACGGCACTGCCTTTCCCCCGCCACTAAGAGCTTCTTTCAAATCAGCGTCGTCGCGTACGGGCAAACCCGTCGTCTGCGGCCTGGACTTTTCGACATCATGGGCGGTGTGAGAGGGGGTGCTCATGATTCCCCTATTCCAGAGAAGCGCGCCAAACGAACGCCAAGAACGGGTCTCCTCCGATCTCGATAACTTGGGCGGCTTCGCTCACAATCTTTCTCGAGTTTGTCATGCCGGTGCCGCCAAAATCACAGAAATTCTGTTCAATAGTCAATAGCTGACGCGATCAATTGGCCGATATGAGGAAGAATAGAGAAACGGGTAGGTGAATTAGAATGTCGTCCCAGAACCAACCTATTTCAACGGCACGCCAACCCTCAAGCGCCCCCCCCCCCCCCCCCCCTACGCCACCCACACGCAACCACGCCCCTGCGCCCCCCTCACCGCAGCGCCTCAGGCCACCCGCCACCACCCCCCGCCCCCCCCCCCCCCACCCCCCCCGCCCCCCCCCCCCCCCCCCCCTTAGACCTTCATAGTCCAAAGCGGCGCTGTTTGCCTGAGTCATGGCAGCGCGAGGAATTATCAATCACAACCCCGGCGTCGACCCCCGGCCACGGGCGGGCGAGCAAGCTGCATTCTGGCCGGGGTTGAGAACAAAGAGCATCCACTTGGGAACACACGCCATCCGGGGGTTGAGTGGCACAGTGAGTGGGGATGAGCTCGACAACCCTCGACGCGCATGCGGTTTGCGATTGTTGGTTGTGAAGGGCACTGAAAATCATTGCCCGAGAGCTTAGCCGAAATGCTGGCTATGTCGAATTCAGACACCGGGTCGCCAATCTGCGCGCGAATGGGTGGAGACAAACGGCAAAACGGCTGCTTAGGGGCCCACGGAGATGAACGTTTACTCGGCCGGGTCCGGTTGTGGCTACTGGTCGGAGCTGTTCCGCGCCGAAGCCGCTTCGGCGACGGGCCCCGAAACTGGATTGGAAAACTTTCTCATGGATTCCTTTGGCGACATGAATGCGCCCCCGATCGTTTGTTGTTTCTCTGGAGTTCAGCCCCCTTCGGACTGAATGGTAGACGATGAGATACATGGTGAAGCAAATGGTCAGGTGCAGCGGTTTACACCTCAGCTGAACCCCCCCCACAGGATCTCGGCCTACCCCTATCCACCCACACTAAGCTCACTACAGCGATTCATAATAGAATTATGTTCCTATTGTCTTATATATATACTCTTATCTTTTATTAGAATGTTTAAAATCTTTTTTTTTTTTTTTAATTTAGCTTTAATTTAAGCTTAAATCCTAATTATTAACTTTAGTTATGGATGATCTTTAGTAAGGTAATTTGTAATTGGTATCAGGATAGTTACATATCTCTAGCATGATTTTATGAATGTGGTAAATTACAGTGCACGGGTGTTGGGGTAAGGTGAGGTGACTGCAGCAGGTGCAGCACCGAATTGGATTGGAAAGAGCATGGCATTTGATGCTATACCAGCTGGCACCAGCTGTTGCCAAGCCATAGCCATCTTGCCGAGATAATCAGCCAGAGGGTGGGGCCGGAACTGACATTGTTGGCTTGGAATTACTTGGTAATCGTTCGTTTTGGAGAGGACGTCTCCCATTTATTCAAGCAGTCAGGCACGGCCGGCATCCTACATCCGCCCGAGCACTTCAACCCAACGTTTGACAGCTGCAAAGCCGAATTGTATCGCAAGTTCTCGCCCTCAATTATCCCAACAACTTCATCCCAGTAATAATCGACTTTTTCTTTTCCCATTTCCAAGCATCTCGGTCATCTGAAGGCCAATTTGTCGACCCTCTTGCGTCTCCGCCCCCCAACACCCGGCAAGACGGCCGCAGCACAATGTTGGTTCGCAACATGACGCAGCCGAGGCCAATCAAGAGGCCGTTGGGCTAACTTCTCCCCGGCATCCGATTACCTTTGATGGCTGTCTTGGACCTCCAACCCACATCGCCTTCTCATTCGTCGTAGGAGCAGCCGCCTATTTTGGCTCAGGTGGCCTACTGCTTCTGCACTGCATGGTCTCGCAACGCCATGCCAGTCTCACATCAACACTCGGTGGATCCCCGTCCAACGACGAGTCACAAGCCCTGAAGCGGAGCAGAAAGTACAGGAGCCTCAGAATCATACGTTCAAGATGACCAATAAACTTTTGAGGCTTTCCTTGGTTGGTGCCTGGGCCCTCATGCAGAGAGTCTTCTTGAAGCTGCTGCGTGGACCTATGGCTTTATATGAAAACCTCCGTTATGGCTCTCTGCAGCTCTGAAAATGGGGGAAGGTTATGTTCCAAGATTTTCAATCGATCGAGGTAGGAGTTGAGATCCTCAAGAAAGGTCATGGCTTTGTCATATCCATCCGATACTGCATTTGCGACCTGCAACGTAAGATGTATGAACAATGAATTAGGTGAGGGTCTTACATGTCTTAAATACCCAACGGCCGCAAAGATTGCTTCACTGGGAGGAGAAGTCTATTTTGTCAGCTGTATTAGAGCGTAGCCCAGGGTTCATATGATCTTACAGCTTTCGTCGCATGGGCCACGAATTGCCCTAGTTTCTCAATAGGAACCAGGCTATTGTAGACGAGAGACCTCAACTTGTCAATATGAGAGCCGTTATGACGATTCCTCTGCGCTTGTTTTTTTTGAGTCCGCAACGTAAGAAAGAATCTCATCCAAGCTTCTAGACTGTCTCAATGAGTTGATTTTGATCTTCAGTATTGTTTCATATTGAAATTCCTGCCCAAAAGATGTCTGGTGTGTGGTCAGAATCCTCGAAAACAACCGAAAGCGTCCTCGATGATACTGACTTCTGAAACTTTCGACAACGATTTTTTTTAAAAGTGAATGATCATGTGATGGGAGATCCGACTTTCATTTAAACCGAGTATCCCCTGACTGGTTGAGGCGACGCGGTGGAAGTTGTTTGTATGATGTTCGAACCAGGCCTGGATGATGTCGCTCGGCTGGTTCAGGGACAGGCGGGTACATAGCCGAGTAAACTATTTGTTTCCTGGCCCATCGCAATATCTACTGGTCTGAACAAGCACAAATACGAAAGTCCTGATGTCTGGAAAACTTATCATACAGAATGCAAAATACGTTCTGCCAAAAAACTCTGCTCTGTATCTGCTTTGCACCATGAAGGTGTCTACCTACTGATGGCTTGGGATTGCAGCCATGTCGCCATGGGATGCTCGATTCTCAAGCCAGAGAGATCGCATACAGCCAATTTCTGTGTGGCCGGGAGCTCCAGTAATCCTCGAATGCCTTCGTCGTTTTGGAAGACAGACGACGGTATACCCGCCAGAGCATCTTCCTCGATCTTCAGACGTATAAATTTCAGCCTAGTACATTCTCGAAGCAGCTGAATACACCTTGTGACGTGTAACTTTGGCAAACTAACAAAGTTGTCATCCTTCAAGCCGCCCATATTCCATCTTTCTTCCAAGTCTGAGCGACTTTCCCAGGGAAATTCTATAGATTGAATGTTTGCTCGACCGATCCTTCCAATGGCGAGAAGGAATTTCACTAAGTCGTCAAGATCGTCAAGTTCGAAACTTGTCTTGCGATAAGCTAAAGGCAATGCCTCGCGACGCATGGCTTTGCTGACTCTTAAGTGCGTGATGTCCGTACTAAGGGGGTAGTAGTACCCGGACGGATCACCCAAAGCCTCAGCGAAGGTAACTTGGTCGAATCGTTCGACATCCGATATGCGCCATAGTCCATGCGGAGTTGCCAATGTGTATATGCGATCTCGGATCTCACGAGGAAGGCGGAACAGACTTCCATTCGTTTTTGTCTCAATGTTTATGCGAAGCTACACCGGGTGAGACATGGCCACTCAATGTCATGAACACGTACCTTGGAAACGTTTATCACACGTCGGCCTTCGTCTCGGTTGAGTAAGAATCGCATGCGAAAATTGAACCTATAATCTAGATCGATGGAGAACGCATAATATCCTGGAGTGTTGTGACGAGTGATTGTGACGACGTCGTCATTGTAGTTGACTGCCTAATAATATATGGTTACTTTCTATCTCATCATCAACTGCAGGAGAACGAACCAATGTGACGTGACGTTCCTGGTCTGGCTGTTGGAGATGCCTCCCTGCTTGAAAATCTTCGAATTCGCGCAACGTCTTCCGATTAATTTCATGGGGGACCGGTCTTAAGTCAGTGTAGAGACGGCCATTCTCATTGGAATGAGCGACTGGGTCTACAAGGTAGCCCAGCCGCTCCTCCATCTCTTGCAAATTGTAGGTAGGCTTTCGTTTAGCCATGTTAAGAATTGTGCCCAAATCAAGGTAAAAGTTTGCGAGTCGATTGAGCCAAGGCAGTACCAACAGAACAGTCTCCGCTGCGCGGCAGTTGAACTGGTTCATCACGTGTTGGAGCTGGATCTTTTGGGATTCTAGGCAGGGGACGTCACTACCGAGTGCGAAATCCACATACTGCTTAGGGTTCTGTCAAGACCCGACTGATGAATTCGCATTAGATTTGCACAATCTACGTAGGCGAATGGCGATCATTCTTCTTCACGCGATCAACGTGAATTGTCTCTTGTAACACCAAGCCATCGAGTGCGATCATTATGAAACAATGATGCTTTTGTGATTGAGAAGGGACAGAAGATGACTGTGCCGTTATGATTCAAGCACAGTTTGCTGGATAGATGAATGTGTATGGACAAAGGGTTGTCGGTGATAGTGGATACGTACAAGACGGAGCCGCAGACCGGGATTGGGTGGTCCGGAAAGTAGCTAGATTATTTTAGCTACGAGTGGCGGGCATGTGGCCGATCCCTTACATTAAGACGGGATTTGGGCTGGGCTGGACCCAACTTGCGTCTGTCAGGTGGAAACTCTCATCCAAGCAAGATTTTTACTCGTTTATCAATGAAACTCAGTAGTGTTGTGTTAAATAGACTTCGTGTATCTGACACCCTTATTCCATATCCATTATGCTGCCAGCAGCCATACTGTTGATCTGTCCACCTAGGGAAACTCTGTCAGTTTTTCACTGGCAACTCTGGTCGTAAGTCTGCCATGCGATCTCCTGTGTCGCGAGCTCAACCGTCACCATAGGAAGGGATGAAGTATTTGAAGCTAGCTAGCCTCGTCAAAAGGCTCTCCACGCCATGCATTCTTCTGGATACCTGCGATAAGTAGACGATCGTTGTTGCATTGTTGCCGTCATGATATTAAATACAATAACCGTGACACAAGTGAGCTCGGCATGCGGTCTGTTACAGTAAGGAATATCAATTTCCATTTCATTCCTGCGGCTTCAGCGCATACATCTTGATAGGAAGCAACTTTCTCTGCGGAACCTTTGGAAGCCCTTTTTGCATTTCAGTCCTGACAATCCGCAAGTTGGCCTGTTTGAATAGAGCTTGGAACTTGGAATCTTCCCTGGATATGCGTCAGCTTATCACACCAGCTTCGACAATCGGGGTAAGCGGCGCACCTTGTGACACTGCTGTCCACATGGTCAAAGGCATCAGTGCCACTTGTACTTAAATTCTCTTTAATAATAATAAGACCGCAACCCGGCGTCAGAGCGGTTACGCATCTTTGCAGATATTGAACTAGCTGCTCGTCGGTTAAATGTCCAAGACACCATTGAGTCCAAATCAAGTCATATCTAACGCCTGGTTCTGGGTGCCATCTGTCCAAGCCGATGTTGTAAATGGATCTAATGCCAGAGGTTTCTTGCAAAGAAGCGGTAAATCTAGCGATCGGCTCCACTACATCAACTTGCTCAGCAATATCGAGAAGCAGTCCAGTGGTGATGCGGCCAATGCTAAATCTCGACCAAGTGGTTAGCTTCCAGGGTACTATTGACGCGTTCCGGGCCACTTCTTAGTGGAACTTACCCTGCTCCGCCCTCAAGGGCAAGTTTGACCCTGGATCGACCGTTTTTCAAACCAATACCCAGCTTTGCCAGAAACGCGCGCGAACCTTGCAAGTCAATTTTGTTGAAGGAACAGAAACCGTCCACCACAGGCACACCACCCAGCATGCCGCTGACGTCGGCAGAGATGCTTTCCCAATGCTTCAAGCTTTCACTCTGCATGATGTAGACGTCCGGAGGATCCGAACGACAGTGGCTCTTCGCATCCGACATCGCGATTATCCTGTACAGCTCACTATATCAATCGTTGGCTTTTTGCCACGAACGGACTGACCATTGGTGGAAACCCCTTCTTTAAAATGAGTGGTAGATAGACAGAATACTTGCCAGAGTTTCCTTTCAAAAGAGCGGGGCTTAATTTGTAGCCAGTCAAGTTGTTGGTCGGAAAACACCCCGATGCCCGGACAAATACTTTTCCTGCGTTCGATGAACCAACAGCATGGAATCGGAGGGGAAAGAAGAAAGAAAAAAAAAAAAACCGACCCAAGGCGGAAGTAAAATGTTCGGAAATGGCATCAAGGTGATTGGAGCATGCCCTCTCGCATCAACAAAGAATAATATCAACAAAAGAGAGAACGGATTTTCTGAAAACAGCATCAAACTGTCGAACCACGCCCGCTCGCGTCCGCAGAGGTCATTTTGAGCACAATCTTATTCTCAACATTGATTCTGCTTTAAATGGGCTGCTCGCGGCCGCGAGAGGGCTCAACTATAAAAGATCCGAGAGCAAGACATAAAGCACATTGCGTTAGTAGGCAACACTATCGCCACCACCGTATATAGGTTATAGGCTATTGCGAAAAGTGTAATAATAACACAACTAATTAGTTATAGGTTATCTATTACACCCGATATAATTTGTAATATCGCGCGATAATAAAGATGATAAGCTTCATAGAACGGTATTACCTTTTAGGGTACATAGAGAAGGTATCAAATACTAAGCATACTACGATCGGTGCTGTAAATACTGAAGATTATAGATAGACTAGTCCCTTGTCGTATTCTTTATGGAAATGGATTACCGCCCGTCAACGTACTATAATATCTATAGAATGTATGTAGGAGGTTTATACGTAGTAATTAGGCGAATTGAAGTAACCCGATTCATTACCCACACGCTCAACCCGCTCACCCACGCTCACCCCAGCTCACCACGTAAGAAGCGGCGGGGGATCCGGGGACACCTGGGCGACATATTGGCGAAGGTCATCGACACCAGCACTTCGAACGTTGTCAACACTGACTTCCATCCCATTGTTGATGGGATGAAGCTGCGCTTGGATGTTTCGGCAACGCGGAAAGCGACTTCTATACCTTGCAAGTAACGAGGCACGTCGATTATGTTTGCCGTTGGCCAGGAATCGGTCAAACTCTGCCTGACGCCGCTCATGTCTCTGTATCTTCCAGTGCCATGGCTGAGTTCACTCTCAGCCAGGACTTGCCTGGGAAACTTTCAAACCGTCGTCAGCGCCATGATAATGACCACCAAGATATCTCGGGTATTAAACTTATGCCTACACACGAAGAGATGATGTCTTCGCGAGAGGAGTATTTGCCAGTCGCCAATCCCGCGAAACATCATTTGCAAGGTTTGCTGGAGAGATATTTCCGCCTCTTACGCGAGGACACGCTTCACGATTTGCGGAGCGCTATCCGCACGACCGTGGAGTCAAATGGTAAGGCGTGGGATGTTCGGACAAGGGTCGTAGCATATGAAAACGCTCTTTCCGTTGACCTTGCCTTCGATAAATGGTCAGTTCTTGAGTTCATCGTTCAAATTCAGCAACCCCCATCTACTAGAGGTCTGGACAGAACGCAACGAGCCATTTGGTGGGCAGGAAAGACACTCATGGATGGGGCCCTTGCCTGCATTGTCGATGAAGTGGGCAGTATTTTCTTTCTTCAGGTCTCAAGGTCGACCATCAGAACGCTCAAAGACGAGAACCAGCAGGTTCAAGAAGGAAGATATGGAGAAGAGACCACGTTACAGTTTGCCCGACGACGGAAATCACGCCTACGTATATCTCCATTTAGTCGACACAAGCGTTGACGAGGTTGAGAGATCTCTTCGGTGGTTCAAGACCATGCGCGCCCGCCAGCACCGTCGTCTTCTCGAGTTCCCTTCCATCCTACTGCCTTCCTTCGTCCCCCCTCTGAAGGCATTGCAAAACATGTCACGGACGCTGGACCTTCCCTTCCAAGAGGTACTAATGCTTCTTGCTGGGAATCGACCAGCGGATATTGCACCCCCCGCTTTACTCTAGGCGTCCGGGTTTCTCCTTTGACATGAGCTGTCTGTCAAGCGATGGTGCGAAACTCTCATACGCGCCCGGTGATACAATCGACCCATCGGGTCTCAGCAGACACTCTAGCCTTGATATTACTCAATCTGAGGCCATCCTCAATTCCCTGAGTACATCCTTTGCCATGATTCAAGGCCCTCCGGGAACGGGCAGGAGCTACACCGGAGAAGCACTCATCAAAGTGTTGCTTGCCAATGAATCAAAAGCGAAGCTGGGACCCATCCTGTGCGTCTGCTACACCAACCACGCTTTGGATCAATTATTAGAACATCTTTTGGATGGCGAGATGCCAACTATTATTCGCGTTGGCTCTCGATCCAGATCCGAGAGGCTGGCTCCTGTGAATTTGAGGGCGGTTGCTCGAGACATGACCCGCACGACTACTGAAGGCCGGGCTCTCTACAACTCCATTGAGACTTTGGATAGCGACGCCAACGAGGTTCTTGAAAGGCTTTCGAATTTTAGGTCCCAAAAAACCAACAAAAAAAATTCGTTTGTTTCCTGCCGAACACCATCCTGTCCAGCACAAAGAGCTGATGGGGCCAACTCTGCCGGATTCTGATGACGAAGGCGAGTGGCAGACAGTATCCTACTCACATGGGGATGTGTTCAAGAAATGGCTCTCTGGCGGCTTATACAATCAAACTACGCGCCCGCTCAGTCGCCTGTACCATTTGAGAGTATCCGACCTTTACCATCAGGAATGTATCCTGCTCTACCAAAACTGGTTCGATGAAGCGCTGAGAGAAGAGCTTGAGCAACTGTCGGGGGTGCGCAATTTATACCAAAAACATAAAGAAAGCAACAGCAAGATCAGGAGCTCCATCGATTTGCGATGTATTCAAAATGCGAATATCATTGGGGTTACAACTACTGGGCTCGTCGCCAATCTTGTCCTTCTTCGACGAGTGCACGGCAAAGTTCTTGTGTGTGAAGAGGCGGGGGAAGTTCTCGAAGCCCATCTTTTGACCGCGCTCCTTCCGACTATCGAGCATGCCATTCTAATCGGGGACCACCTTCAGCTACGCCCTCAGATACAAGACTGGAGACTGCAAGGGCGAACCCGGCGGGCGTCAAGTATTCCTTGGATGTGTCGCTGTTTGAAAGACTCGTTCATCCGCCTCCCAATACCCCTACTATTCCCTTCAGTATTCTCGACACGCAACGTCAGATGCACCCATCGATCGCGGAACTTGTACGATCCACATTGTACCCATCTTTGTTAGACTCTGGAGATGTCCGACACTATCCCGAAATCCCCGGCATGGCCAAGAGGCTCTTCTGGCTTCACCACGAGAGCCCCGAGTCGGGGCGAAAGCCTGACAAGTGCTCTGTTGAGACCTCATATTCCAACAATTTCGAGATTGAGCTTGTATCAGGGCTTGTGTCCCATCTGCTGAGGCAGGGTGTGTACAAGTCTGAGGAAATCGCCGTCTTGACACCCTATTTAGGACAACTGAACAAGCTGCGACAAAAGCTCAGTTCCGTCATGCAGATCGTGCTAAACGACCGAGATTTGGATGATCTTGCCGAGATGGAATCTTCTACAACACCTCTTGAAGCCGGCTCCACGAATTTGAAGAAAGCGGCAAAAACAAACGCCCTGAGCGGTGTTCGAGCCGCAACGGTCGACAACTTTCAGGGCGAGGAGGCCAATGTTGTCATCGTGCCGCTCGTCCGCAGCAACAACGAGAAGAGGTGCGGATTCCTCAGTACGTCCAATCGCATCAATGTTCTTCTATCTCGGGCCAAGCACGGCATGTACATCATCGTCAATTCGCATACTTCAAGCAATGTCCCGATTTGGGCCCAAGTCACAGATATCCTGCAAAACGGCGGCAACTTTGGCAGCAAGCTGGAACTCCAATGCCCGCGACACAATCAAAACAGAAGTTTTGTGTCACAACCGGAGGATTTTCTTTGATTTTCTCTGGATGGTGGGTGCAAACTCCGGTGCGACCGCCGACTGGCATGTGGCCATGCTTGTACTGGGCCTTGCCACTCAGGTCACCTCCACGATGCCATCAAATGTCTCGAGGACTGGCCCATGGCATCAAGCAAAGGCTGGCTGATACGTTCTTTACAGCACAAGATGACCTGCGGAAGATGGAAAATAGCAGCTTCAGCTTCCCTACAACTCCATTGGGTTTCGCTCTCAGGGGATCCCGGCAGCAGCAAATGAACCATCTCTTCAAACTCACTGGGGATACTCGACACAAGGCCCTGAGGACGCTCCGGTACCAGATAACCAACTTTCTCGGAGCGGTCAGGAGAGATGAGCAGCCGTACCAACGCGTGGCGCACCTGGTCTGGCATGTGAACAAGCGGCGGCAGACAAGCGACTTCTCGTTTGACGAGTCCGCGATCCAGATGGGTGCCTTGTTGGAAGCCATGACGCTCTCACTTCGGTGCGACCTCCTTCTGGTGTCCGACTACATCAGCCTGTGCCGCAACAACACGGATGACAAGGGCGCCAAGTCCGCCCATGTCGATGCGATGCCGTATATCAAGGATTGCGAGCGACTGATTCATATGGCCCGAACGAGGAATTTTCATCGGCTCGAGGTTGAGGGCCACATCTTTCTCGCCATGTTCTGCTACTTTGCCCCCCCAAACGAGACCGAGTCGACGACCACGGCAGGCACTCAAGAGGCACCTAAGCCAGAAACTAATCCAGAAGGCTTCTCCGCGAAAGAAACGATGATCAAACTCGGCGAGGACCATCTCCGACTAGCCAAAGGCATTATCCAGCAGTACCCGTCAACGGCAACGCTGATGTCCGAGCTCGAGACGGCGAACCGCATGCTCCACCAAGGAATCTTCTACAGCGAGGTACCCACCGACGAGATGCGGGCCGTGTACGCGGCCATCAGCAAGGAGTTTTCGGGAACGGGCCACTGGTACACGTGCCGCAACGGGCATCCCTTCACCATTGGCGAGTGCGGCATGGCGATGCAGCAGACGGTGTGTCCGGAATGCAACGCTCCGGTCGGCGGCCGGAATCACTCATCGGCCGAAGGTGTGAGGCATGCGCGAGAAATCGAAGAGCTTGCAAGTAACATTGGTAGAATGGGGCTTTGATGTAGACTTGATTGAATCTGTTTGGTCTTGGTCTTTTGGATGCTTGCAGCTGCCATTGGCTCTGCTTAATGACCGCCTCAAATAATTTTGTACAGTTGTGCAGGAGACGGGCACGCAGCAGAGTGTGCAATAGTAGAGGATCTCCCGTCACGTAACTTATTTTAATGTCCTGGCAACCGTTGCTTTCGTGCTGCACAACGCCACTAAGCTGATGCTCAAGTTAGGCTCGCATTTGAAGCATTGGTGTCAGGCTTCAATACAGGTTAATCAAAGCAAGGCAGCCAGATGAGACCGAGACGTCAGGTATGGGACCTCCAAAATCATTCATGTAGAATACTAGCAATAGCATACATAGGTGTAGTTGGTCCTTTCTCCCATGGTCATTTCAGCACACATCCCGACTCGCGATGAGCCGCCCAAGAAATTCGGATCAAATGGTGTAGCAACACAACAGTTCTCAATCCGCCATCATTGCAATCATTCTTGTAATCATCATGTTCTCCTGTACACTCAACCCCGATTGATTCTGGATGAAGACAGAACCCTCAGGCCAGAGCTGGTCCAGTAAAAGGAGGGACCACTGTGAAGTTGGGAAATCTCTGGCTGGAATTGTCGTCGGCAGTTGGCAGTCGCGCAGTCATTCTTGCTCCAGCCGACCCGGATATCGTCCGACCACCAAACCTGAGGCCGGCTGTCGACTTGCAGAGTGATGAGAATAGAGCTGAGATCAGTGAAATCGACAGCCGAGAAGGGAGTCAGCGGGCAGCCGGAAGACTGGTTGCAAGCGTTGACCCAAGCTTGCTGGCTAACGGCTTCTGTCTCGGTAGCGTTGGATGCATCCCATCTGTATCCAGTGAAGGTGAAGACACAGAGCTGGTTGGGAATGTCGGAAGTGGAATGGCAACCCAAGTTCATGCCGAAGTAATCAAACTGGAAGCAAGGAGAAGACGCCAGCTTGCCCATGCCGATCTGCGCAGTGTCTCCAGAGACACCATCTGAAGAGGTGTTTGACAGAACCGGGGGCACAAACTCCACGAGACGACCGCCAGAGGACGGAAGGAAAGGCATCAGCGGGGGAGGACCAGCAAGGAAACCCTTGGAGAACCAGAACCGATGGTAAGGGTTGAAGAGAGGGCCGGGGGAAACGTCATCAAACTGTGTGCAAGAAGTCAGTCGGTGAGCGACACGAAGGCAGCGAGACAACTTACATCGAGGACAAGGTTTCCAACGTCCGTGGTACCAGTGCATATGGGAGTTGCCACAGGCGTCAATGTGGGCGTGCTGGATGTCGCTGTCGTGTTGATGTATCGCCTCTGAAGCCCGCCGGGCTGGACAATGGAGGTGAAAACCCCAGTGGTGAATACCTGGACGACAGAGCTCTGAACGACGACGCTCTGCCAAGTAGAGACAGATGGAGTGACGGCAGGTGAGGCAGTGACAGCAGGGGCAGAGGCCGTGGAGGCGGTGACAGCAGGGCCACCGATCGTGGAGACACCAGCGATGGTAGAGATGCCGAGGATAGTGGAAACACCAATGATGGTAGAGACAACGGCGGAGCCACCGGCGCCTCCAGTGACAGCACCGCCAGTGATGGCAACATTCGTGGCAGATGCAGAGATTGTGTCGACTTTGGTGACAAGAGACTCGTAGGGGAACGTGTATGTGGTTGTTTCATCAGCGACGACATTGATGAAACTGCTGGTTAGCACAGTCGTGGATGCAACGCCAGTCGACTCGGAGCTGGTGCATGAGGTTGAGGTTGCAGCGCCAGGAAGAGCAGAGGCAATGGAAGATGCGACCGGCCAAAGAGTTATAACAGAAGGTGAGTTCTGAGGACCAGTGGCAACAGTTGCAGGATCGACAATGACAGAGTAGCTACCAATTGCTGAAGTTGGCACGCCGGCAACGGAAGTTGGGTTGCCTCCATCAGGAGCTCCTTGAGCGACAGTAACAGTGATCTGTGGCCCGGGCAGCACGAAAGGGGGGATGCCAGACTGAGCCGGATTAGTGTAGCCACCTGGAAGGCCATTCGTATCTGTTGGGTTAACACCACTCGCGGGAATTGTAACTGTAACCGGAACTCCCAATGTGCCCTGAGAAGCTCCGGAGCCAACTGGAGAGATGACGGAGGTCTGACCGGGAGAAGAACCACCACCTGAACCTGGGTTACCTGAGCCTGGGGTGCCTGAGCCTGGGGTGCCAGAGTCGGGAACGCCAGCCGAGGGATTGGAAGATCCAGGCACGCCAGAGGGAAGGCCAGATGCTCCAGGAAGGGCAGGTTCACCGTAACCGCCGGGAATCGTAGAGGGGATGGTGTCTCCAGGGGCAGCAGGCGGCGTCGGCACTGTCAGGATAATCGTAGCAGTGGAAACTGAGACAGAGCTGGGACCAGCAGAACCATTGTCTCCTGGGATGCTGGGAAGTATGGTGGTGTAAGTCACAGCACCGTTGGCGGGAGGCTGAGGCACAGTCAAGGTGAATACGACGACAGAGCCCAAACCCGAAGGATCTGTTGGCTGGACGCCAGTGCCCGCGCTTGGTTGAGGAACGTACAGAGTCGTGGTAACAACATTTGAAGGCCCTCTAGTGGGGATGCCCGCAGAATCAGAAAGGGCAACCACAGTGGTGACACCCGCAGGATTAGCAGGAATATACACAGTAGTGACACCTGAGCCAGCCGTAGAAGGAGAGCCGGGGGCTGGAGCTGTGGAAGTCGACACAACAGTCTGGATGGAGTAGCTCAAAGAGCCATCGGGGCCAGGGACCATGGTGGGAACGTAGCGAGTGGTGGTGCCAACAGAGCCGCCATCCGGGTTTCCTGGAACAACAGTCGAAGCCGCGGGGATGCCAGTGAAGGGGCCAGTGCCGGTTGTCGGAGGGAAAGTGACAGTGAAGCAAGTTACAACTGTATCGACGACAGGTGTGCCTTGGCCAGAATCAGGCCGAGTCCGGTAGAGAGTGGTGGTGAAATCAGTAAAGGAAACCCCATTGCCGGGGCCAGAGGGAGCGTTGGTGACGGCAGGCCCAGTGGCGGCCGGCGCAGTCAGAGTGTAAGTGAACAACTCGCCAGACGCAGGATCGACAGCGGCGCCGGTTGAGGCAGATCCAGGAACAGATCCAGTGGCAGCAGGCTGTGGGAATGTGACTGTGAAGGACGCAACAACAGAGTCCACGGAGGGGGTCGCTTGGCCTGGATTGTCGTTGGTCCTGTAAAGCGTCGTAGTGATGACCGTGACACCCGCAGTGTTGCTTCCTGAGCCATTGGGGCCACCAGTGGCAAACGGGCAGTCAGTGGTGGCAGACTGGGAAGGATTCCAGGGAAACCCAGGAGGGCCAGAAAGTGTTACGGTGGCAGTCTCTTGACTACCAGGAACATAATTACCAGAAGACGCAGGGGAGCCAGGGGAACCACCGTTGGGATTAGCGGAACCAGGAGAGTAGACAGTAGCAGTGACAACAGTGACGGGAGCAGCCGTGGCAGAGGAAGACTCCCAAGGCTTGGGACCAGTGAACTGAGATCCGCCGGGAGGGGGATCGTATCTGTCGATGGTGACAGTGAGAGTGGCCGGAAGGCTGGGTTGAGCAGGCTGTGCAGGGGACCAAGGGGACTGGGCAGGGGGAAGAACGGTTGCAGTGACAGTCTGAACGATGATTGAGGGACCAGGGTTGTTGCTAGAGTCGACCGTGACGAAAACCGTGGTGGTTGCCGCCACGGGACAGGTGGGCTGGGCATACGTTCCAGCACTGTGAGGGAGTGTCAGCTTTGGAATCGACTGAAAATCAGGAGGAAGAAAAGACTAACACCATGGCCGCCATGGCAAAGAGGGAGGCCCGCATCTTGGGCAATCGACGATGTTGGATCTAGGTGTAGGAAGAACACGTAGAGCACGTAGGATACGCTGAGCAGATTGAATACGCAAAGAACGAAGACGACAAGAACCAGAGAGAATGACGGTGCAGGGAGAGGGGGTACGGAGCGGAAGAGGGGAGAGAGAGGATAGAGGGGAGAAGAAGCAGAGGACAGAGATGAGGAGGGGCTTGGAGGATTAAGTAGGAAGAGGAAGAAGGGGAGAGGATCTTACAGATCCCGAGGGTATGAAGGTAGCCATCGTCCTCTCCTTCTTGTTATGAAGTTCTGGGGACGAGCTGTGGCCGGTGACGCAGCCCCACACACGATGTACTTCTCAACTGAAGAAGGAAGGAAGGAAGGACCTATTGGCAGCATCGCGGAGAGACGGGCCCGCTTCACCTCGACGAGCTGTAAAATAATTTCCTGCAATGACCTTCGAGGCTACCTCCTCAGTTAACTGTTTTCTCTCTCCTTGTCAAGTTCGTATTAAACCCAAAGAGAAGACGGAGCGATGCACAACAACTAACAATCCTGTAGACACCAGTCTTCACGTGTAGGTGCGTACCTCGGGAATCCCAAGGGCACTGAACTGGCTCCTTTCAGACGTTCTTTCCCTCGTACCTAGGTATCTTAACACACCTTCAATATGCGCCCTGAGGTTCGGTACGTACTCATCTACGCAACATCTTGCCATGGGTTCCAAGGAAGGGCAGGAGGCAGGAGGTAGGAGCACAATGTCGGTCAAATACCTCCCCTTGAGGAGGAAGAGCTTGAGGCAGGGACCAGGAGCACCTTCCACGCCAGACCAGGCGGGAGCCATCGGTGGAGGAAGGTAAGGTGCAATCACGCCACCATCTCATGGCAAGGTTGGACCAAATTTATGTACCGAAGGTAAGGTAGGTACTTTGGATGCACAATGAAAATGGAAAGAGGTCAACATGCTGCTCCTCACGACACCAGGAAAGAGTGTACGACTCCATGGTGCGTGTGCTTGTCGTGATGAATACACACCGAGAAGATGATGACACCATAAAATGGATTAGAATGGATCAGTGAAATATTCAATTGCCTGGGATGCTTGCATGCTTGATAAGTCAGGGCACGCAGACACTGAACGGATTTTTCTAGCCATGCTACTAGACTGGATCATCCTCGTAGGGTGGTGGTGGTGGTGATGGTGGTGGCAGAGGCTCTCCGATCAGAGCATCTACAGCCCCCCTCTTTTTGTCATCCTCAATCCGTGCCGCCCAGAGTCCAGCTCCAGCCGAGGTGGTCAATAGGAAGAAGAAGGAAAGCACGGGAATCAACTCCAGAATCATCGCGACTGTGCCAAACCAAACGTATTCCCACGTCCTCGCTCGTATCTCGTTCTTGGCTTCCTTCTTGGTTAGTCCGCGCAGATGGAACCATCTATAATGCGCCAGTTTGCCCAGTCTCGTGCCAGTGATGATGATGAAGGCCGGGGTGCCGACTACCGGGACGAAGTTAAGGGGTAAGAAGACTATTAGCTCGATGATCTGGATCATGGACCAGGGGGTGAAGGCGGCGGGGGTCGTCGGCTTGCCGAGCATCTTGACCGCGGTGGGGGCATCGGGGAAGAGGATCCTGTGGGGAGCGACGAGGTCTGTCTGTGACTCTTTGATGAGTGTGGCCTTGGGGGGGAATGGTCAGTACCGCGCAACGAAAGGAGCATGTCGCAGGCGCCGACACTGTCAACTCACATCAAAAACGTCCACTCGACACTCGTCGACGAAAAATCCCTCGAAAAGACCTTGGATGACGACGAGACCCTCTCCGAGAACCAGTACCACTGCGTTGACCCACGCACCCCATCCATGGAAGATGGCCAGAAGTGCAAACTGGGGAAGGAAAGCAAAGGTGAATAAAATAAAGTAGACCAGGAAGGATATGATGGACAGTGGCAACAGGCGGCTGAGGAACAGCGGGTAGAATTCCTTATTCCGCAAAAAGTACCAGATGCCGCGGATGGGAAACGAGGCCGCGATGCTGGCGCGCTTCAAATACCCTACCGGGCGCTCGACAGGTCGCAGAAGGGCGTCGGCGCGGGAGGACCACGCAGAACGCTGTGATTCTGACATCTGCGTGTTACTTTGACGGTCTCAATCGTTGCAAGAGAGCAAGCAGGAAGCAGTGCGGGTAGGAGTCGTCGTCGTCGTCGTCGGTTTTGAGTTGAGGATTATGTGGTCGTGATGCGACAACAACGGTGACTTTCAGTGGAGGAATGTGGTGGGGCAGCCTGTGTACGTCATCTTGAGCAACGGCGTTCTATTGGGTGGACCTGCCTGGCTGCCCAATGGACCTAGGAAAGGTGCTACGGTGGGTTCCTCCACGTGCCAGGACGGGGCGTGGACCAAGGACCTTAACGCCCCGCGGGGAGCTATGAGTGACGATGGGTGAGGTTGCTCGAGTCTCCAGCAGGCACACCGCACACCGCACACCGCGCTCAATTTGAATGTGGTACGTGCCCCGTCTCCAGTCTCGTCTGCTTCGCGTGGCATCGCCCAGAAGAGTTTGAATCGAATTAAGCAATGCACCGATAAGGTCCAGCAGCAACGTTGCAATATCACAGCCTCTCCCGCTTCAGTACTTGCGGTTTCATGTCCCTGGCACATTTCAAGGTTCAGGTCTTTCGATAATTGACCAAGAGGTGGGTAACCCTTTCCAAGACCATCCAATGCGTGTTCATAGACTACCTATTGTCGGTGGAAATTGGTTTTAATAGCAGAATAGCAGCACATGCCGCCGCTTGCATGTCAGGTATTCGTGTCCAGACCTTGCGCCAGATAACGCAACTCCGGGGGTTCTTACCCTTTGACCAGTCAACATGATCGGATCTACGCGAATGAGGTTACACCAGACTTGCATGTCGTCAGACGCTTCTTCTGGACAAGTTCCAGATTCGATGGAATGGGAGACATGGACCAAATAAGGATGCGGTATTTGAGTTCAACCGGAAGACCTTCATATTAGACCAGCCGCCCTCCTCGGACAAACTGGCGACTTCGGCCTCGGTCGATATCGACTATGACAACCTTATTTCAACCCGATGCCCACCGCCTGGGCCTTTGTCATCCAAGACCTTGGACGGTTGGAACGACGCTCATTGTCCCCCAAGACATTGGAGGCCAAGCATCTTGGACCTACCTCTTCCGATGAAGGAACGGCATTTTCGCCAAGCCCTACGGTGGTCTTTTCCCCCATTATTTGGCTAGGTATCGCCAGACCTAGACTTTTGATTGTGGCCATTGCCGTCAAGCGTGACATCTTGATTTGTCGCCATACGTTAGTTACTTCTTCTGGGCCTTTGCAATGTCTGCATCGAGCCTGGTGGTGGACGCCGTATGGCCAGGCCTGCTTACGTTAACATGACAGGACCCCTGGCATACTTGTCCATTGAAGGGTTGTAATCGGCGGCAGTCGACAGGGAACGTGATTGATCTAAAGATCGAGCTACCGGAAAGAATCGTCCGAAATTTTCGCTCTGCACTCAGTCGAATGTCTTTTCAAGATTTGATGCCGAATATCGCTTTCGCAGTCGCAAACCACAGAGAGACGAGTCTGTCGCACTGGACTCAGATGTTCTCGACATCCAACAACTCACACTCCAATGGCTAGCGAGGCGACAGGCATTGACCCGACCGACTACGAGGGCTTCAAGAAGCGCACCCGTGTCAGATACTCTTGCACAATATGCCGCGAGAAGAAGTAAGTCCCAATCTCCAAGCCAACTGCCTGGACTGTTTCTGACCGCCACGCCTATGCCCAGGCGCAAATGCAATCGCGGAGATCCTTGCGATCAGTGCGAGAAGCGAGGCCTTACCAGCTCCTGTGTCATCGTGCCATATCTGCTCAGAGGAGGACCCGAAATGAGCTCCGAACATGCGGCTCTTCGCCATCAGACACCGCAGTCTGCCGAAATGGGGGCTTTGCAAGCCAAGTTGCACCGTCTGACCGAGGAACTCGGCCAAATGCGGAATCGAGAAGTTGACATGCCTCGAAACCCGATCTCGGAATCTAGCGCGTCTAGTGTCAACGCCATGCAGCCCTCCAGCGGAACCGAAACTCCAGGTCTGATGGGAATCACAGAGCCGACAACTGCGGGTCCTATGGTTGACAGGCTACGTTACGTGGATGCTGCCAACTGGGAGGCCATTCTCAATGATGTGAGTCTTGAATAGCATTCAGGAGTTTCAAGGCGTTCATACTGAGTTCACCCAAGATAACTAGGCTCACCACGCATTTCAAAGCCAGGAAATGTGCGATATTTGATGCCGAAGAGCCTGAAGACATGTCCGTTGGCAACGCCGCCTCGAAACCTAGCGTTCCTTTTCTTCTCTCGGGAGCATTCCCAACGGCAAACAAGACTACCCTCATGGCCCTGTTGCCACCCAAAGACACCACGAATAAGTTGATCAAAAGGTTCTTTGAAGGAAAAGAACCTGCTTTGTGTACGTTCTGAAAGCTTGAGTGTCCGCGCATCTTACTGATTGGGTCTACCCCCGAATAGGCATGTTTCATGTCCCGACTTTCTGGAAAGAGGTGAGGATTTAATTTAATTACTGGCCCCACTCGATTGCAGCAGAGATGCTTACGGAACCCAGCTGCATAAATTCTGGGAAGATGAGAGTCAATTCTCGCTCACGTGGCTTGGGCTCTTATTCTCCATGATAAGTCATGCTGCGTTCTTCTGCTTGAGAGCAGACGAGCCCGTCCCCGGCGACATGGGGCCAGCAGCTTATGTTGCCGACATTTACCGCCGTCACTGCGCGCGATGTCTGGCGCTAGACAACTACACGACGCCTGGTAAGTACAAGGTCGAGACGATGATGCTCTACTTTGGCACAGAGTACCTCCGACTGGTCGATGCGCAGCAAGGCACCGTATGTAATTATTCATGTCCGATTTCTAGAGAGTTCCCGGCCCAACTGACGTAGAACAGGCCATTCTTCTGTCCATTATAGTTCGGTTAGCAATGCATTCAGGGATGCACAGAGACCCCAGCCACTTCCAGGGCATGTCAGTCTTCGAGGGCGAGATGCGCAAGCGTCTTTGGACAATCGTCACCGAAATCGACGTTCTCGTAGCCTTTCAATTCGGTCTTCCCTCGAATGTGCAGTCTCGCTACTTCGATACAGGTATGAGCGTCCTTTCCTGGGTGATGTTGCGAAGCTAACGTACTTAACTAGGTCTACCGCAAAACCTCCACGATAGAGACTTCGACGAGGCCACAGTCAGGCTACCTCCCGAGCGACCGATGACCGAGATTGAGCGGACCCCGGTGATGTATACGATCGTGAAGTCTAGGCTTGTGGTTGTGTTTAGCGACATTGTTTCACGCATGGCAGATCGCGACAGTCCCGACTATGGAGAGGTCATGCGCCTGGATGAGCGGTTGGAAAGAGCGCACGAAGAAATCCCCCCGGTCCTACGAGATCGATCATTTACTCTTTCCGTCGAAGATACAATCGACCTAATCATGCAGCGGCTTTGGATCGAGCTCATGTACCTGAAGGCTCGCATAGTCCTCCATCGTCGCTACTTCACACTTGGACGCAAGGATATTCGGTTCGCGCACTCCAGATTCGCCTGCATCAATGCAGCAACCAAGATTTTGGAGATCCAATTCAACATCAATGAGGAATACAAGCCCGGGGGCCGTCTTTCACGTGAGCGCTGGTTTGTTTCTAGTCTAAGCACCCACGACTTCCTCCTTGCAGACATGATGCTCTGCCTTGAGCTATCTCATCTACTGCGTCCGGAAGGTCGTAACACGATTGGAATCCACATTGACAAGGAGTCTCTCCTTTCCATTCTGCAGACGTCCAGAGACATTTGGAAATCGAACCAAAAAGACTCGGCCGAAGCCACGCGGGCTTTCAAGATCCTGTCTCGCATGCTCACCTTGTCTACGGGTGAACATTACGAGACCGCTCCCGAGTCAGCCAGCTCAAATGGGAGACTTGGTGCCGACATGGGTATACGCCCGACTTACCAACTCGCATGCCGTAGGCTCTGCCCCGCAAGCGCGAATGCCGCTTCTCCAGCTAATCCGCATAGATCCTGTTATACCGGCGTATATGCCTCAACAAACCATGGAAAATACATGGGTGGATCAAGATGGATCTGCTCGGTGGGGATATGGACCAACTACGAGTTCTTCGGAATCGATTCTAATCCCCATCAAGGGGGTGGATTCAGCCATGAACTTGGACTGGGTTCGTTCAATTCGCGAAACATAGACATTTGTGGGACTAACAGCTTTCGCAGAGTGGCTGGGACACCAAAGTTCAAGATCCAAATGTCGACACGAACGACTTGCCGTGGCTGAAGACCTTGACAGACCCACTTCACGGGTAGTAACGACCCTGTAAAGATTGGATATCATTTGAATAGGTTGATTGGATTCTGGTGATACTGTCGTAGTGCCATTGCCACATCCAGACTAGATATAGGAGGATGCTGTATTTCATGCAGCCATTGGATATCCAATGAGAAATGAGATCAACAGGATGAAGCAAAGTCAGAGTTTCATCATGTCACTTGTCTGGTGTTTTGGATCGAATACACTAAAGCCACTAGAGTGTTGATTTCCAGGTGAAAATCTTTTAGACAGATCTGATCGCCCAGCATGGAACCTCAAAACACAAGTATTCCGTTGTATCCACATGTCTGTATGTAGTAATTCCGTTCAAAAAGAAGTCATCAAGACGGCTCCCGCACAATCAATATCTTGTTCCCGACGAACATTGCCAAGGCCGCACGCACGCCTACGTGAGCGCAACTCCCGAAGCCGCAAAAGTAGCATAAAAGAGCTTCGTCTGTCCCGTAATCACCATGCGCCCATCACCAGCAAACTGGAAATTCGCCGCCGTGGTGCCGGTGTAGATTTTGCCAATGAGCTTTCCGGACGGGTTCCAGACGTGGACGCCGTCGTTGCAGCCGGCGTAGACGTTGCCCTTGGAGTCGCAGTGGACGCCGTCGGGCAGACGGGCGGATGTGTGGGCAAAGATTTTGCGGTTTTCCCAGGTGCCGTCCTCTTTCACGTCGAAGCGGTAGCTGTGCCGGGGGTTTAGAAGGGTTGTGGGATAGGATAGATGCCGAGGGGTACGGCTGAGGAGGAGGAGGAGGAGGAAGAGGGGAAGGGGGGGGGGGATTGTGCTTACACTGTTGCTGGCTTGGTGAAGTTCGTGCCGAATAGGCCTTGGCCTATGCCTGTGTCTGTTACGTAGGCGTAGGTGCCGTCCGGGGAGAGGGTGATGCCTGGTATGAGGAGATTAGCAATCTTGCGCCACATTCCAACCACAGTAATGTACGCTTCCCCTCGGTCAAACACGTAAAGGAGTGTGCGGCAGTGGGAAAACATACCGTTGGGCGAGACAAACTCGTCAGTGACCACAGTCAACGCACCGGTCGTCGGGTTCAGGCGATACACCTGGTTCGGCAGACCCGGCGCGGGGCGGAAGTATTGCCAGTACCCATACTGCGTATCAGTGAAGTAAATGTCGCCGTTGCGGCGGCTGACGACGACGTCGTTGAGGGAGTTGAACTGGCGGCCAAAGTAGTTGTTGACGAGGACTGCGGGGGGGAAATGGGGTCAGCTCGGGGGCGAAAATTATTATTACACGATACATGAAGGCATGCAAAGGAAAATCCGGAAAGCGAACGAACTTGTGGTGTTGTATGGCTCAACCGGGTTCATCAGGTAGAGCGCCGACGGGACGCGGTCGCCTTGGCCTTCACCTGCAAAGATGATTTGACCTTTGTAATTCGTTCCACCTGGGATGAATCTGTGTCAGTGAGATCTAAACCCCAGACATTGGAAGCTGGGATATGTGTGTGTGTGTTTCTTTACCGTTGGGGTTGATGACCTGCGGGTTCGAGGGCACGGTGACGACCTTGACCTCCTTGGTGCCCAGGGATCCGTTGCGCAGGGCCTCGGCGTCGGCCAGGGCAATCTTTTGCACGATGGAGGACTTTTTCAGGCCGGTGCCTGCTTCCGGGGGTCCGGCGTTCTGGACGAAGAAGACCTCTTCGGTGGGAGGGTACCTTTTGCTCTCCTTGTTTTAGCAAACGAGTTTACCAACTCCTACCTTAGGTTTGCGGGCTAGCCGCCGGAGTCTTGACTTACCACACCACTGCCTCGTGGAAGATTGGGTCCGTTTCCGAAGTCGCAATCAGCGTCAATGATGGGTCGCTGCCGATGATGTCGTAGAATTCTGGGTCGTAGATGTGGAAGGGCTTCTCCGTGAGAGACTCATGCGTGACGCCGGGCCAGAGAAACTCCTATACGCAATGTCCATAAAGTCAATTGCTCACTCACTCACTCTTGGAGGTGGGGAGAGGGGGGAGGGGGTGGGGGTTTTCAGCCGTCTGGGAGGGACCTTACCGACGAGGCATTGAATTCCAAAGGAGGCGGGACGACCTCCAAGACATTGAAGCTCTTTTGGTCAATGATTTGAGCTTGCTCAGGCAGCGCCCTCTGCGCCACGGCCAACCGGGCATGCGCCCCGGAGGAGGGCACTTATTGTGACAAAAGTCAAGACAAAAAATTTTCTAAACTTACTGATTCGATTACTATAGGCATAGAAGAATGTAATATTCCACATATTTCAGAACATTGTCCGTAGAATACTCCAGGTCTGTTA